CTTTGACTGATCTGAACTAAATAGAGTTAAAAAAAATTACCTATATTAAAATGTCATTAAATTAACTGATCAGGCACATTGTTTCATTGTGTTTTAGTCTGAGTCAGAGAGAAAGATCAGACTCACCTGAACCCAGCTGTGTGTCCATGAAGACTGACGAGTCAATGGATTATCCCTATCACTTCAGTGAGAGAGATAGTTCTCCTGATGTGAGTAAGGACAGTGTTCCTCACTCCCAGTCCCAGAGAATATATGTAGAGAATATAACAGTAATTTGGAGATTTATACCTGGAACTGAGTGTAATGTAGAGAATATAACAGTAATGTGGAGATTTATACCTGGAACTGAGTGTAATGTAGAGTATATAACAGTAATGTGGAGATTTGTACCTGGAAACTGTAGAGAAATAACAGTAATGTGGAGATTTGTACTGGACTGAGTGTAATGTAGATATAAACAGTAATGTGGAGATTTATACCTGGAACTGAGCGTAATGTCGAGAATATATAACAGTAATGTGGAGATTTATACCTGGAACTGAGCGTAATGTAGATAATATAACAGTAATGTGGAGATTTATACCTGGAACTGAGCGTAATGTCGAGAATATATAACAGTAATGTGGAAATTTAGACCTGGAACTGAGTGTAATGTCGAGAATATATAACAGTAATGTGGAGATTTATACCTGGAACTGAGTGTAATGTAGAGAGAAAATATAACATTTCTATTTAATAATTGTTAATAATGAATCAGTCTTGTAGTTTGTATATATGTGTTTTGTTTTTTCTCCCTAAAAAAGTGCCCATAAAGAGCAATCAAAAATGACCAGCATAAATCAGGTGGAGTCCATATTCAAGGTGTGTGTACATATTATTTCATTAGTAAAATATATAAAATTGATTTGCAGTTTTTAGTATGTGCCAATTAACAGTAACTCTGAGCAAACATGTGATAAATCATCTCTCTGTAAGATAACAGTGTTTTTTATGGTTTTCTGTTTACTGTTTATTCCTAATCAGGATGTGGAGCACAAAATAATCTCTCTGGTGAAGAAAGAGCTGAAGAGGTTCAAGAAGCTGCTGAGTGCAGATTACCCAGCATGCTCTGAGAGAGAGGTGGAGGATGAGGAGGATCAGAGCAGTTCCAGAGAGGGGGTGCTGAAGATCACACTGAACATGCTGAGGAACATGAAGAAGACAGACCTCGCTAACATATTACAGAGCAGTAAGAGCTGTGGGCGGGGCTTTATTACATCACTGTAACTTTAGAGGAAGAACACTGATCCACACTTATCAGATTAAGCTGATCTAGGACCAGTTTTTACCTCTCACATCCGAATGATTGCAGTTATATAAGCAAGTTATAAGTGCTTTTATATTACATAAAACATCAGAAAATAGGAAAAACATTCAAATAACCAATGTTTGCTACTTTTATGACATCACGCATGTCCATGGAGAAAAACATTTTTGTTCAACAAGTCAAACAATAGCTTTTCACAAGTAGCACACAGTTTCCTGCTCTGTACACCAGACTCTTTGGTGCAGTCTAAATATATTTCCTATTGCTTCTGATTATTGGCTAGCTAGAACACCCTGTTTTATTTATAACCAAAAATAAACAAGAAGCTGTCCAGAGATGAGGAAAATAGGCGATGGTGCCAAAGAGACTGAGTTTAGTGTGTGTTCCAGTAAAAAGTGGTTCCTCATCTTCATCATTCCTCAAGAACAAGTGTTGTTTTTTGCAAAACAATGACTAAAAAGTAATGAAAGCAGCAATGAAAATATTTTTTCTATTTACTGATTAGGTAAAACATGTATTTGGCTTTTCTTGTTCTTATAAAATATTCAGATATTCCAGAGAATGCTAAACAGAATATCTGTAAATGAAAACATTTAATTAATGAAAACAAGTAAAAGCTGAATAATGAATAATGAATTTGCTTCTGTGAGTAGTGGTCATAAAGCAAAATAATTATCATCACATACAGTACTTATCTTGTGTTTTTAGAGCTGAATCCTGGATATCAGAAAAAGCTTAAATTTAAACTGACAGATAAATGTAAAAGAATTAATGAAGGAATCTCCCAGTATGGAACATCAACCCTTCTGAATGAGGTCTACACTGAGCTCTACATCACAGAGGGAGGGAGTGGAGAGGTCAATGATGAACATGAGGTCAGACAGATTGAGGAGGCATCCAGGAGACCAGCAACAGAGGAGAAACCCATCAAATGCAATGACCTCTTCAAGGACAGACCCATCAGAACTGTGCTGACTAAAGGAGTCGCTGGAATTGGAAAAACAGTATCTGTGCACAAGTTCATTCTGGACTGGGCTGAAGGAAAAGCTAATCAGGACATAATTTTATTTCCGCTTCCATTTAGGCAGCTGAATTTGATGAAGGAGAAAAAGCTCAGTTTGGTGGAGCTTCTTCATATTTTTTTCCCTGAAATAAAAGAGTTATGGTCAATAGACTTTTATGCTCACAAAGTCATGTTCATCATGATGGTCTGGATGAGTGTCGACTTCCTCTAGATTTCCAGAACAATGAGAGCTTGTGGGATGTAACAGATTCAGCCTCAGTGGATGTGCTGCTGACAAACCTCATCAAGGGGAATCTGCTTCCCTCTGCTCTCCTCTGGATAACCTCTCGACCTGCAGCAATTAATCAGATTCCTCCTGAGTGTGTTGACCTGGTAACAGAGATACAAGGGTTCAGTGACCCTCAGAAAGAGGAGTACTTCAGGAAGAGAATCAGTGACCAAAGCCTGGCCAATAAAATCATCTCACACATGAAGTCCTCAAGAAGCCTCTACATCATGTGCCACATCCCAGTCTTCTGTTGGATTGCAGCCCCTGTTCTAGAGAGAGTGTTGGGTGAAGCAGAGAGTGGAGAGATCCCCAAGACTCTGACTCAAATGTTCACTCACTTCCTGATCTTTCAGATCAAACACAAGGACCAAAAGTACCATGGGAAATGTGACACTGATCTTCAGCAGACTAGAAAGATGATTCTGGCACTGGGAAAACTGGCTTTCCAACAGCTGGAAAAAAGCAATCTGATCTTCTATGAGGAAGACCTGAGAGAGTGTGGCACTGATGTCAGAGAAGTGTCAGTGTACTCAGGAGTTTGTACCCAGATCTTCAGAGAGGAGTTTGAGCTGAAGGTGTTTAGCTTTGTGCACCTGAGCATTCAGGACTTTCTGGCTGCTTTATATGCATTTCTCTCCTTCATTAGCAGAGAAGGAACAAAACAGCTGACCACTGATCTCTCTGATATTTTCAAAAAGTCAAAAATGTCAGACTTCCTTAAGTCTGCAGTGGACAAGGCCTTACAGAGTGAGGATGGACACCTGGATCTCTCCGCTTCCTTCTGGGCCTCTCACTGGAGTCCAATCAGACTCTCTTACGAGGCCTACTGACACAGACAGGAAGCAGCTCTCACAGCAAAGAGGAAATAGTCCAGTACATCAAGGAGAAGATCAGGGAAGAATCCCTCTCCAGAGAAATCCATCAATCTGTTCCACTGTCTGAATGAACTGAATGATCATTCTTTGGTGCAGGAAGTTCAAACATACCTGAGCAGAGGAGATCACTTATGTCTCCATGGAGCCAGACTCTCTCCTGCCCAGTGGTCAGCACTGGTGTTTGTGTTGCTGAACTCAGAAAAGGAATTGGATGTGTTTGTCCTGGATAGGTATTATCCATCAGATGAATGTCTTCTGAAGCTGCTGCCAGTAATCAAGTCATCCAGAAGAGCTGTGTGAGTATGTTCAGTCATAAGTGTGTTGCTGTACTTTTTCTTAATTTAATCTTATGAATCACACATGATGATACATTAATGATTATAATAATGCTTTTTATAAATTATTCTATTTAGCTTACAATTCACTGGTAGTTTTTAACAGAATGCAGTCTCTCCCCAGACCCAGTGCCAGACTAAACACTAAACACTGCTTGAGAGTATACAAGCATAATTTCATTCATAATTTTAAAGTTAAAGTCTTTGATGTGGCAAGGTTTGCTGGCTAGACTCAGTGTTTCAATTTTTGAAAGCTACTTTATCTCCTATTTAGGAGAAAAATGATTAGAGATGTTATAATAATATGAAAATGCTAACAAGCCTTTAACACAACAAGTTCCTCCATTGAACAGACAGCAATAAAATCATAAAAATTCCATGAACACCAAATGGTATCTTAAACTACTCATATATCTCTCTCACCAAAAGAAAACTACTAGCAAAACAAAACAGGATTTTTGTGATTTTATTGTTTTCCCATTAGGTAGAGAAATTAGGTTGTGTCATAGACTGTCATAGTAGTGATTTCAGGTTGTTGTTACCTCTGTGTACTGATTCTGCTGCTTCAATTAAGATTAAGTAACATGTGTTTCAAAAATTGACAAGTGGACCTTGCCACAACAAAGATTTTTGTTGCTGAAATATGATAACGAAGTTGTGGGCGAATACAGTTTCAGGAACGAGCATGTGCCTAAATTAACAAACAAAATAAGGGAATAAAAATGTCCACTAGGTTCTGAAACTCCTGCTCAAACACACAAGGAAAGTTCAACAAACCGAGCAATACAGCAAAGATTGCTTGAAACAAAGGGTGCTGAGCTGGTGTGGACAGGTGTACATCTGGCTCAGTGATATTATAACTGGTTGTTATGTCACAGTGGTGTGCATGTGTGTTCTGATGTATTATCATTTTTCTCCCAGGTTGCGTAAGTGTAATCTCACAGAGGAAAGCTGTGCAGCTCTGTCCTCTACTCTCAGCTCAAACTCCTCAACTCTTAGAGAACTGAACCTGAGTCACAATGAAACCCTGCAGGATTCAGGAGTGAAGCTGCTCTCTGCTGGACTGAAGAATCCATACTGTAAACTGGAGATTCTGGAGTAAGATCATCACTTTATGACTGTGTGTGTGTGTGTGTGTGTGTGTGTGTGTTTGTGACATCAGTGTTCTCATGTGTCATCACTTCTTTCCTAGGCTGAGTAAGTGTAGTCTCATAGAGAAAAGCTGTGAAGCTCTCTCCTCAGCTCTCAGCTCAAACCCCTCAAGTTTGAGAGAACTGAACCTGAGTTACAATAAACTACAGGATTCAGGAGTGAAGCTGCTTTCTGCTGGACTGGAAAATCCACACTGTAGACTGGAGAAACTGGAGTAAGATTGTCACTTTACACACTTTATGTGTATGTGTGTGTATGTTGGTCTGTAAGTGTAAGGATTGTATCTTCTGTCTGCAGGCTGTGTTACTGCGCTATTACAGATGAAGGCTTTGCTGCTCTGGCTTCAGCTCTAAAATCAAACCCCCTATCTCACCTGAGAGAGCTGAACCTGAACTCCAATAAACCAGGAGAGTCAGGAGTGAAGCTGCTCTCTGATCTACTGGAGGATCCACACTGTAAACTGGAGAAACTACAGTGAGTTAAAACTTACTGTCTCTTTATAAATAAATGCACACAGGATGTTGATAGTTTAATGCAAACTATAGTTTTTGTGTATACCTTTCATTCACTCTCAGACACTCATATGTCACTCACAAATATGTGGTTATACATATATTTTTTATGTTATAAAAGAATATTCTTGTGCATTTTACCATGTTTATTATATGTAGGACTGTTGTGAAGTCCTCTTATTTTCTTGCACAAAAGAGTAGAAGCTGATTAAGATCAGTCCTACCACTATTATCATGATTCAGAATAAGGTTTAAAGGCCTCTAGGGCAACTCGGAAACTTTATTGTGTGTGTTAAGAGTGTTTACACTGATTTTGTCATAGTTTGTAGTCTGATAATTCTCTCTTATTCTCTGTCTTACAGCATCTGAAAACCATAGAGCAACTCAATCCTATGAGGAGAGAAATCAATATTCAAAATTCAAGAGTTTTTCAAATACACAGAGAAATGGACAATGTATAAAATTTTTACTCTGCACCACTGCCTGGACTACAAGTCACATTATACAAAAACCATATAAATACTAAATATTAGGTAAAAAAAGAACGTAAAATATAGGTGAGGAACATATGTCAGTACAAGGTTCTACGTGGTTCTTATTGTTTAAATCTGTAAACATGGCTGCAGCTTTGAGCTATATGATCTCCAAATGACATCACTTGCTGTACAACAGTGACTGCACCTCCAGCGGTGTGTCCATTAGTCTTCTCATGTTAGTGAAGGACCCCACAATGGTAATAAGAGCCAGAGTGACACTGTGTTTACATTACAGCGAAGCGATTTTTGTTCTGCCTTTAAATCATTTCTATAGAAACAGGCAGCAGTTGTGCATGGGGGAGCAGCTGCATTGCCAAGCACATGGAGAGGATTATATAAATTTTAGCTTCTCTCAGTTTTATTTAAATAAGAAGCAAGATTTGCTGGGAGACAGCCAATCAGATTGTTAAAAGCATGGTGTGGTCTGTTATAATAAACATCACATCCACAGTCAAACGACATGCTGAAATCAGTGTTCATGAAGATAGAAAGAGAAATTAGCAGGAGATTTCTTAAATTCACATTTTTAAAAAGAATATTACTTTTTTCTCTGCTTAGACACCTGCCCTACATAAACATTCATAAAGGCTTATTCCAATAGACATCATCTGTCACAAAGGCTGCTTTTGTCAACTTTGGTGTCAAGGTGACATAACACCTATATCAGGTGACATTGATTTGATTGGCAAATGTAACCTTTGATGAGTGATGTTGTCATAAAGAGCTTATGTAGGCGTCATGTAGCCTATGACCACTGACCTACGGTAATCTTTTATAAGTATATTGCATGTGCAATGTTACCAATCCCTAAATTGTATTATTACAGCTCATCAATCTGACTTTATTTAGTGAGAATGTTTTGTTTTTAAGATACTGAAAAGTAATGCCTTTCTGTAGTCTGACTGACATTTTAAAAATCCTAGAGGGTAATGTTGTGTATGTGTGTGGTTATATAATTTAATTTCTTTTACCTGTTAATGAGGTGTGTGAGGGTTATGTGTTTGATGGTAATCACTGAATCAGGTTCCATGAGTGACTGCTGTGTTCCAGTAGCAGGTACATTCCTGAATGGTGCTGCAGTGTTAGGTGTGGAGTGGCCAGAGTAAATTTTGTGTTCTACAGTCCACATAAATATTCACTTATAAACTATATTCACATTCAGTTCAATATCATTTACAGACCTAAGATAGACCTACCAATGCTCCTTCACTTCTCTTTCTCTTTTAGAACTACATTCATGCATTTAACAATAACAATGAGTAATGCCAAAAATAGCCGTCTCTGCACAGGGTGGTTAAAACATATGTGAATGGGTTGCTGGACTATATTTACACCTATCACAGGCACAGTCTGGGGAAAATGTTTAGCTAATTCCTGTTTAAGTGCATTATTGTGCAAAGTGCATTATTTTAAATCGCAGATTCATGCACTTGTGAGTTTCCTGAGTGAGGTTCTGCTGTGGCTAAATACCATACAGACTACATCTGTACTCTGTACCGTACAGACCACTTTACTGTTTGACGTGGTCTGTAGTGACATTAAGATAGACAAGACATTGTTATAAATGTCAATGATCATATCTATGCAATACAATATGAATTTGTTAAAATAATAGCCTAGTTTATTTGCAATTACTTAATTATATTGAATTTGTACAGCTTAAACATATTTGACAATTACTCAATAATTTTAATGTCAACAAGACAAATGGGGTGAATACAATTTACTCAATTTACTTAAGTGTAAATGAGTTTCCTCAAATCATTTGAGTTGACTTAACTGTCCTCAAATTTTATGTCTCATGATTTTTTTTAAGACTATGCTGACTGTAAAAGTGAAGTATTTATTTTGGCCTCTAGAGTACAGTATTTATTTTGGTATCTGAAACTCAATATACGATTATAGATTTTTTTTTTTTTACACTTTCCACTCAAACATTTGCCTGAAGAGGTTTTACAGAGCTCACTTAAGGTAAAGTGAAAAGGCCAAAATGCACATTTCTCCACTTTAACCCTGTTAAGACACCTATGTCTAATGTAAGTTATAATTTGAAATTTGAAATATAATCCAAATAAATTATGATCTCCAAATAAAAAAACAGTCAATCATTCAGCCCTGACACAGTACATTTTGAAGTTATTTTATGATTCTCAATGTTTTTTCTGTGTTAGGCCAGGGGAACGCAGCACAGATCTAGTTGGAACCAATCAGGACCGCAGACACCGGTACAACCTTCTAAATGAGTAGTAATGTTTAGTGGCAAAAAGTGGGACAAATGGGAGACTCAGAAAACAATGGGCTAAATTTATAGTTCTCTCTTTTTCTATTAGTTTTTTTCTGCCTTACAATTTTGTATCAATGTGGCAGCCATATAATTGAAATCTGTGGGGTTTCACACCAACAGATTTTATCTGGACATCTGCACATTGTTGTCTTTCCTAGAAAACAAATAAAAAATGGAATATTCAATCATATCCCTATTCATTAATCAAAACAGCACATTTTAAATGTTAACTTCTCTTAGCCTTTACATGTAGAGTTCACTCTATCAGGCATGAAAAGATGCATTTTTCATTCACAGCAGGGGTTTCCAATTTCAGTCGTAAGACCCATTTGCTCTGCATATATAATGGTTTTTCTACATTACACACCTGACCCATCCAAAGAGGTGCTTGTTAATTAGTTAATGAGTGTTGGGTCACTAGTCTGGAATTGGAAGCCCCTGCTCTGCACAGTCCTCGGGCCAAACAAAAAGGCAAGTTTAAGCCTACAAATATGGATTTCTGGTTCATTCAACTTCAACTAAGGCTTTCACAATACCATGAAACTGAAGCTGTGCACTTTTTTTAACACATGGAGAAATATTTAGAAAAAATGTAAAACTGTAATGCTGGTCTGTCTTATGAAAAATCAAACTTTGAGAAATCAGTGTCTGTTTTTTGCAATACTGAAGTTAAGGTTCTGTTTAGGGACACTTTCCTGTGACAGAGTGGATGACTTAATATCGGCTTGTTGCCTCGTAGATCTTCCTTTTTTATATGTTTGCTGTCTAAAACTGGTTCTACAATCTAGGAAGAGTGTCCTGTGGTTAGAATGAAATATGAGTCATGTAAAGTCAGGTAGTTAAAGTCATCAGTGTGGCTCTGAAAAGTTAAGACTTCATTTCAACCTGTGTTTATATAATATTTCATGAGAAGTTGTTTGACATTACATTTTTCATCCAATATCTAAATTAAACTAGGAAATATACCTTACTGAATTTCTGCTCGTAAGTGTACATACTACTGGCTGAACATGTAAGCTGCTTAGCATTTTTAGAACAGAGTAGTAGTCCTTTTATTAAGTAATACTGCTCAGATTAAGCTGTTAATCATCACAGAATAGAACATTTTTTATTAAAATGATAGTAACCGAGATTATTCAGTAGGTTCTGTTGAGAAAGGTCACTCCAGAACCTTCACTTTATTCCACTGCAGCCAGAAGGGTCAGCTCTTCATTGTGCTTTGGATTGTAGTCATGTTGGAAAGTCCAATGTGCAGCTTCCAGGCTGACGCATTTAAATTTTCCCCCAGAATTTTCTGATAATCTGCCCACACAATTTCACACATTCAGCCGGGTGCATGTAAACCTCTTAGCAGAACTTATGTACTCTTCCACACATTATATTAAATATCCTGAACATTATGAACACTCCGTCCCACTCCGCTCCATGTACCACCTCACGAAGATGCCGCAATGGCCCCATGCCCAGAGGTCAGGGTTGAAGGTCAATGCCTGGAGATGAGATGTGATCATTTAGGAAATGGGAAGTGTTGTTGTTATAGTGTAGAGTGAATGGCAGAAGAAATCTGAGAAGCCAGAGAGGGGTGACACATTAAAAAATGACAGAAAACGGGTCTAACACTAAGGCTGGCTTTACTCTGTGAAACTTTCTTGTAACTTTTATATGCTGTGTATATGTTAACATTTACAACTCTAATATAACATAATATAATTGATTTGGTATTTCATTGTAATAATTGTGATTGTTATGGTCAGTTACAATAATATTGTAAGTATTTACTTGCGACAGTGACACATGCCAAGCACTATTATTTTTAGGAGACAAAGGCCTCACATTTAAGACTATTTAATGTGTAAATGTTAACAGGTCAGTTAACAGGATTACACAGGCAGCACATTCAGTGCGTCACATTTTTTGCACATGCTAATGCCACACAGCAAAACAAAGCAAAACATGGCAAGGATAAACAGATGTATATATTTATATATTATCAGTTATCTTTTTATTGATCAGAGTAACTGATTTTATAGATTTTGTTAGAGGAATGTCTGTAGAATATGCTTTCTGAACAGTCCTGGAGAGAAAATGCTGTTTGTGTGAATTACCATTGTGTGTGACACTCCTGGTGAGTCATGGTGGTGTCATTTGGGTGCAGCCAGTGAGTGGAGGAAGTTTCTAGATATTTACTCTGTCAGCATTTCTTCTGAAATGAAGTATATTAATGGGGAGTTTGTGCCCCTTTGCTGCAGTAAAAGCCTCTACTCTTCTGGAAAGCATTAGATGTTGGAACATTGCTGTGATTGAGTATGAGTCTGGTCAGGTACTGATGTTGGATGGTCAGTTCCAGATCACTCCAACTCATCCCAAAGGTACTGAATGTAGCTCCGTCATTCCAGAGAACACAGCTCCACTGCTACACAGCCCAATTATTTCATATGTCCCCAGTAGAGTTTGCATTATATTTTGCATTGCCTAGGCCACTGAAATGTAGAAATTTAGCTCAAAACAGAACATGAAATAAAAAACTGGTCTGTGCCAGCTGTTAAACTTTGTGTTCTTCTCCTTCAAACTTGGTACAGAATAAAAAAACAAAAAAACAAAGTATTGTCATTGTTTAATAGCTTAATATCATGATTTATGCTTTAAAAAATGTGTGTAGATTTCAGTTATGTAATTTAAATATTATATGTATATATCTGGATATTTCAGATAGTTCTAATTAGTTCTGTAAAAGATGCCCATCCCTGCAGATATACATAATTTTCCATCCTCTTCAGCCTGTGAATAATCTTCTACTGCAACATCCTGTGGTGATGAGCTAATCCAGTCCAACCCAGTTAAAAGTGGAAATGAAAAAGTGGAAGAGAAAGGATCAAAAATAACCTTTGGTGAGAAAGAACAGAGGAAACTGTTGAAGTTTCAACTGCCAAACTATAGTTTCTAACTTGAACAATAATGTTTTAGCTAGAAGATGGAATCTTCCACTCCAGCTCAGGTCGATCCTGTCCTGACCAACATAACAGCTCAGACAGGAGGAAACATCTGTGCTCCTCTTCTCCACGGAAATCATTTTCAAGGCTCGGTTACAGTTGTGAACATAACTGGAGGTAAGTGACGGGTGAGAAACAAATTTTATGTAAATGAATCTCTTTGTCAAGCTGAGCAGTTAAATCTACAGATAAGTTGTATATGCTGCAGCAATGGCCATGAGTTACTAATTCCTATGTTTGTCTAATTTTTTAATGTGGTATACAATAAGCAGTAGACATTTTTTTCCTTGTATCCTCCCCGCTATGGGCCAGATTCATAAAAAGCTGCACCAGATTTACCATGTTAAGAGCAAACAGCATGGTTGTAACACATATGCTTGTTCAGAAATAAGCATTGCCAGCATATTTCACTGCCTGTGCGATGTGAGGCGTGGCCGTGCTGTTATCTTACTGTGTGTGAAAAGAGTAGGTTTGGCTTGTAATCCACAAAAGTGAAATGTAATTTCACACGTTGCATAAATGTGTGAATAGATTTTATTGCAAGACGTTTTAGCTTTAAGTACTATTTTTCTATGTATAATAGATTTTGCAAAATAAAATCACATTTTTTACATTAGAAAACTAATATGTAATATTCACATGTACATATCAAATTCATGATATCAGAAATTAAATAATTATCTTTAAATTGAATTCTTGAGAAATTGGAAATAAAAAAGAAAACCATAGCCATAGCAACTGGAATTTCAGACAAAGTAATTTTTAAAAAAAAAAAAATTATATATAACAAAGTTTCATATTATTTGTTAGCACTTTTTTAAAATTTGTAGCTCGGTTGAAGAGAATTTTGCTTTTCATTGCTTCTTAATTTTTTATTCTTTTTGCTGCCAATCAGAGCTTCACTTGGCAGGTCTTTAGTATGTCAGACCTTATTTACACATGGATTTTACTTGCTAGGTCACACAGCATTAAAAAGACAACTGTGCTAATCACTGACATGGCTATGAATAGCTCTTATTTATGGTGATGCACATTTATCATGGCGTAATTAATATAATATTAATTATATAGTTATTTAATGTATTTTTTATTGCCTCTAGGTCAAGAAGCTTCCAGTTTTAGTACCAACAGTGTTCAGATTGGCAGCTCTCTCAGTGCTCCTACTCTCACTGAAGGTAACGTGCATGTGTATTGCCTATAAAATGTATTCACCAGTCCTTGGAAGTTTTTGTATTTAATATTGGAATATTGAATCACAATTTTGTTTAACACTTTTGCTTATCAGATTTGCTGGATCTCCATAAACAAAAACTGAAGAAAAAATTTCAAAGCATTAATGAAGGAATCACACAGCATAGAAAGTTAGCAAATCTAAATGAGATCTACACAGAGCTCTACATCATAGAGGGAGGGAGTGGAGAGGTCAATAATGAACATGAAGTCAGACAGATTGAGGCAGCATCCAGAAGACCAGCAACACAGGAGAAAGCAATCAAATGCAACAATCTCTTTAAAGACAGACCCATCAGAACGGTGCTGACTAAAGGAGTCGCTGGAATTGGAAAAACAGTATCTGTGCAGAAGTTCATTCTGGACTGGGCTGAAGGAAAAGCAAATCAAGACGTTCTCTTCATATTTCCACTTCCTTTTAGGGAACTCAGTTTGATAAATAAAAGGTTCAAGCTGATGGAGCTTCTTCATTGCTTTTTCCCAGAAGCAAAAAGATTAAAATCAATAGACTGTGATGCACACAAAGTGATATTTATCTTTGATGGTCTGGATGAGTGTCGACTTCCTCTAGATTTTCAAAACAATGAGAGTATGTGGGAAACAACAGATTCTGCCTCAGTGGATGTGCTGCTGACAAACCTCATCAAGGGGAATCTGCTTCCCTCTGCTCTCCTCTGGATAACCTCTCGACCAGCAGCAGCAAATCAGATCCCTCCTGAGTGTGTTGACCTGGTAACAGAGATACGAGGGTTTAGTGACCCTCAGAAAGAGGAGTACTTCAGGAAGAGACTCAGTGACCAGAGCCTGGCCAATAAAATCATCTCACACATGAAGTCCTCAAGAAGCCTCTACATCATGTGCCACATCCCAGTCTTCTGTTGGATTGCAGCCACTGTTCTAGAGAGAGTGTTGGGTGGAGCAGAGAGTGGAGAGATCCCCAAGACTCTGACTCAAATGTTCACACACTTCCTGATCTTTCAGATCAAACACAAGGACCAAAAGTACCATGGAAAATGTGACACTGATCTTGAGCAGACTAGAAAGATGATTCTGGCACTGGGAAAACTGGCTTTTCAACAGCTGGAGAAAGGTAATCTGATCTTCTATGAGGAAGATCTCAGAGAGTGTGGCATTGATGTCAGAGAAGTGTCAGTGTACTCAGGAGTTTGTACCCAGATCTTCAGAGAGGAGTTTGGGCTGCACCTGGGGAAGGTGTTCAGCTTTGTGCACCTGAGTGTTCAGGAGTTTCTGGCTGCTTTATATGCATTTCTCTCTTTCATCAGCGGAGATGAAACAAAACAGCTGACCACTGATCTCTCTGAAATGTTCAAAAAGTCCAACATGTCAGACTTCCTTAAGTCTGCAGTGGACAAGGGCTTACAGAGTGAGAATGGACACCTGGACCTTTTTCTTCGCTTCCTTCTGGGCCTCTCACTGGAGTCCAATCAGACTCTCTTACGAGGCCTACTGACACAGACAGGAAGCAGATTTCACACCAAAGAAAAAATAGTGCAGTACATCACGGAGAAGATCAGGGAGAATCCCTCTCCAGAGAAATCCATTAATCTGTTCTACTGTCTGAATGAACTGAATGATCATTCTCTGGTTCAAGAAATACAAACATTTGTGAACTCAAGAGGTTATAGTCGTCTCAGTGGTACCAGTCTCTCTCCTACCCAGTGGTCAGCACTGGTGTTTGTGTTGCTGAATTCAGAAGAAGAGTTGGATGAGTTTGACCTGCTTAAATATGATCCATCAGAAGAGGGACTCCTGATGCTCCTGCCAGTGGTCAAAGCATGCAGAACAGCTGTGTGAGTACTTTCAGAGAAAAATGTTTTACTTCATTTATTAAACATCATATAACAATAATGGCTGCCCTTCCTGCCAGGGCAGCAGGTATTCTGAGCTGAAAGTGTAGGTGGAGCTATACCATACCTTTAAAAAAAATGCAATTGTCACAGATCTGTCATTGTCAGATAACCACTACATAATGCTTTACACAATAACCAAGTTTTTTGTATTACACTGTACCTCAAATATCTCAGTAGCTGGTAATTTGAACATTCAAACCTGCCATAGCCTATAGCAGTCCTTGCACATTTCCAATACTATGGCTATCACAGACTCACAAAATTATAAAACCATATAATCCCACCTCAAAATCCAGAGGTCAGAATATTGGGAAAAGATTCAAACACAGACAACTACCATAGCCAGCTTTGCTCTATGGCACTGTATATGTAATGGAAGGGCATGTTGTAGTTAAAATCACAAAACATTTGACTTAGTAGATAACTCCTGAACAACCAGTAGTTTGAGCTGTAGTAGGTTTTAAAGTATTTCTTTATGACTCATGAATTTACAAAGTATAAGAGTCCTTAATACAGGTGAATACACAACAATAAAGCTCACTAAATGCAAATCTGACATGTGACAACCATTTTCAGTCATGGCTAATGCAGATGTAAACCAGCTATATGGGACTGTGGGTGAGGGTGGGACAAACCACAACTGCTTTGTGCAAATTTTCTGCAGCAGCAAGAAGGAACAGGTGGAAATCTTGTGGGAGGACAAAAAAAATAGCTCTGCAAATACTTTCAGTGTCAGATAATCAAAGTTTATACTATAAGAGCTTGATGTGGCTTGATGGAGGAGTTTAGCCTAAAGCAGTGGCCTTCTCAAGGTGTCCCAATTTGCCACAATTGCAGGCAAAATCACTGTGGGTAATGTGAGCAGAGAAGCAAATTTTGCTGATGTACTTAATTATAGTACTGTACGTAAGACATTAGCTTTAAGTCTGTGCTTATATCCCTAATAAGCAACTTAAAAGTGAGATCAGCAGCTGCATGACAGAAGATCTGGAATGAGATGGGAGTAAAGGATGAATATAAATGGAATGATAGGATGAAAAGAAAGGAATCTTATGGTTACTCAAAATATTCCAGGGTTATTTGACACTGAATGTTGTTCTGGGGCACATACAAGATTAAGGGGTACATCACCCAAACTCTCTGCTCACCGGTCATTGAGGCACCAATGTACATGTATTCATGAAACAACCAGCTTAGCACTTCATTGATTTGGTGAAAATCTACCTTGATGTGAAAATTTAAACTTATTTTAACACTGACACTTGTTGTGCTGCTCTTTCCCTGTGGCAGTTCCTCTTTAACTCCTACCAGTGCCAGGTCCTTGTTCAATTTCTGTACCACTTCTTCCATGGCACCTCCCCCATGCCAGTTCTACTTTCATTCCTTTTAGTTTCGGATCAGAAGTGCTTGTGTTGAAAATGGGATGATATCCTAGAAACTTTGTGTTTAGCCAGTACTTTTTGATTCCTTCAGATGTCCTTGTTCCTGACATACATATGACTGCAGTGCTAGGAGAAGCTATTTTCAAATGTTGTATACTAGAGTTGCCTTTAAACAGAGTACATTTAAAAGGCTTCATAATAGTAGCTTCACCTTGTAGGGCCAAAATGTTGCACATGTTGATAGGTAATGAGTATTGCTTGTGTAGGAAAGCCATAGGAAAGAATTAATCTTGACTTATATACTAACTATATAGATACACTCAATGTGTGCTTTTGCATGTGTGTAAGAGAAAGTGGCAGTGTGTTGATTATTATTTTTTGTGTTTCTGAACGTGTGTGTCTGTTATCATGCAATCTCCCAGATTGTGTGAGTGTAATCTCACAGAGAAAAGCTGTGAAATTTTGTCTTCAGCTCTCAGCTCAAAGTCCTCAATTCTGAGAAAACTGGACCTCAGTTACAATGAAGTGCAGGATTCAGGAGTGGAGCTACTTTCTGTTGGACTGGGGAGTCCACACTGTAAACTGGAGAAACTGAAGTAAGATAATGATTTCATCTCTCTGTATGTAGATCACACATACACACAAACATTTTTACACATTGACCCACTGAACCATGCTGGCTGCTGAACCACTTTTTCAAGTTTTAAATGTTCTGTTTTGTCCTTTTTGTTTTATGTTCCTCAATGTAGGATGTGCACTTGCACACATACACGCACACACACAATGCTTGATATATATTATATGTGTTATATGATATATTCCTAGGAAAATAAGTAGCTCATAAAATATTTCAGATATTCTGAATCTAATATTTGTCATGACTGAGATGATAATACCCCGATAGTTGGACTCCGCCAGGGTTGTGCCCTGTCTCCACTCCTGTTCATGATATTCATGGACAAGGTGTCAGGGTGTAGCCGTGGTCAGGAGGGCATTATGTGTGGAGGCCGGAGGGTGGCGTCTCTGCTATTTGCAGACGATGTTGTTCGATGTTGTGCTGGATCACATGGATGCCTTCAGTGCACACTGGAGCAGTTTGCAGCTGAGTGTGAAGCGGTTGGTATGTGGATCAGCACCTCCAAGTCTGAGTCCACAGTCTTAGCCCGGAAAAGGATGGCATGCCCACTCCAGGTAAGGGGAAAGGACTTGCCCCAGGTGGAGGAGTTTAAGTATCCCAGAGTCTTGTTCATGAGTGATGGGAAGAGGGATCGTGAGATTGACCGCAGGCTGGGACAGGCGGCAGCAGTAATGCGGTCACTGTACCAGACTGTAGTGGTTTACCGGTCGGTCTACATCCCGACCCTCACCTATGGTCATGAGCTATGGGTAATGACTGAAAGAATGAGATCGTGAATACAAGCGGCAGAAATGAGCTTTCTTCGCAGGGTGGCGGGCTACACTCTATTTCATAGGGTGAGGAGCTCGGCCATCCGGGAGGGGCTTGGAGTAGAGCCGCTACTCCTTCGCATTGAGAGGAGCCAGCTGAGATGGTTCAGGCTTCTGATCTGGATGACCCCTGGATGCCTCCTGGACACCGGGGTCATCCTAGGACCCGCTGGAGGGATTATATCTCCAGGTTGGCCTGGGAGTGGCTTGGGGTCCCCGGTAATGAGCTGGAGGAAGTTGCGGGGCAGGGTCATCTGGGATTCTCTGCTCTCCCAACTGCTACCATGACCCTAGCTGGACTAAGTGGTTAACAATGATGATGATGAGATGATTATTTCGGCAGCATTTGAGATCAGTCTAAAATTTGCGTTAAACTATCTGAGGAAATTTCTCACCATCTTATGTATCAGAAATGCCATATGAGAGCCTATTATGTCTTTGCTTTCTGGTCCTGGATTGCCCCAGTTGAAGTGGGAATGCTAAAGCAGAGAAAACCTTGAAATGTTTGCAGGAAGTGAAAGTCTAACTAGGGTTGAGGACCTATATATGTCTATGAATATGGCAGGAAAGCCATGGGCAGACACCATAGATTTGTCACCTACATGGCTTACAGAGACAATAAACATGCAAATAAATTTAAGTGAATGCCAATGAGTTTTAATTGTTTTTGAGATAAAAGATAATTGAGGAAATAAAAAATGATGGGGGCAAGGACAAGAGGCTTCAACATATATAGGTTTTAGATTCAGATTTTGATAAGTGACATCTATCACTCATGAATCTTAAATGCTCAGGTGTGACAGAATTCTCTTCCTCTCTTTACTGCTCCTAAGGGATCTTGAGAAGTGCATCCTAGATAATAAAATAAGAAGCTTGTGTTTATCTCATGAAATATTAGTAGTGAGCAGTATTTTGTTTTTTTTGGTAGTTTCTTTTTAATTAAATTTATTTACTTTCTTTTTAATCTCATTTTAAAGTTTGTTTTCCTATGCTTTCTATCCCAGACTGTCTAACTGTGATCTGACAGGGAAAAGCTGTGCAGCTCTGGCCACTGCTCTCAGCTCAAAGTCTTCAAGTCTGAGAGAACTGAACCTGAGTCACAATGAAACCCTGCAGGATTCAGGGGTGGAGCTGCTCTCTGCTGGACTGGAGAATCCATACTGTAAACTGGAGATACTAATGTAAGACCATCACAGCAAATAAAAAGTGAAAGAAGTGATTTCTAAACATTTACATGTATTTAATTGAAACAGCACAGATGAAATTGAATAGATATTTAACATTTTACATTACTAGGTGAATAGGTAGCAGGAGATTATATTATGACTGGGTATCAATGGAAGTGAATGGTCCAACAGTTTTAGAACAATGTTTCTCAATGAACAATTGTAAGAAATGTAGATATTTCACCATTTACAGTCAATTAAATTAGGAGAAATCTCTGTGAGTAAAGGACAAGGCTAAAGCCAATATTGAATACCCATGCCCTTAATAAATATAGCTGTAAAAGCTCAGGAATACTTTAGTAAACCCTTGTCCCAGATAATTGCTGCATCTACTAATGCAAGTTCAGACTCTACAATGTACAGCAGTAGCCATTTATCAACAACATCCAGAAATGCCGCTGACTTCTCTGGGCTAAAGCTCCTCTGAGATGGTCTCATGCAAACCGGAAATGTTGTGTGTTGTGATGATTCCACCTTTCAAAATGTTTTTTGAAAAAATGAAGGTCATGTTCTCTGGGCCAAAGTGGAAAATGCAGAGACCCAAGAGTCATGAATTAAATGATGACTGTGTATGTGCAGCAACCAGTTATATAACTATGTGAAGGATACTGTAAAAGTTGAGGACTAAAAAGTAACCTGTTTTTGAAGAAACTCAGAGTTTGATAACAGTACAAAGCACAAATATACTGAGATTACTTGATAGGGATCCTAAAACCACTCAGCAGAAACCACAGAGAACAAATATGAGCCCTGATTCGAGCATATGATATGAAAGTCTCGCCTTACTTTGTAGTAGATCAGGCTGCAGGGAATGTCAGTACAGAGCACTGACTCAGGGCAGCCATTTAACACCTGTCAAAACTTTTGCCTGTGCATGATGATGTCAGGGTGGCCTCGGAGTGGCCTCTCTTAGGCCTGGCAGCATCAGTCCCTTTGGAAAGGTTAGCTGTTTCCCGGGTTGGTTATTCACATGCATGCAGCAGGCACAGGGTTCCACAGTTTCCACTGGTAAGACCTTGACTTGAGACATGGTTAGGCAAACTTTGTCCTGAATGAGCTCAGATGAAGGATGCAGGCTTGTTCTCTGGAGTTAGTCTGCTCTGTCTGGTTTAAAACGCAAGTCAGGTTCACCTGCCACACAACAGACTACACCTAACTCTGGTGCATAGCATTGGGCATATTACACTGATCATAAACAAATGAAACAAAGGCTTAACAAACAAGACTTGAATTTGTTGATCTGTAAAACAGAATTTCAAATGTCTGTTGCTTAAAGTTACTGTATGAAGTTTCTTCCAACTTCTCCTTTGGGATGAGCTGAGCTGAGCAATTTTGTTTGAATTGACACACTACCTTGGGGTGGAGCCAGGGCATGGCTACAGGGAAACAAGCAAGCAAGCAAAGTTTATTTAAATAGCGCTTTTTACAACAGGTGTTGTCACAAAGCAGCTTTACAAAGAAATCAGCATTACAGAAAGAAATCCAGGTCCAAGCCCCCATAAGCGTCACCAGTGGCGACAGTGGCAAGTAAAAACTGTCTAAGAGAAACAGGAAGAAACCTTTAGAGACTGAAAAGGGGAACCATCCTCCTCTGGTCGATATTGGATAGTAAACATTGTTAGTATAAAGTATTATAGTACAAAAATGGGGAAAACAGATGGAGCATATGATTAATTTGATTAGTTAAGATCAAGCAGCAGCAGCATCAGTGGGGTCAGGTTGTGAGTGTGAGGTTTGCACGGTGTTGTACAGAATGAAGCTCAATGGTGGTCAAGCCGGTCCAGAAGGCTGGCGAGCAGTGGCACCCGATCAAAGCAGAAGAGGCAGCGTCAGAACACACAACTCATAGGGAACTCATAGGCTTTGTTGGCTACATGAATATTCTTTCTATTCAGTCTAGTAGTGCTGACTGGTTTAAATTCTGACATCAAAATGTGGCACTGGCCCCTAGTTTGACACAAAGATGTTACATAAAATTCACAAATGAACAAAAAATTTGCAGTAAAATATTTTTATGCAATCATTCATTTCACAAACTAGAGATATCAAATTTATAGAAAAAATTCTTGTGCTTTGTTTGACCCTTAAGTGGGGGTATGTTAACTCTACTATAAAAATAATTCAGATTAATTCAGTCAGTGAGATTTTGGAAGGCACAGCACTTTCAGTTTCAGTCATGTGGGGGAACTGTGGGTCTGCAAGAGAGTTTAGATTAAAATCCATGGACAATATGTCTGCCAAGTGACTCTACAGAGATGTACTGTAGTTCATGGACTGTATGATATATGTGGGAGGAGATCTGATCAGTGATTAACAGTAAGAGCTGATATTAAGGTTGGGAAAATAGACTTTTTCAACCGGAGGGTCTGGTCTGAGATTCTTGATGATTGAGGAGATTTCTGGCCTTTAGAAAGTGGATTCCTGATTCCTGTTTGGTTTCCTGGTGTATGGGAGAGGGGCCTTGAAAAAGTTTTGGGGGGTTGTCTTGTCTGTGGATTCCACGCAAGTCAGTGCCTTCATGTTGCTACACTTTGTACTGTTTTCAGTTGAATATGGGTCAAAAAGGATTTGCAAATCATTGTTGCCTGTTTTTCTGTACATTTCTCTTACTGTCACAACTTTTTTGGAATTGGGTTTGTAGATCAGCATCAGAACTGATCATGTGCTAAGGGTAAAAAGAAATACAATTAACCTTTTTTATGTAATAAAACAATATGTATAAACTGGTAAATAATGTGAATGAAAGTCATTATCGTTTTAATAAAACAGAAAACTTCTTCCAATTATGATGTTACACATCATTTTAGTTGTCATGGATGTGCTTATCTATTGATATATATAAAGCTGCAGCTAATGACAATGTTACATTAGAGATTCTTTGAGTACAGTGAGCACTGATCTGACAGACTGGTATGGCATCAGTATCAATATTTACCTTATTAAATCCATATTCAATCCAGTTTTATGCTGTCTTAAAAATGGTCACTACAAAATTGTAAAAAAGGACAATGTCATAAAATATTTGGACGATCCAAATTATTTACACTAAGAGTGTAGAGATGCCAACCAGCAGGAATCAAGGTAATATTAAACATGACTGGAGTTTGCAATTACCTTATGGTTGACACAGCTATAAGTACACCAGTGTCTAATCACAAAGGCAAAGTTTTGAGGGGTGGAAGTACCACTCTTGAATGTAGTACAAATGGTTGCACATCACAATCTGTCAACCCTGATGGCCAACCAGCATACAGTACTGGAGAAAAACAATGATAGTAACTGCACCATGTCAAGACTTTACTAGGTTTGTACAGTTGGAAAGGTTTGTGCATCCCTAACTGAATTGCTTTTTTATGTTGTTAATGCACTGTTACCTTTGATTTGATTATCTTACAGAGCAAAAAAAAGAATGTAATAAAAAGTGTGGTGTGGGTTCATACCAGTTTCTTCTATTCCACTTAAGCAGACAAAAGCTTTGAATGTGAGTGCTAAATATGAGTGAAGAGAAGCAATGCAACAGGGGATTTCACAAATAATAGTGCAAAGAAGTGTTTAGAAGTCTATCACTGTAAATGTGTTAATCTGTTTACATTGAGATATGGATTTTAGGCTGAGCTTTCCTACATTTTATTTAAAAAATCTAATCCTGATGTAGGTAACACACATGTGTATATATATACACACATAAGTTTGATTATTCCTGGTGTGGATATAATATTTAGGTCTCAGCCCTTCATACAGCATATGTGCTAAATGTTAGAAATGGAGAGATGGTGTTCTGATCTATTTTTGTTCCTCTTCCAGACTACATTGGTGTAATATCACAGAGAAAAGCTGTACACCTCTGGCCTCAGCTCTCAGCTCAAACTCCTCAAGTCTGAGAGAACTGAACCTGAGTTACAATAAACTGCAGGATTCAGGAGTGAAGCTGCTCTCTGCTGGACTGAAGAATCCACACTGTAACCTGGAGAAACTGAGGTGAGATCACTATCATTGTGGAAGTATATGACTCTGTGAGGTTGTTTTCCTTTAGCATTACTAAACCTTGAATATTGAATTTGTCATTGAACCAAAGATAAACAAAACATAGAAAAGTATAATAGAAAAAAAATAGATAAATAAAATTAATTAAGGTAATAGATGAGTATGCTGAAAATAAAAACATACTATTGCATAAGCAGAGGTTTCATTTTGTCCCCTAAATTTAAATCAGCCAGCTGGAATAAATGTACGCAATTAATTCATCAAAACTTTCTCATACACTTTTCATTCCTCAGTGCAAGGGTGTGTTGTGTATTTAGAATTTAAAGCTCCAGATGAGGTCAAAAGTGTGCCTGGGGGAGCTGTCAAAGTCTTACTACAAAAATATAATTTTCTAGTCCTTTCCAAAGCCAAAAGCAAATTTACAAAACATCAGCTTGGGTTAAAAATGTTGCTGCATTTTTGGCTTTTGTATTTGGTATTTATAATCCTTCTTCACCATGAAAGCCGAAAGGAGCGTTGTCAAATTTTTCAAAGCAAATGTGTAATTCTGTGCATGTAGTCTTCAAAAGTAAGACTTAAATGGTCCATAAACATTTTTCATGCCTGTTGTTGCAACAGGCTTTAACCTATGATCCCTGATAGTTTTGGTTTTACATTTGCTGTGTTGGAATAGGTATAATGACAACAGCAATAAGCTGTAGCATGATGTTATGACAATGCAGTACATATCATGATTTAGAAAATGTTTGGCAATGTCCCTGTGAGTATGCAAGTGTTTGTGCAGTATGCCTGTGCAGTTCAGTGTAAAAAGGTTTGAAATACATCTTTTTAATCACAAGTCAATGTAATAAAAATACATTTAACATCACTTTGTCTTCATTCAAGCTGATTTTGTGGGGACAGCATTATGTCTTATAAACATTTTTCATATTGTTGGGGCTCAGCACTGAACTGTCTATTTACATTAGCCACTACAAGGGACTCAAATGTTATGTTTTTCACCCCATGGTGTCTTATACTAACCTGCAAAACATACTTCCTAAGAATTCAATCACTCTATCGTAATTTCATCATGAACATCATATTCATTATTAGTCATTCCTAACTACAAGTAGGCCTACACTTTTTTATATAATTATTTAGATATATTTTTCATTCAACAAACAGGCACAAAATTGAAAAGATATGTGGAAAATATTTATAAATGTTATGTTTGTAGCTTTTATGTAACTTTATGTTCATTGCTTTATTTTGCTTTTATATATCATTTTTTGTGTGCTGAGTTATGTGTTTTTTCTCCTTCTCTCTGCAGTCTTTATAATTGCAGTATTACAAATGAAGGTTTTGTGACACTGGCTTCAGCTCTAAAATCAAACCCCTCTTCTCAACTGAGAGAGCTGGATTTGATTGACAATCAACCAGGAGAGTCAGGAGTGAAACAGCTCTCTGATCTACTGGAGGATCCACAGTGTAAACTGGAGAAACTGTAGTAAGTTACTGAGATGACTGGTGTCAAAAACAATTTTGAGTCCACTTTACCTCGAGAATGTAATAAGACCAAGTCAAAATTATGTTGAGACAGAGATAAGGCAAAGATTGCTAATTTGTGTTCTTGAGAGTGGACTGTACCACAACACTACTACTGAACTAAGCAATGTTTATAATATTTTAAAGAGGAAAGCTATTCTTGTAATGTTAACTATGTGTGCAGAGAAAGGCAGATTTGAATCAATAGTGATGCCAATGTTTTTCACAGTTCCACCTGATGCAACTGAAAAGCCATCAAGGCTTAGTATTAAATTAGACAGTTTGTTTCTATCAGCTTTTGGACCAGGAAGAAGGACCTTTGTTTGTCTGAGTTGAGTATGAAGACACATTGCGTCTAGTCTTTTGTTGTTTACACAGTCCAGTTTTGGTTTATCATCTACTTTGACTCACACGTACAATTTTGTTGTCGGCACGGCAGTGAAGGTTGAGGCAGGGCTTATAGATCACATTACACAATGGTAGCATATATGAGAATATTAGAGGTCATAGAACAGAACCTTGTGGGACACCATGCTTTACTTCTTTATGAACAGTTGTCTGTTACTTACATTTCCTGACTTACATTTACTGATTCTTATGCCAGCATGAACTATCCAAAATAATTGATATAAAAGGGCAAATTAATCTGTGGTTTGATGGAGAGACTCTGTTAAGCATTAAGCACAATCTAGGGGATTTCAACAAAGTAAGTCTTAATCCTCTTGTCTTAACTCATTAAACCCAATACTAAAACACTTTTACTTCTGCTGTATAATCTGCTCCTATCTCCTTTTCTGTCTTACAGCATCAACCGACAGGATTCAGATGAGCTGTTATGAGCTTCACACACAGAGGGTTATGAGGAGATGATGAAGTCTCAGTAAAAACACACACACACACACACACACACACACACACTCTTAGTATAGAACTGAACAGTCTCGTTCTGTAGGAAAAAATCCCATTAATAATCGCCAAAGGGGAATTCATTTTTACCCATAAGATTTTATCCAGCCAACATAGACTTACCACAAGCTAGGAGTTTGTGAAATGATGGTACATGCTACAATTGTAGCTGTTCGGTTTTGACAGAGTTACTGTGAAAGACAACACATACAGGGTTTTGGAGGGTTTTACAGAAAAAAATTACTGACATGGATTTCACACAGACGTGTCATAATGTCATGCTGCAAAATATATTAAACCATTTAGAGACAAGAATATCCTGAATACCCGGAATACAATGAAATGGATATTGTGGTAGAAAAACTCTCCCTCCCCTCCATGATAAACTAACAGTAGACTTGGATACTAAATCTAATCACAGATAACAAACATAACATTACATGCTAAAGAATGACAAAAATCCCCTTCACTTCACATATTAATGCAGCATCAAACTTTCTCCACTTTCCAGGTTTCCTTACAGTAATTATATTTGTACTTCCATACCACTTGAATAAGAAAAATAAGAAGATATACCATGTCTGGATAAATGTCATTCTTATAGAGTTAAACAAAAAAACATTGTTTCATAAGGTTCACTGCTAAAAAACTTGATAGCTATCAAAACTAGAACGATAAAATTCAAACATTATATGTAAATAAGATATACTTATTATTATTATTATTAATATTATTATTATGATTAATAATAATAATAATAATAATAATAATATAATAATGCAACTGTAATATCCACAAAAACATTTAGAGAAATAACACAATTGCAAAATTTGGTTGAAATCATTTGCAGTGCTTTGTGGAACATGTTGTTCATTCCAACATTTGTTTTGCATTTTAAAACCTTTTTTGCTCTGATTTAACCTTTATAATGTCATGCTTTATCTCGTAACTCATTGGTTCAGTTGAAAGCTTAAAACTCTTTATACAAAGATTTTCAAAATGTCTATGGATGAAGAAATTAAATAAATGGAATTTTTACTTCTGGAACCAGAGCCACTGAAAACGTAGGCAGTCACTGTTCAGCTATATAGTTCTACATGGTACCTTGTGTGTGTTTGGGTTCTTATTGGTCATCTCCCCATGACATCACTTCCTGTACAGAGTGACTCCACCTCCAGACACCCCTCCATCAAACTCCTCACGTTGGTTAATGACTCCACACTGGTGATGAGAGTATGTACAGAAGGAGCTCCGGACATCATGGCAAAAACATGAGATCAACACTCCAAACCAGTGGATTCCATATTGATAACAGTTTAGCTCATATACATAGGAACCCTAAAAGGCCTCGCCCCTCAGTACCTGAGTATATCTCCTATTATGAATCGACGCACTTATGTAGATCAGAGGCTCCCTGCTAGTACCTTGAACTAGGAAAGTTACAGTGAGTGCTGCCGTCCTGCTGCTCTCACACAATCAGGTTTGTTGATGGTGGAGTGGAGGCGCTCTGATATCTCAGGGAACCCTCATGCCTGTGATGCCTTCTGGCTATTATGGCAGCTGAGCTGTTGTAGTTAGACCTGTCAGAGCCTCTGCTTGCACTGTATTAATCCAAGATATCATGTTCAGAGCATTCCAAACAGATCTGTGTTTTTCTTTGAACTTCCTGTTTGGTGATACTGGTGCAAGATCGACCTTCATTGGGTGTTTCTGGTCCAGATCAGTTTGACCAACATGAAGCCACCAGCATGTGCCATTAGACCCTATGCTTTATTCTTATTCTCAATCTTTTTAGATAAGCTTAGTTACTGGTTTCCCTAGTTAGGTTTGTCTAAATACTTCTATGTAATGATTAGAATTAAATTGATTCTTTATTCATTATTGATTATTGCTTATCTATCTGATTGCTGCAACTGTCTAAGTGTCCTATCATGGAGAGATCATGATTTTGATCCCTGGCAATGCTACAGCCATCTGTGGCTGGGAGTCCAACAGACAATTGTACTCTCTCTGTGTGAGGAGGCTGGTCCCCCATCATTCAGTGCAATGCTATCCAACTTGGGTGTCTGTTAGCTGATTGGACATGACAATATTCTATACCGATTAGTTATTTCATTATTATTTTTTTTCATGTTTGTTTGCTAACGTTTTGCTATTTGGTTTTGGCCAGAAGAGGATGAGTTACTCATTCATAAGTGTCAACTCACATGGCTCACAGTTTTGGAGGTGTACAGCTAAATAAGGCTGGGATATACAAAATATCAAAGCAGTATACAGGAATATTTAGACCAGTAACAGCTAATTTAGATAACTAACTAATTTAGTGAACATGTAAAAACATCACCTCTATTTTAGGGCAGGCCTCAATTTTAGGAGGGGACACCAATTTTAAGTATAATGTATAATATTAACTATACATAGAGTCTGAATGGCATGGTTTGTTTTTAGCCTAGATATAGTCTACTTGCACAGACTGTTGTATAGCTAACTTAGTTTACTTCTCTATGTATATGACACAGTCTTGAACTCTTCTGCCAAAGCAGAATATTCAGCAGTTGAATCCTCAATACTCCTTGATGATTTACAAATTGAGCTTCATAAGCTAGCATTAGTTCTTAATGCCAAAAAAGCTACATTTGTGTTGTTTACCAGAGCCAAATATGTTGACTATGAGAATCTGATAATCTGTATCGTAAATAGGCCAAACCTGGTTTTGAGTTTTTCTTTTCATTGTAGAAAGATGCTTATTGTCTAACTTTTCTTTCATGCTTTGATTATGGTGATATTTTGTATTTGTATGCTTCAGCTTCCTTGGACTGTGTTTATCAATCTACGCTTAGATTTATTACCAGTGACTGCTTTAACACTCATCATAGTCAGCTTTATGCTAAAATTGGAATGGTCTTCTTTATTTGTGAGATGAAGTAAACATTGGATTTATTTATTCATAAAGCTTTTATCAGACACCTGCCTCCATACATCACCCTCTTATTTGACTTTTAATCATGGATAACTTGCTTCAGTGATTGGATTACACTGCAGGTCCCTCTTGTTTTCACTAACCATGTTTTATTTATTGTGCACCAGCAACTTGGAACAAATTTCGAATCAATTTAAAGCTCACCTCACTTTTATTCCTTAGCCAGTTTACTTTTATTTCAACTTATTTTTCTTTTTTTTCATTTGATTTTTATTGTTTGAATTGTTCTTATTGTTTTGTTTGTGATTGTATTGATTATTGCTTTGTATACTTATATTATTAATTTTGTTGTTTTTATTTTTCATTATTGCACTTTTCCTTTGGTGTCTTATATACATTATGAAATGCTTTGTTTCTTACTTGGCTATTTCTTCAATACATGCTCGAGTTTAAATAAAGGTTGAAATGAATACAGTCTAATATAGTTTCCCCATTAACGTTAGCAAGTAACATCAATAATTCAGAGATTCTTTTCTCATTTTTTTTGTTTTGATTTATTGGGCTTGCTATCTATGTCGGACTGTTTATCTGTTTTATTTTCAAATGAAGTAAAAATATATCTTTTTTTTTTTTTATTCTGTATGACTTTTCACATTCAGAAAGCAAACAAACACAAAAGTTTATTTCACACAAAGCTAGCATGCTGTGAAGTGTAACCACAGCAGACAGTTGGCTTAGCTCCTTGCTGCACCACCCACATGACCAATACAACCCTCTCAAACTAAAGCCATGGCTAAATGGGCTACTAAAATGGATGCTATGCAAAAGTGAGTGGCCAAACTGTTAAAAGTACAAAAATCTATGGCCTTTCTGGGCTTCCATATATTAGTGAGCATAGGAAAAGTTAATTAACAAAAACATTGTGAATGTGCAGCTAATACTGAAAGCCAATGGATGGATGATATGTGGCTTTTCTCCATTTTGTGCAGAGAGGAACATAAAGGGCTTCAAGAGAGAAAGACAGTGAGTCTGTAAATCTGAGCTGTAGATTCTGAAATTATATGAATCTGCAGTTAATAAAGATCAGTTCAGTTGTTCAGTAGTAGTTTTTACTGAGGTCTTAACTAACAGAACTGACTTTCTGACCTGATGACTTGAATATTTCTCTGTAGGTGAACAGCCTGATGAGGCAGGGCTGAATCTGAGACAGTGATTTTGGAGTGAAGTCACTGTGTGTCCTGCTCTGTTTCTCTGTGTGTGTCTGTTTACAGGGTTCCAGCTGTGACCTGTAGGAGACATGAGCTCCAAAATGAGTTCCTCTGGAGAAGAACACACAGAGAAAGACCAGAGGTGAGAGAATAGATTGACAGATGTGAGCTTCAATCATAGCTGACTGTAACAATATATAAGGAACTAATGACGAAAGCAATACTGGGGCTAAAAAGAGTAGGAACCAGAGTTGGAGAGTTAAGGAGTTAAAAAGAGGAAACCTGTGGTGTTCCTATGAACAAAGACACTAAACCCAAACTTCAACATCAAAGAAATGTCCATTTATTGCTTTTAGTGAAATGACTGTTCAAAAATGATTATGTATGCACTGTTTGGTTGTGTTTTAGTTTGATTCAGAGTGAGGTATCAGACTCACCTGAACCCAGCTGTGTGTCCATTAAGAGTGACAGGTCAATAGACCATCCAGTAAGCTACAGAGAGGGAGATTGTTCTCCTGATGTGAGGTAAGAACAATGTGATGGTTTAGGACAGTGTTCCTCACTCTCAGTTCCACCTGATAAAACTTAGAGTTCATTTTGAGTGTAATGTGGAAAATATAACAGTAATGTGGAGATTTATACCTGGAACTGAGCATAATGTAGAGAGTATATAACAGTAATGTGGAGATTTATACCTGGATCTGAGTGTAATGTAGAGAGTATATAACAGTAATGTGGAGATTTATACCTGGAACTAAGTGTAATGTAGAGAATATAACAGTAATGTGGAGATTTATACCTGGAACTGAGTGTAATGTAGAGAATATAACAGTAATGTGGAGATTTATACCTGGAACTGAGTGTAATGTAGAGAATATAACAGTAATGTGGAGATTTATACCTGGAACTGAGCGTCATGTAGAGAGTATATAACAGTAATGTGGAGATTTATACCTGGATCTGAGTGTAATGTAGAGAATATAACAGTAATGTGGAGATTTATACCTGGAACTGAGTGTAATGTAGAGAATATAACAGTAATGTGGAGATTTATACCTGGAACTGAGTGTAATGTAGAGAGTATATAACAGTAATGTGGAGATTTATACCTGGATCTGAGTGTAATGTAGAGAGTATATAACAGTAATGTGGAGATTTATACCTGGAACTAAGAGTAATGTAGAGAATATAACAGTAATGTGGGGATTTATACCTGGAACTGAGTGTAATGTAGAGAGTATATAACAGTAATGTGGAGATTTATACCTGGATCTGAGTGTAATGTAGAGAATATAACAGTAATGTGGAGATTTATACCTGGAACTGAGTGTAATGTAGAGAATATAACAGTAATGTGGAGATTTATACCTGGAACTGAGTGTAATGTAGAGAATACAACAGTAATGTGGAGATTTATACCTGGAACTGAGTGTAATGTAGAGAATATAACAGTAATGTGGAGATTTATACCTGGAACTAAGTGTAATGTAGAGAATACAACAGTAATGTGGAGATTTATACCTGGAACTGAGTGTAATGTAGAGAGAATATAATAGTAATGTGGAGATTTATACCTGGAACTGAGTGTAATGTAGAGAATACAACAGTAATGTGGAGATTTATACCTGGAACTGAGTGTAATGTAGAGAATACAACAGTAATGTGGAGATTTATACCTGGAACTGAGTGTAATGTAGAGAGAATATAACAGTAATGTGGAGATTTATACCTGGAAGTCTAATGCCAGCATGAGCTGCATCAGTTGTGTTGGAGAAGGAAAACAGACTAAACTATGCAGAGCTGCAGCTCTGCAGGACTGGCAGTGAGGAACACTGATTTAGGATTTAATCACTTAAATCTGTGTCTGTGATGTGAATTCCCCTAGCCCTAACCTAGCTTGTCATGTCTGGAATGATATCAAATTGTGTTCAGAATAGAAGTGATTCTGATTATCTTAAATACCTGCCCTTTCTTTTAGCTATGCAGAGAGATTTTTTATTTTTATTTATTAGTTTTTAGTTTTAAACCAATTCCAAAAATTTGGGACAGTATGTGAAATTTGGGAAAATATGTGTTTACCATATGAACTCGATTTTTTTGTAAACATATGCTCATTCCAAATAAGATGCCTTTAACACATTCCAAAAAAGTTGGGAAATGAGCATGTTGGAATATTTACACATGTAAATTATTTTTTTTGCCAAACTATTCCTTTAAGCATTATCCCTATTCAAGATAGGGATCATTTTGAAAGCATTTCCTTCTTTTTCCTCAGTTTTATAAATTGCCAGTTGCTTAATTCACAGATATAAAATGTATTCTTTCTATATCGGTGAGCAGCTAAATATCAGTGAGCCATTTGTTTTTTTAAATACTCTTTAACCTGTTATCACATCCCAGTTTTATGGTTACCTGCCCAAAAAATGTTTGTTTTGGTCCATAACTTCAGTTTTATGTCTCTGAGTCACTTTAGCATTGTTTTATGAGTTCAGTACCAGACAAGCAGATGTGGGAGGAAGGCAGGTGTAAGTAAGTTACAGTGGGTGTTTTTTAATCCACACAACACCTTCAAATACTCACAAAGAAACAGATAATCTAAATGATGAAATAAATTATAAATAAATAATTAAATATTATTAGCTGTATCTTTCAATTACAATTAATTTCAAGTATTTTAACAGCTGCTAATAAATCCCCATATCAGTCTGGGCTGGCATAACATACTTCTGATATAGCTATCCTTTTAAGAACTAATTCATCTTCTGTGCCTACACTCTGTTCTGACTGCTGGGCTGGTTTCATGTTAAGAATCATAAGCTTCAAGAGTCACTTGTGCTTATTCCGCAATACCACATGGAAAACATGTCATATACCATCATTATCATGAACAATATCACATGACACACACCTAACAGTAACATGTTTGAAATGTTTATTCATAGAATTCAGCACATATTTCTATTGTAGGGCTGTTTTAAGTGTGCGTTTTTTTTTATTTCTAAGTACAAGGAAATGGTAAACAACCCCTGGCTACTGGTAGAGACATTAGAAATTAGGCTGAAAAACTAAAAATTGTGCAGTATTCCTGTAAACACACAAAAAGTGACCTGAATGTATTAAACACACAGGTATAACTCCACCAGTGCTGAGACAAAGGAGTGCTAGGGCCACAGGGATCCTGAGATGGGTGGAGTGAACTTTGACACTTGCTTGCTGTAGGTTTGTTCATGGTTTCCTAATATATGATTTGTGTGTCAGAAGAGATGTTTATACAATGATGTTTATAAAAACGTGTTGTGAAGTATTTTTTACCAAATGTTGTGCGTTTTAGACCTCTAAAGCAGTTTGAGAAAGGAAAACAAACATGATACAAACATTATTTCAAATTCAGGGAAAGGTCATTACTTAGCCTGTTTCAACCACGAATGGGGGACTCTGTGTTTAATATTCTTAACTAACTAGAGATGCAGCACTTTTCTGCCAGGGTGGTGTATATTGAACCAAGCATATTTGTTCACTCAGTTGGCCCTTCATAGTCTAGCAACTGTAACTATGCCTGGGATACCTCGGAAAAACGTTACAGTATGCCACAGCATAATTCACCCAATCTCCCAATCAGAGTTTGGTGTAAAGAGTGAACTGTTTGTCATTTCACCCTGAATACCAGGGAGTATATTGCACATTGCTAAAAACTAGACTGAATATGTAATCAGTTCCATAACAGAAACATTCCTTTAAATTTTGAGTAAATAACAGAGGTGGGAACAAGTCATTGTGATGCAAGTAAGAAGCAAGTCTCTAGTGATGACAGTCAAGTAACAAGTCCTGTGGACAGTGGTTTTTCAAAATGTAGGTTGTAACCCACTGACAGTCACAGTCAGGGGACGAGTGGGACGAGTAGGTTGCAAGTCATTTAAAGTCCAACTGGGAAAGGTACATGTGTGTTCCCTTTCATAACCTAATGTTTTACAGACAGACCTTAAAAATTATAAGACATGGGACAAGACAGTGTGCGTGGATTCATTACTACTTAAAAAAAAAAAAAAAATGGAATACGGTAGTTATATTCCCTAACTCACGGTGCTGAAGATGTTCCACCCTATGGACAGTTTTTTTTGTTCTGAGAGTATACTCTCTCCACAGTTTATTTATTTATTTATATGTGGGACTGGGTTAGGAAAGGCTGAAAGTCACATGGCAAAACCTGCACTTCCTCTTCAGCTGACAAAACCAATTCAAACCAGTTTAAGTGGAAGTGAAACTCAGCAGCTCCATTTTGTGAAGACAACAATAAAGCACTTCAGAAGAAAAGGACGGTGAGTCTGTGAATCTGAGCTGTAGATTATGACTGATATGAATCTACAGTAGATAAAGATCAGTTCAGTAGGTTTTTACTGAAGCCTTAACAGTATCAACTTCTTTACCTGATGACTTAATATTTCTCTGTAAGTGAACAGCCTGATGAGGCAGGGCTGAATCTGAGACAGTGATTTTGGAGTGAAGTAACTGTGTGTCCTGCTCTATTTGTCTGTATGTGTCTATTTGCAGGGTTCCAGCTGTAACCTGTAGGAGGAGACATGAGCTCCAAAATGAGTTCCTCTGGAGAAGAACAGCACACAGAGAAAAACCAGAGGTAAAAGAATGATATCATCGTCTTGAATGCTGGGTCGGCCTCTCGGACACAGTTTTAGAATGATTTAAATCATATTTAGGTAATAGACAATTCATGGTTTCACTTTGAAATCATTCATCAAAAAAATTGGTATTTCTTGTGGAGTCCCTCAAGGTTCAGTTTTAGGGCCTTTGCGTTTCTCTTTGTACGTGCTACCTCTAGGTGATGTCATTACGAAGCATAATATAATTTTTCATAGCTATACTGACGACACCCAGTTATACATTTCCATTCCTTCTGATGATCAAGACTCTGTGGACAGACTGACCAACTGTGTGTCAGATATTTCTCAGTGGATGTGGCAAATTTTTCTATAATTATATCATGAAAAAACTGAAATATTGATCGTTGGTACAGAAACTCAGAGAAAAATTATTTATGAGAAACTTGGTTCTTTATCTTCATATCCCAAACCTGAAGTACAAAACCTGGGTGTGATCTTAGACTCTGAGCTCTGTTTTATCCCGCATGTAAATGCAGTCACTAGATTAGCTTTCTATCATCTGAGAAATATCACTAAAGTTGTTCATACATTTGTTACAAGCAGAGTTGATCACTGTAATGATCTTCTTACTGGACTTCCTAAGAAAACTATACATCCCTTACAACTCATACAAAATGTGGCAGCATCCTAACAGAAACAACACAGAGAGATCAGATCAGTCCTGTTTTAAAAGAGCTGCACTGGATTCTTGTATCACTCAGGATAGATTTTAAAGTTCTGCTACTAAAGTGACCTTAAAGCTCTAAGTGACCTTAACGCTCTAAGTGACCTTCACAGAGTGTCTGTCTGTTTATGTTCCAGCACGCACGTGTTAATTTTTCTGTTTCATTTTCTTATGAATAAATTAATAATTATAATTTCTTGTATAACTGTTTTTTTAATCACCTGTCTGTAAAGCAGTTTGAGTCGCCACCGGCATAAGAATCTATATAAATAAAAATTATTATTATTATTATTACTATTATTATTATTATTGTTGTTACTATTACTATTATTATTGTTATTATTGGCTACTGTGTTTCATTGGCTCTGTACCTGTACTCTGCACAATGACAAAGTTGAATCTAATCTAGTCTAATAAAGCATAAATTTTCTCAAATTCAAATTGGTTTCAATGTCTTTTTGTGTAGTTAACAGATTTAAAACATGCAATTATTGAAATTAATCACACTTGATTTTGTTATAGACCTCATCCATATAACATTATCTATAATCTATACCTAATCTAGTGTCATACTGATCTACTTCAAGATCTCTCTTTCCACTTAGGTTTGCTTTTGGTAATACCTCATGCCAAAGCCCTGTTAAAGCTGATTAAGCTGATAAAGAATGATTCTACAGTTCAACTTCATGTGTAATGGAATAACAAAACCTGCCAATAGATGCAGCCATGCAGCATGTTATTGTTGTGTTATTGCTGATGTGAATTTTTGGGGTATAATCTTTCATCCTGGACTGTTTTTGTAAGCGTACATAGAATATTTATCCCAGACCATTTAGCCAGTCAAATGACATTACCCAACCTCCTGTGGGAAAATTAAAGGTGCTAAAGGCATTCTGAGATTTTTTGGATGTCTTGTCTGTGCTTGATTCCCACTGCTTGTTGGAAAATCAACTTCCATCAGCTGTGATAGACTGAAAGAAAAACAGATTCGGATGCAATGGAGGTGCTATGAGCTACTTTATTTCAGATAAAAGGAAAAGCAGTTGAGGAGACACATAAAGTACATTCTCAACAAAAAGAACATTTTTTTAACAACATCTCAGTTTTTTCTTCACAACAGCAGCACTGTCATGTGATTAAGTAATGAACAAGTAGAGTTTAGAAAAATCACATTCTGGGGAAGTTGTTAAAGTGTATTCAGGGAAGTGCATAGCAGTCATATCAATGCAGTGTTTGGTTGTGTTTTAGTCTGATTCAGGAGAAGAGAAAATGCTCACCTGAACGCAGCTGTGTGTCCATAAAGAGTGATCAATCAGTGGAACCCCCTCCACTGAAACTCAGAAAGAGAGAGTGTTCAAATGAGCTCAGGTAGGCATTTGTAAATTGCTAACATATGACTAAACAAATTAATTACTCACCTTTACAGAATAACTACTGTGTCTGTCACATAAAGAAATTATTTGCTGTTTACATCAATTAAACGTGTAGAGGTTTCAGATGAAATTTGCAAGGCACAGTCAAAAGATTTTTCCCCTCAACATTCAAATGATAATAAAGAATCAAAAAATGCATAAATGTTACACCCTTGTCTGTTGTGTTCTCAATTCATTAAAGACATTTGTCTTTTGTCCAATTAGGGGTACCAGACCAGACTCACCTGAACCCAGCTGTATTTCCATGAAGAGTAATGAGTCAATGGAACATCCATCGCACTTCAGAGAAGGAGACAGTTGGTCTGATGTAAGGTAAAGACAGTGTTCTTCACTCTCAGTTCCACATAATCAAACTCACAAGAAGGCCTTCATGAGCTGCACCAAACTGTGCTGTGCTGCAGCTCTTCAGGACTGACAGTGAGGAGATTTATACCTGTGTAAAGTAGACAATATAACAGTAATGTGGAGATTTATACCTGGAACTGAGTGTAATGTAAAGTGAATATTTTATGTTGGCATATTTTCATTTTGTATGTTTACCAACTGCCTCAGTTCATTTTTTGAGTGTGGTGTTATAATAAATATAATTGACATTCATTAAAAACAAAAAAACAAGAAAAAAGAAAAAAAAGTAATGTGAAGGTTTTAAAATTACATACATATATAAATAGTATATGTATTGCAATTTTGAGCTGGTTTGAATTTCCTATATTTTTTTTTACAGAATCCAAAAGGACACATCAAAAATGATCAGTAGGGATCATTTAGAGTCCATAGCCAAGGTTTGTGTGTTGAGCTTATTGCAGTGTGTATGCGCTGATGTACATTTTGGTCAAGAATTATTTTCAATCAATTTAATGTATCTGATGTAAGTTAGGATTAAAAAAAATGTTGTAGCATTGTGGTTAATAAGACTATAATATAAAACTATTATAATAATATAATAATATTAAAACAATCTCTCTTAGATTGAGGACAAAAAGGAACAGAGCAGTGCCAGAGAGGGGGCGCACCTGAGGAGCATGAAGCAGACAGACCTTGCTAACACACCACAGAGCAGTATGAGCTGTGGGATTTCTCTTTATTACAATCCTTTAACTTTTGGGAAGTCCATTGCTCCATGCTTATCTAATTTCTTTATAAATATGTGTTTATATTTTGGATGCATAAAAAAGAATGTCTATTTTTAAAGAATATTGGATTTGATTTTTTCCTTTGTGATCATGAAGTCAAATATGTATTATAAATTCTTCTTGTATTTATTAGAGCTGATGTCTGTGTACAAACAAAATCTAAGATCAAGACTAATGGAGAAATTTGAGAGAATTAATGAGGGAATCTCACAGCATGGAATGCCAGTCCTTCTGAATGAGATCTACACAGAGCTCTACATCACAGAGGGAGGGGGTGGAGAGGTCAATAATGAACATGAGGTCAGACAGATTGAGACTGCTTCCAGGAGATCAGGAGCACAGGAGAAACCCATCAAATGCAATGACCTCTTTAAAGACAAACCAATCAGGACTGTGCTGACTAAAGGAGTTGCTGGAATTGGAAAAACAGTATCTGTGCAGAAGTTCATTCTGGACTGGGCTGAAGGAAAAGCAAATCAGGACATCTTCTTCATATTTCCACTTCCTTTTAGGGAGCTGAACTTGATGAAGGAGAAAAAGCTCAGCCTAATGGAGCTTCTTCATCAGTTTTTCCCAGACATAAAGGAATTAAGTTCAGTAGACTTTTATGCTTACAAAGTCATGTTCATCTTTGATGGTCTGGATGAGTGTCGACTTCCTCTAGATTTCCAGAACAATGAGAGCTTGTGGGATGTAACAGATTCAGCCTCAGTGGATGTGCTGCTGACAAACCTCATCAAGGGGAATCTGCTTCCCTCTGCTCTCCTCTGGATAACCTCTCGACCAGCAGCAGCCAATCAGATCCCTCCTGAGTGTGTTGACCTGGTAACAGAGGTACGAGGGTTCAATGACCCTCAGAAAGAGGAGTACTTCAGGAAGAGACTCAGTGACCAGAGCCTGGCCAATAAAATCATCTCACACATGAAGTCCTCAAGAAGCCTCTACATCATGTGCCACATCCCAGTCTTCTGTTGGATTGCAGCCACTGTTCTAGAGAGAGTGTTGGGTGGAGCAGAGAGTGGAGAGATCCCCAAGACTCTGACTCAAATGTTCACCCACTTCCTGATCTTTCAGATCAAACACAAGGACCAAAAGTACCATGGGAAATGTGACACTGATCCTCAGCAGACTAGAGAGATGATTCTGGCACTGGGAAAACTGGCTTTGCAACAGCTGGAAAAAGGCAATCTGATCTTCTATGAGGAAGACCTGAGAGAGTGTGGCACTGATGTCAGTGAAGTGTCAGTGTACTCAGGAGTTTGTACCCAGATCTTCAGAGAGGAGTTTGAGCTGCACCTGGGGAAGGTGTTCAGCTTTGTGCACCTGAGTGTCCAGGAGTTTCTGGCTGCTTTATATGCATTTCTCTCCTTCATCAACAGAGATGAAACAAAACTGTTAACCACTGACCTCTCTGATATTTTCAGAAAGTCCAACATGTCAGACTTCCTCAAGTCTGCAGTGGACAAGGCCTTACAGAGTGAGAATGGACACCTGGATCTTTTCCTCCGCTTCCTTCTGGGCCTCTCACTGGAGTCCAATCAGACTCTCTTACGAGGCCTACTGACACAGACAGGAAGCAGGTCTCATAACAAAAGGAAAACTGTTCAGTACATCAAGAAGAAAATCAGAGAGAATCCCTCTCCAGAGAAATCTATCAATCTGTTCCACTGTCTGAATGAACTCAATGATCATTCTCTGGTGCAGGAAGTACAAACATACTTGAGCAGAGGAGATTATGGGTGTCTTAGTGGACTTTCTCTCCTGCCCAGTGGTCAGCTGTGGTGTTTGTGTTGCTGAACTCAGACGAAGAGCTTGATGAGTTTGATCTCCGTAAATATTATCCAGCAGAGGAAGGTCTTCTGAGGCTCCTGCCTGTGATCAATTTGTCCAGAAAAGCTATGTAAGTATTTTCTATCAAAATGCGTTACTGCAGTTTCTTCTAATGTAGTCATTGCTTATGAGAGTCATGCGGGAGCATCAAGTCTGAGGACTCTCCTCTTTTAAATCTAACATTCTATAAGTTTTATGTGTTTATCTATTGTTTCCTATGATGTCATTTTTGTGCTGCGAGATGTCTGCCCCATCTAGTTCTCCTGTAGTTTTTCACTGTAGAACCCTGAACTCTCCTTGACCATGTGTCTGCTTTTTCTGCTGAATTCCACTTGACATTCAAATTAAGGTTTTTTATCATTGGTCCGGTCGCTCTGAATACTGTTTTAATTAGATCTGCGCAGCTGGCTGGAGGATCCCTGTCCTCCCATGCTTACCCTGCCCAGGCTCAGTGCTCTTTATGTGTTGGCCACATTCTCCAGCCTCAGTAGCACCATGACTCACATGGCTGTGGACACTGCGGCCAAAGGCAGTTTTGTGTTTTGAAAAATGAATTCAACTGTGTCTCTGCTCCACTAGAAGTAAACAATATCTGACTTTTTTTGCCATTGCTCCAGTTGTATAAGTTTTATGCAACAGCGTCACCCAGTCATCCACAGCTCATTCCAAGCAATGACTGCTTTGTTGCGACCCAAGCAGACACATTTCTCTCATTTTCACTCACATTTCTCCCAAAGAAGAGCCATACCAGTTCATCTCATTTAATATTTCATGTATTCCATGTTGTTGGAAGAAAACTTTTAATATTTATTGTCTGCTAATGTTTTCTGTCAGTTACTGTAAGTGTTGAGAGTTATATTAGCTAATATGCCTGGAGAAAAAGTATTTTAAATTCTACGCAGATTCACATTGTGTCATATACCTTAGTGGTGTCTCTTTGCGTGACTACTCTCTTCTGATCTCTTGCCTGTCACTCTTATTTTCTGTCTTACGTTATTTATTTAGTGTTTTACATTGCATTATATTTTAAAACAATCAAAATTGACAGGCTACACTGATTACTGGCTTTCAGGGCAGATGTAACAAATCTTACAGTGCCTGTCCAATCATATCTTGAATTACATAAAATGTGACAGGTCTTGTTTTAATCAGTACTTTGTTACTGTAAATATCTATCTATCTTTCTATCTATCTATCTATCTATATATATATATATATATATATATATATATATATATATATATATGTGTGTGTGTGTGTGTGTGTAGAGAGAGAGAGAGAGAGAGAGAGAGAGAGAGAGATTAAGGGTGATGGCAGTGTCCTAATGTTTTGTGTGTTTTCTTCAGGCTGTGTAATTGTAATCTCACAGAGAAAAGCTGTGCAGCTCTGTCCTCAGCTCTCAGCTCAAATTCCCCAAGTCTAATAGAACTGAACCTGAGTTACAATGAACTGCTGCAGGATTCAGGACTGAAGTTGCTCTCTGCTGGACTAGAGAACCTACATTGTAAACTGGAGAAACTGGAGTAAGACTTTCTTACTGTCAATGTAGTGCACACATGCATATAACATTTATAGCCTTTAGATGATGCTCCTCTCCAGAGCAACTTACAAAAATACCTTGTTGTCTACTAAATATATACCTAGTTAGTGTAAATAGGCCAAAGATACCCTTGTGCTAAGACACTGACAGATACAATACACATATCTGATATTTACACACAACACAACACACACACACATACAATGGGGTAAAATCATCATTGCAGATCTCTCACACATATACAAGGATTCTTTTGTTTGTGTGTGTACTTTTAGTCTTTCTGTGAATTATTTGATATATGTAAGCAGAGGAAAAATATAAACATCAATCTTTCTGCTTAGGATTCGGTTAGAGGTTTTGTTTTTTTCTCAGTATTTGCATGTGTGTTTGATAGAGAGATGCAGAGTGTTTATTTCTTTTTTATTTTCTCTTCTGGATTTTTACATATACTTAAAGTTGAGAGATACAGAGGGGAAATAGTCTCTGTGTGTTTGTCTTTGTAATGAGCAATGATGAATTTGTGTTGAGCTGTGAGTTTGTTCCCCTTCTCTCTGCAGACTGGTTAAGTGCAGTATTACAGAGGCAGGTTGTGCTGCTCTGGCTTCAGCTCTAAAATCAAACCCCTCCTCTCACCTGAGAGAGCTGAACCTAAGTCAGAATATTCCAGGAGATTCAGGAGTGAAGCTGCTCTGTGATCTACTGGAGGATCCACAATGTAACCTGAAAAAACTACGGTGAGTAACTGACTTACGACATATTTATGAATGCACACAAATAAGGGAGGTCAAACATCAGAAATTGATTAAATTTTCAGACTTTGGCCTATCATAAAGTGTGTGATGTCAGTGTTTTTATCAAGAAATCATATCTGTATCATCATTTCTCTCTCAGGTTGCGTGATTGTAAACTAAGTGGAAAAAAGCTGTGCAACTTTGGCCTCAGCTCTCAGGTTAAAATACTCAAGTCTGAGATATCTGGACCTGAGTGACAATGAACTGCTGCAGGATTCAGGAGTAGAGCTGCTCTCTGCTGGATTGAAGGATCCACACTGTAAACTGGAGTACCTTGGGTAAGATCATGTTTTTTTTCAGGATGCGAGAACTTTAAACTGTAAGTAGGAACGTTTTTTTTAATTATTATTTTCACTGCAGGTTGTACAGGTGTGGTATTACAGAGGAAGGTTACGCGGCTCTGGCTTCAGCTCTAAAATCAAATCCCTCTCACCTGAGAGAGCTGCGTCTTAAATTAAGTAACCCAGGAAAGTTAGGAGTGAAGCTGCTCTCTGATCTACAGAAGGATCCACACTATAAACTGGAGAAATTACTGTGAGTTACTGACTTACTATCTCTTCACATACACACACACACACACACACAAGAGAGGTTAAAAACATAAGCGTCATATAATGTCTGACTGTGCTGAGTTCATGATGATTGTCTGCTAATCTGTCTTACAGTATCTGAACTCCATCCAGCTGATCTGCTGTCTCACACAGAGGGTTATGAGGAGAAGATGAAGTCGTAGTACAAACACACACACTCAGTATATGGTACTACATGATACAGAATGTGTTTGGGCTCTTGTTGGTCATATGTGTGAACATGGCTGCAGCACAGAAAATGTTGATATCGTTTTATAAACACCCATCAAAACATCTCAATCAATTAATGAATTAATCAACCTTTATTTAAACTCTGAACATTGAGGGAGAACCTCATCATAATAGTAAACTTTAATAATAAGAAGGTACCATTAGATCAATAAATCATTAAAATTACAATATAGCAACTTAACAAGTAACTGATCAGATAAGATAAAATTACATAAAAACATAAATTAATTAAATAAAAAGAAATAGGAGATGTAAAACAATACATTGACAATAATGAAATAAATAAAAAGAACACTATGAAAATAAATACAAAGAATAATAAAAAATAAAACAATAGCTAAGACATACCTAAAACATACCAAAAACCATATAAAAAAAAAAAATTATATTATAAGTAAAATCAAATAAAACAGTTGCAGGCTGATTGGTGGTGGTTAGAGTCTAAAAGTTTAAAGTTTTAGAGTTTCCTGTAGTGAATTCCAGTTCACTGGTGCTGTAGCTAAAAGCAGATTTTCCCAGCTCTGTAAAAGCTCTTGGCACCTGAAGGCTGATCCGGTCACTAGAATGAGTCTGATAAACTGCATTATTTACACTGAGTACTTCTGTGATGTACAATGGCAAACACTCAGTAAGTAATGTGTCTCCCGACGCACAGACAGAGACGAGCAGCCAACCTTTTCATATAGTATACAATGATGGGTCTTTAGGGGTCACCAGTAATGAATCTTAAGGCAGAGTGGTGTACAGAGTCTAGAGATTTCAGAGTACTTACAAATGCATATCTGAATAACATATCACCATAACCCAGAACAGGCAATCTCAGTCTTGGTATCAGCACTGTAGAGACCAGAGGAGTCATTCAGGTTCCTGGTAAAGGCACCATCTCTGGCAACTATCTGAATAACAAACAGACACAAACATATTTGAGCATTGCTTTATCAGCACAGAGAGCTTGAAGAACAGCTGAATGATCTAAAAAAATCTGCTGCCTTTCTGTTCTCTAGTAGTTTTCAGCATAAAATTACTGTGCTTTAGAGATTATTTTCAAAATGCTTCATTCTTGTTAGACAGACAATGCAGAGCTGGGCGTCAGAAATTCATTAATACTGTGACCATCTATAAGCATGAAAACACCAGCTGAGGTAATTACAGTAAACTTCCAAATGAATTTAAGTGCATGTGTAATAATATATATTATTATGATATTTCATATTGCACCTTTAATATTTTTAATACGTATCATTACAGTACATTGCAGCTGACTTGTCCTAGTGAGAACGACAATCAATCTTTTAATCTATAACAAATCTATTAAAAATGTTGTAAGTGTTTTTAATAACACTTTACTGTAGGACAGTGTTCATAAATAATCATAATCATAATGGTTAAATGAGTCCTCCATGAGCTTGTCATAACAACTGACATAAACTTACAAAAATATCTATAGAGGCTTTTTCAAATAGTCATAGTCAGACATTAAAGCTTCTTTTGTCAACTTTGATGTCAAGCGACGCTGGTTTGTGTCATTACAATTTTTTTTGGTTGAAATGTCAGCAAATTATGACAACTGACTTTGTAGCTTAGTGTACATCACATTGAAATACTGTTAATGATGTGACACAGCTTAATTACCTTTTGTTATCATATTCAAATTTCATGTTTCATATTCTTTCATGCTGTCCTTGCAATGTTACAAATCCCTAAAGTGTATCATTAGAGCTCATGGATAAGAGAATGTTTTGATTTAAGCTAATAAAAAACATGAGTGACATTTTAAAAAAAAATCATTTTTGTGTATGTGGGTGGTTATATATTTTAATTTAGATTTGCATAAAAAACTCTGACTGTTGCACACACACAGACATCTTCTAAGCCGCTTATCCTACTGGGTTGTGTGTGTGTGTGTGCTGGAGCCTATCCCAGCATTCATTGGGTGGAAGGCAGGATACACCCTGGACAGGTCACCAGTCCATCACAGGACTCTGGTGCACTGGTGACTGCTGTGTTCTAGTATCAGGTCCTTTCCTGAATGGTGCTGCAGTATTAGGTGTGGAGTGGACAGAATAAGGAAGGACTCACCACTGTAGTTTAGTGTTCTCCTGCTCCAGCACACCTCATTCATCTCTTAAAGGGCTTGAACATTAATGTAGAAGTTGAATTAAGTGCTTTAGATCAGGAGGACACTGAACTGTGCAGTGCAATGTCCAGTGTATAGTAGAAAACAAGTACTGGGAATATGTCTTCAGAAAAAAGAAATTAAGTATCTGTATTCAACCTGAGATACATTTTGTAAAGGTGGAATTTATACATACAGTTACTTTTTACCTTTTTAGGAGAATACATTTAGAATACTTTCCCACTAAAATTAAAATATATACACTATCTTTGAATTAAATATATGCATGCCCCTTACTGAAAATCACATAGCTGCCCACTTTATATTCAAAAAGACAAGATTTTGTTATTGGAATATGGTGAATTTGTTTGCTTATTTCATGAGATAGCAATGGGATTTTGGGAGAAGCAGTGGACTGAAGCAAATGATGGGAACCAAAGTAATGTTGAGAATTTTGTAACTTCATTTAAATAAGTGAACTTTTTTATGAAACATATTAACAGAAAAAATTACTTGAAGAAAACTGACAACCATTAACAGCAAGGAACAGTGTAAATGAAATAAAAAATACAACAGCAGAATGTTTCCCATGTGCCTTATAAATACGCATTCTGTATTGTAAATGTATTTTGAATATGTTACTGTTTAATGTGTTGTAATGGACTTTTAGATTTTTAGAGCATTGTGCCCAACTCTGGCAGTGAACCTCCAGGCCTGGGTGTGAGGAAGACTAGCTGAGAGTTAGAGAGTCTGAGGGGTGAACAGAGACCGTTTAGGGGGGACCTGAACACTTTATGTTCTCCCCTTTATACCATAAACATCAAGGCAGGACACTAGAGAACTCTGTGCATTAACTATATGCATTTTCCTTCTGATTTGCATAACATTTACATACATACAATAGACCTACGAGTGCCCCCTCAACTCTGTCTCCATTAGCTCTCAATTTGTGTTTTTAACTGTATTAATCTTATGGTAAATTGGAAATTATAAGTGTAGCTGGAGTCTTTCCACTTGAATAAAATTATTTTACACTCAGATTTTTTCTTATTTAGACAGTAACAGTCAGGAGTATCTGTAAAAATGGCCATCTCTCCACAGCGTGATTAAAACATATGTGAATGGGTTGCTGGACTATATTTACACATATCACAGGTACTGCCTGGGGGAAATGTTTAGCTATTTCTTGTTTAATCCAGTGTGCACAGTGCATGATTTTAAATGACAGATTTGTACACTTTATACAGTATGGTTCCTTAGTTTTAACAGCAGAATGGTGGGAAAGGTGGAGTGGAGTCATAAGCTTTTTGTTGTGTATAGAAGATATTATGCCCTTGAATGTTTAAAAGTCTACAGTATAATCATAAGGGGTACATGGGGGCTGGGTAGGAAATCCGAGGAATTTTGAGAAAACAAACAAAAAAACATTCTTAGGAGATGTACATTTCTCATGAAGCTGCTGAAAAGAATGGAAAACCTCTTTTATTGCAGAGACCTTGAAAGTTTTTACAAGCCCATGTTATATAAGGTTGAAAAAACCTTATTTAGAATAGGTGGCTTGAAAATATGGTTGAGGTAGATTGGGTATTTAAATCCAAAGTGCTTTCTTAATTGTACTCAAATTTTAAGACTAGACTTGGTGAGTAATACTATTACTACTACTACTACTACTACTAATAATAATAATAATAATAATAACAATAATAATAATAATGATAATAATACACTGTACTTACACAGTGATTTTAGGAACAGACATCAGAAAAGGACATATAGACATATTAGAGGAGTTAGGTTATTTCTGGGGTAGGTTATAAGTTTAGGAAAAGAGATGGGACTGTCTAACATGAGGGGTAAGAGAGTTCTGAGACCCAAATAGGATGGAGCAATGTTGTTAAGAACTTTATACATGAGCAAATGAATTTTAAAGTGTGTAAAGCCTGTGGAGATTTTGGATAATATGTGTAATGTGATGAGGAACGGAGGAGAAGGTAAGAATAAGAGATTCAGCAGCACACTGAGAAAGACATGGTCTAATACTGACAAAGTGGTACAAGTGGAAAATGGTTTATAAAAGTAAGTTTTACCAACTGACATGAGCATCAAATGAGAGTCTAAAATGACACACAAATGGCAGATTTTAAACAACAGGAAAAGGGGAAACAACTACATAACCTATGGAGAAGGTTACAGGGCTACAAGAGTTAATTTAGAGTTAATAAGGATGAGTTTAGTCTTATTGCTGTTTAACATGATCGATTAAATACATGTTCCTGCCTAGTGGTCCATCAGTTGAATGTTTAGATGAATGTACTCACCCTTATCTCTACAGCACTTTGATAAAATTGTAAATAAGTAAAGATATTGTTTCTGTGCTGTTTAATCTGTGGTTTAGTAATTACTTCATTTTACCCTTTGTATGCCCACAGCAAAAGTCTACTTTTTAGTTTACACACTAAAGTGCATTATTTTATTCATTGGAATGCAGTATTTAGTCACTAGGGTGCAGTATTCATTTTAGTCACTGGAGGGCAGTATTTATTTAGGGAAAAGCAAAAAAGGGCAGCCACCACCCCTCTGATACGGGCACTAAAGGGTGCTTATGTCAATTTAGTGAATCGTGACAGTCATTCTAATGCCAAAATAGGGTTTGTGATAGCTCAAAACATTTCCCCCAAATCTGCAGTTTGACCAGGGGTGCCCTAACCTTTGTATATAACTGTATATTGGTAAGAAATACTCCCGTGGGCTCCCTGCTCCATGGGCCACAGCACAATTGCCACATCAGTAGTTACATTAGTTGTGTTGAAGAGACATTAAATCAGAGCTTCCAAGGAGATCCTGGTTATGAAGAAAAGTGATGTTAGAAATGTTTAAAAGATCCAGAGTTTAATCCAGAAAGGCTGTTCAAACACGATCGACAATTTCCGACTCATGAACAAATTCGTAGTTTGCAATAAACTGACCAATAAATCCAACTGAATCTAACATCTGTACAGTGTTTACTTCTTGGTAATTGGCTGAGTTTCATGACAAAAATTATTAGTGGCAGTGATCAGTGAATGATGATAGAGAAGACGTATCAGCCAGAAACTCATTAACTGCACAAAGGTGTAAATGTATATGTAATGTTTACCCGTGTGGCCAACTTTGAGGAGCTAGCCATGATTTTCTGCTTACACCACATTCAGAACCTGAAGTAATAAGAACCAGACTGATACATTTAGACAGATTTTTTTCCACATCTCTTTTGGAATTCACTTTGTGCTTGTGAAAAGTGTTGTCTGCATTCAAAAAATGTCTGTATTCAATCAGCTGAAACTAGTTGATTACCTTTAAGAAGCAGTAATTCACATGTTAATTCTGCTCCTTAACTAGTATTAAAATCCCAGGCTTATTACATTTTAAGGCATATTATTCAGTAACTACAGGGACTTCAGTGCAAACTGGCTGAGTTATTCTTGAAATATAGAAATGTGTAATAAAACTTTAGCCATTTAAGGGGTTAACTGCCTGTAGCATCTCCTAATCACCCTACAGAGAGCATGTGGCACTATAGTGTACTGAGGAAATTTGTGCAGTGCGTCTGCTCTACAGCAGGAGTGGATGATAAGACTGAAGTCTGAGCAGTGGGAAGAGCTTTTTCTCTAAAGTAAGTGATTTGAAATAAGTCTGGAATTTACACACTTGTTTTGTGGAATATCTTCCTGCACTGCTCTGATAGGCAGCTGTGCTGTGAATAGTTAAGAGACAGATCACTCTAACCTGTGATTGGTTGAGAGACAGATCACTCTACTTTCCCTAAGAAAAAAAATGTTAGCGTGAACATTAAACTTCCTCCTTTGACACAAAACAAGTCTGACCATGTTTAAGTGTAAGTGCAGCTCAGCAGCTCCATTTTGGGAAAAGGGGAACATAAAGTACTTTAGGAGAGAAACACAGGCTTCTTCGTTGGGGCTTGAAATTCTCAGCACTTTTGGTGAAGAGAGGATTAAAAACAATGTTTGGAGAGAAATCACAGAGGTAAATACTGAAGCACTATAATTTACTTACTGACTGATCAAAGACTTCTCCGTTAGAAGATGGAAACTTCCACTCCAGCTCAGACCAACATGACAGCTCAGTCAGGAGGAAACATCGCTGCTCCTGTTCTACATGGAAATAATATTCAAGGTTCAGTGAATGTAACAATAATACATGGAGGTAAGAGCCTGTGTGTAAATTAATGGATCTGTTTTCTGAGTGTTTAGTTATATATAAGCTGTTCACTGTGCAGGGATGGTAATATATGCATCAGCATATTTATTAATAAACCAACCATTACTGTTCTCTGCCGGTTCATCCGCCTCGCTAGCTTTGTTTTTTATTCCTCTCTCTCTTTTAATGTTAGTTTTATATTATCTGCAGTTTTAAATAGCTTTGATAAGTTTTGATTCTTCCAGTTGTCTCTCCTCAGGTCAGGAAGCCTCCGGTTCCAGCACCAGAACAGTTCAGACTGGAGGCTCTCCTGGTGCTACTCCTCTCAGTCAAGGTGATATCTGTACAGTACTCAGGAATTTTATGCTATTTTATTCTACAATTTTATTTGTTTGCAAGTGTGTGACAGTGTGGCGCATAATGATGGTGGGTGGTAGTCAAGAAAAAAAAGGAAGATACTGAGCAGAGAGTTGAGACAGCATGATGTAACACAGTTGCATTACTGGAGCATTGCAGTAAAGTTTAACAGAATCCTAAAATTAAAGTCAACACAGTTGCTGCTGGTGTCAAACAATAAACTGCATGTAGAAATCATGTTTTTTAAAAAACATTTATTAATTGTAAAGTTTTAAAAAAAGGAGTATGTTTTCTACTGCACTAAACCTAAACTATGTCAGCAGAGAATATATGTGATTAAAAAGTGTACGTATCATTAAAAAGGCGTTTTACTGAAACTGATAGTTAATTTCTGAAAGAATATATTTGACTCAACATAGTTTTAACTAGAATCCAGTCATCATCTCTCCTGGTTGGTTACTGACTGCATTTTCAATAACACTTTACATTACTGTTTTGTAGTTAATAAGTAACTAATCAGGAACTAAGCAGGAGCAAATGAGTAATAATAAAAATAATAATAATAATAATAATGTCTTTTTTATATAGCACCTTTCATATGTTAAATGCAGCTCAAGGTGCTTTACAGTAAAAGCTACAGAGAGAAATAAAAACAAAGAAAGATAAGTAAACGACAGAGTAGGAAAAGTAAAAAGACATTCACAAATCGAACAATTAAAAAGAAATAAAAGAATCCAACAGCTAAAATTAATGATTTTAAAACAAAACAAAATAAGAAACAAAAAAGAGTTAATAAAAATTTACAGCAATGATTAAAATAAAAAGCATACATTAATACAATAGCTAAAATAAATGAATGCAAAAAAAAAGCATTTTGTCAGCTTGAATTGCCACAATTCTCAGCTATAATATTTGAATAGATAAATAGGCTCTTATCTCTGTGTGGACAGCATTGTCATAGGTGGAGATACGCTTTTCAAAATGCTATGGTGAATCTCTAGTTTAGTTTTTCTCCAAGCCTGTTCAGCTGTTCTACACAATCTCTTAAGCTCATGAATGGTATTATTTGTTCATGGAGATATTTTGTTGCATGGCCTCTTTTTGATTTTGACCGGTGCAACACTGTCCAATGTGTTTACGTTAAGTTACTATTTAAGGCATCAACCATTTCATTTAGTGAAAATTACAAAAATCAACAGACTTTGCAAGTTCAGACAATTTCCGTTCAGCTTTGGTATCCAAGTACCTTTTCTGAGTTATAAAATCTCTTGTTACTAGCTGTACTTAGTAACACATCAAAAAGTACACAATAGTAGTCAGACAAAGTTGTGTTAGACACTGAAACATTGTTGATGCCTATCCCATGTGATATTACTAGGTCAAATGTATTACCCAGATGATGGGTAGATTCAGTAACATGCTGAATTAGTCCTAGACTGTCTAAGAGATTCATGAATTCCCTGGCCTTCGAGTCAGTGGTATTGTTAATAGGAATGTTCATATCTCCAATGAAGATTACCCCATCTTATCTAGTGAGAATAATGGACATAATTTCAGAGAATTCCAGCAGAAACACTGAGGATTGCTTAGGTGGTCTGGAGAGTGTTAAAATAATCACTCCCAATTTAGGCTTAAGAACAGTGGCTAGATAATCAAAAGATGAAAATTTCCCTCAGTCAGTCTGAGCACAACTGACCTGTTTAGAGAAGATAGCAGCTATACCACCCCCTCTTTTGTCCTGTCTGACTGACTGAAGAAATTTATAGCTGGGAGCTAGTCTCAATGAGAATTGCAGTGCCATCATTCTTAAGCCAGGTTTCCACTAAAAATATAAAATGGTATTTCTTTTCAGAAATGAAATAATTAATTACAAAACTCTTGTTTGTGAGTGATCTTACATTTAAAAGTGCCATTTAACATTAGTGTCTAACTTCGTATGGGTTGAGGGCTTTACTAAACTTAGATTAGAATGATCTACCATCCGATTTGATGATGACCTCTTTCTTCTGCTGCTGATCAAAGTTGGAATAAAGTCTGGATCAGATTGCATGTAAATCAACTTGCAGGGGGGTCCACATAATTTTCAACTGTGAGGGCTGCTGCAGTTGTTGATGAGACACGTTTGAGTCATACTGTGGTGGCTGATAGAGTCTTGTAGAGTTGCATTAAAACTTAAGTAACTACTATTAACTGCCAAGGAGTACCAGTTAACTACTCAGTAGGTAATATTGGTCTAATGATTAGGGTAGTTCACTATTAACTAAACAATAACTACTAAGTCTCACAGAGAATTACTTAGTAACTGCAGTCTCTTAGAATAACTACTCATAAATTACTGATCAATTCAACATTAATTGTTCAATAGCTGAGTCTCCCAAGGTTCCTGGTGAACTACTAACTGATGTAGTGCATTCCAACACTTCTAACAGTAATGAGATTCACTACACAGTGTGGAGTCTGTAAAATACAAAGGATTATATCCTCCATTGTTGTTCACAGAAACAGGTATCCTCAGAGAAGATGAGGGCATCACATCACACTTTACTGACTGGACTCTCTCATGTGCTTAAAAGTCATATCTATATATTTGGCAGTGTAAAACAATTTGCACATCAACCTTCAAATGGGACAGCTGATAAAATACTACAGTATTCAGTAGACCAGTCTGCTCAACTCTGATCTTTAGAAAATAATTTTTTTCTGCAGGAGCACATGTGTCAGTGCTGTTTCTCCAGTAGTTCTCCTTTAAAGTGCTCTTAAGGGCAGGGTCAGTTGAAGAGAGGGCTCACAGAAATACAAGACTCTGTATGTGTCCTACTTTCAAGTTCATCTGGTTCTAAATATTACAAAGTGATTATGTAATGACTATCTGTTAGATAATGAATGAGGTGTTGCTGTCCTTGATTATGAATTAAAATTTTTCAGGAACAGTATTATAAAGTGAAACACATGGTAACTCTTTACTAATGAACCAGAAGTTAATGATGACCAGGAATAGTATAAAGTGAAACACATGGTAACTCATTATTAATGAACAATGTGTTAAAAATGATCAGGAACAGTATTATAAAGTTAAACACATGATAACTCATTACTAATGAACTAGGAGTTAATAATGATCTAAAACAGTATTATAAAGTGAAACACATGGTAAATCATGAAATGGACTCAAGTCACAAATTTGACGACTTTAGACTCGAATCAAGAATGACTTGTGACTCGACTTTGACTTCAACACCAGTGACTCGGACTTTGACTCATATTTCAATGTTAAGACTCGAGAGGGTAGAAGAAATGTGGAGAGAGTCTGCCTGAAGATTTCTACTCAGCTGATTATTTTTCTTGTGAATGGATTTGTTTCTTACCATAATCTGAATAAACAGCAGCATCGTCAGATGTCTGTCACTGTGCTTATGCTTGGTTAAATTTCTTTTGGAAGACAAGCAAAGTGTTTAGAGTTTAAGTTTGCCTCCATAAGCTGGAAACAAGCAAGGCATCCACTGCATCAATGCGCCCTCTCTTAGCACTTAAACTCTTACTGGAGAAAATCACCAGACAAACTGACCGTTTTCCTCATGGTAGGAAAACCAAAGAGACACAGCTCTCTCTATTTGATTGTTTTTAACAGCTTCTGCAGGTACAACAAGCCTAACATTCACCATGAGGCTGAAGTTGACTTCTTCTTTGGCAGCTTTTTATTGCAGTTTGCTGTACCACCTTAAATGGTGCTGATGGCACCGAAACATAACTGCTGCACCATTTAAGGTGGAGAGGATAATTTGAATAAGAAGCTGCTGCTTAAAAAAGTAAACTTCAGCTTCATACATTTCCTATCATTTTGCTGTTGTTTCTGGCAACTTTGCTCAGATCTGTCATTTTGGTTTCTGTAGGTCAACAAAATTCAATTCAAATGCCATTGTTTTTAGTTGGCTGAGCTAGTTTTAGTGTTGAGCTTGTTTTTATTTTAATCATATGTGTCCAGTTTTCCAAAAATCATAAAATCTTCGAACATATAATAAGAAATATCTAAAAAACATTAAAAATAAAGTTAATTTAAATTCAGTTCAGTAGTACTTTTAAAATTCTTTTTATGTGTAGTGCACTACTTATGTGCCTTATTGTAGATGTTATTGTAGATGGTTATGTATAGAACCTTTTTGAAAAGGTTCTATAAAGCACCCAAAAGGGTTTTCCTATTGTTGCAAGCTTGACATCATAACAATAAAAGAACTCTTTGGGTGCTATATAGAACCTTTTTCAAAAAGGTTATATAAAGAACCATCTACAGCACATTCTTAAGAACCCTTTCATGATGCAAAGAGCACTTTAACCATGCAAAGGTTTTTAGAACTATTTTCTAACGCTTGAGAAACCATCCTTTTTAAGAGTGTTGTTATCTGTGTACTATGGATTTTGTTGCAAGGATAAAAAAAATTATGAAAAATTAATATACAGACATACACTGCTAACATGCAGTCATTGAAAGGCTGTATTACAGTTACCTTTGTCATTGTTATGGCCTTAAATTAGTAAAGAACTTGAGACTCGCATGTACTGACTCAGGACTTGAATTGAGACTCGGCTGTCTTGACTTGGGACTTGACCCAGGACTTGAGTGTCAAGACTTGAGATTTACTTGTTACTTGCAACTTAGTGACTTGTTCCCACCTCTGATGATGTCCCCCTTCTTCTCAGAGAATACCTGTTTCTGTAAATAATAATAATAGAGGATATAATCCTTTATATTTTAAAGACTGTACACTATGTAGTGTATTTCAGCACCAAGTGTTGGAATATACTAGTTCAGTTAGTAGTTCACCAGGAACCAGGCTTTTGAGCAATTGATGTTGAAATGATGAGTAATTTATGAGTATTTATTCTAAGGACCCATAGTTACAACGTAATTCTCTATGAGACTCAGTAGTTGTTGTTTAGTTCATAGTAAACCACACCAATAGTTAGTTCACTATTACCCACTGAGTAATCAACTTGTACTCCTTGGTAGTTAATAGTAGTTACTTAAGTGTTAACGCAGCACTGCTCTTTCATCCCTGTTTAGTTCCTGATTAGTTACTTACCAACTACAAAACAGTATTGTAAAGTGGTCCCACATTTTCTCTTTTTTGCACCAACCAAATAGAGGCTATATATAAATAAACATAATTGTTGGTTAAGCATTGCTGAATTTTTTTAATTTTTTTAAGGTGCACTAGGTATATTTTCATCACAATCCATACATTAATGAAACCCACAACAAGATGTAGTGGTTAATTGCATGTTGGTTAGTGATATGTAATGACTTATAACAGTGGTAGAACTGACTATTGGGATTTTATCTTAGTGTAAAAGACAGTTCATTTATTGTAAACTTTAAATATTTGAAACTCATGCCACTTATTCATAACGCATAGTTAACTTTTAAGTGGTTAACATATAATTAAAAAAAATTAACAGTCATTAATTGGACTAGTTGCAACTTTATAATACTTTATAATGTATTCATAAACATGACGTGTTTAAATTACATGTAATACATAAATGAAAGTCATTTTCAGTGCATTAAGTATTACTCATTTCTAAATAATGCTAACCACAATATTGATTTTTGTTGTGGTCAATATAAGCTATCAGAAATTATCACAGTGTGTAGAATCTAAAAAACTAAACTAATGGAGACATTTAATAGAATACATGAAGGAGCATCATAGTCAACTTGTTTGAATGAGGTATACACAGAACACTACTTGAAACAATTGCAAAAATGTATTCCTTTTTTTGTCTATCTGCTTATCAGATTTAGTCACTGTATACAAACAAAAATTGGAAAAGAAATTTCGCAGCATTAGTGAAGGAATATCACAGCGTGGAAAGTCGAGGCTACTGAATGAGATCTACACAGAGCTCTACATCACAGAGGGAGGGAGTGGAGATGTCAATGATGAACATGAGGTCAGACAAATTGAGACAGCATCCAGGAGACCAGAAACACAGGAGAAACCTATCAACTGCAACAACCTCTTAAAAGACAAACCCATCAGAACTGTGCTGACTAAAGGAGTTGCTGGAATTGGAAAAACAGTCTCAGTGCACAAGTTCATTCTGGACTGGGCTGAAGGAAAAGCTAATCAGGACATCCACTTCATATTTCCACTTCCATTTAGAGAGCTGAATTTGATAAAGAAAAATCTCAGTCTGATGAAACTTCTTCAACACTTATGTTCAGAAGCAAAACAATTGCCATTAATAGAATGTGATGCCCACAGAGTCATGTTCATCTTTGATGGTCTGGATGAGTGTCGACTTCCTCTAGATTTCCAGAACAATGAGAGCTTGTGGGATGTAACAGATTCAGCCTCGGTGGATGTGCTGCTGACAAACCTCATCAAGGGGAATCTGCTTCCCGCCGCTCTTCTCTGGATAACCTCTCGACCAGCAGCAGCCAATCAGATCCCTCCTGAATGTATTGACCTGGTAACAGAGATACGAGGGTTCAGTGACCCTCAGAAAGAGGAATACTTCAGGAAGAGAATCAGTGACCAGAGCCTGGCCAATAAAATCATCTCACACATGAAGTCCTTAAGAAGCCTCTACATCATGTGCCACATCCCAGTCTTCTGTTGGATTGCAGCCACTGTTCTAGAGAGAGTGTTGGGTGAAGCAGAGAGTGGAGAGATCCCCAAGACTCTGACTCAGATGTTCACCCACTTCCTGATCTTTCAGATAAAACACAAGGACCAAAAGTACCATGGGAAATGTGACACTGATCCTCAGCAGACTAGAAAGATGATTCTGGCACTAGGAAAACTGGCTTTCCAACAGCTGGAAAAAGGCAATCTGATCTTCTATGAGGAAGACCTGAGCAAGTGTGGTATTGATATCAGAGATGTGTCAGTGTACTCAGGAGTTTGTACTCAGATCTTCAGAGAGGAGTTTGAGCTGCACCTGGGGAAGGTGTTCAGCTTTGTGCACCTGAGCATTCAGGAGTTTCTGGCTGCTTTATATGCATTTCTGTCCTTCATCAGCAGAGATGTTACCGAACACCTGACCACTGATCTCTCTGGCATTTTTAAAAAGTCAACAATGTCAGACTTCCTCAAAGTCTGCAGTGGACAAGGCCTTACAGAGTGAGAATGGACACCTGGACCTTTTCCTCCGCTTCCTTCTGGGCCTCTCGCTGGAGTCCAATCAGACTCTCTTACGAGGCCTAATGACACAGACAGGAAGCAGCTCTCACAGCAAAGAGGAAACAGCCCAGTACATCAAGGAGAAGATCAGGGAGAATCCCTCTCCAGAGAAATCCATCAGTCTGTTCCACTGTCTGAATGAACTGAATGATCATTCTCTAGTGATGGAAGTCCAAACTTATCTGAACAGAAGAGGTTATCGCCGTCTAGATGGTGTCAGTCTTTCTCCTGCCCAGTGGTCAGCTCTTGTGTTTGTGTTGCTGAACTCAAAAGAGGAGCTGGATATATTTGAACTCAGTAAATATTACAGATCAGATGAATGTCTTTTGAGGCTGCTGCCAGTGGTCAAAGCCTCCAGAAAAGCTGAGTGAGTATTTTCACTCATAAATGTGTTTCACTGATTTCACTGATTCTTAATTTAATGTAACCTTAATCACTTGTATGTGTGAGCTAGAGGTCAGGCAACACTTTATAATAAAGATTCTTCATATGACATCTATTAGCTTTAACTTTATAATGGATTACTCATGAACTAATGAGGTTTATAGATACATTTTTCAAAAAATAATATTTTAATGCTACTTTGTAAAAGACATTTATACCATTATTTGATTGTGATGTATAAATTACATACAATACAAGTAAACATTTATTTTTTTCTTTTTCCATTTTAGCATTCTATTACATCTTAATTTCTTATATACCTTTAAACAGGCAGTCTGCATTTTTTCTATATGGGTCTCCACAGTGCATGTGTGACATAAATCCACCACCAAGCCCCATAAAAGCACTCTCAAGTCTCAAACCATTGGTGACCAGTTAAATGGGGATACAGTCATGCCAGAATCCACCTTGTGCATGTGAAATTTGCTTTTGGTGATGTGTGTGCAGACTTATTAATATGCTTTAAGAGTATTTTCATTTATGAGCAGTTTTCAATCAATAATGTCTTATGCAATTACAACAGAGTGAAATTATATGCCAAGTATGATCTATATGTTTCCAGATACACACTCACGCTAGCTCACAGCTTTATGTGATGATCATGTAGTTTATGTGCATTGTTTCAGCGATAAATGTTATTAAGTAAGAAATAAAAATGTCTGTTCTGTTAAGCAAACTGTAAAACAAACTCCCACTTCAATCAGTGGCATATTTTAGATTCATGTCTATAGATCCGATTATTAGTTCAGAGAGCTGAATTTGACAAAGAAAAATCTCAGTCTGACGAAACTTCTTCATCACTTATGTTCAGAAGCAAAAGAATTGCCATTAATAGAAAGTGATGCCCACAGAGTCATGTTCATCTTTGATGGTCTGGATGAGTGTCGACTTCCTCTAGATTTCCAGAACAATGAGAGCTCGACCAGCAGCAGCCAATCAGACCCCTTCTGAATGTCCCTTCAATCAGATCCCTCCATTCATTAGTTTTGTCACTGCTCTCCTAAGTTTTACTGTCTAACCTGGACAGCCCTATCCATCAAGCTGGGCAGAGTGATAGTCTCATCCAAATCACCCAAACAAGGTGGTAGGCCTATCCATTAACCTAGTCTTTTCCTTCCTCCTGGGAAGGGTGGTAGTCTCAGCTGTCGACCTGAGTAAATAAATAACAATCATTAATCATTATCAACTGCTGTGTCAGAATTAAACATGAATAACTACAGAAATTACTCACAACTGTGTGTTCAAATGGCAATTGAAGGCCAAAATATAGGACTGCCTGTTAATAGTCAAAAGTAAACATCCAATTTATTGTTTGCAGGCACACACTGTATGTCCAGAAGTATTTAGCCACTTGTTTTTTCAACAAAGGCATTAACCCCTTAAAATATTTGGCTTATTACATACTAGTAATAAGCCTTTTTCAAGTTTATTATTCAGTAACTACAAGGACTTCTATGCAGAGTGGTGGAGCTATTCTTAGATTAAAGGAGTGTGCAATATAACTTAGCCTGCTGGCGGGGCCATTTATGAGTTAATATGGAGTTTGTCTCTTTTTGCTCTCTACTCTTGTTACAACCCAGTCTAGGGTCATGCCATAAAAGAATGGTTTGGTGTGAAATGCATGCTTATTGAACGTTGTGATGTTACATTACATAGTTCAGTATTTCATGTTAAACTTAGGAGGTCATATAAAATCTACAGTAAGACAGAAAATACTGAAAATATTTTTTTACCAAGAAGTTGCCAAACTGCTTTGTTGACTAGCTAACTACACCTTCAAACATGCTAAATGCCATTTACATTAATCGCATCACTGCAAAAATATGACAATGATTAATACATGTAATAAAAGGAAAACAACTCACTTGTACACTTCTGGAAAGGCACTATAGATTAGAACATAGATCGCTGAAAAAGATCTTTTTTGTTTATCTCCATGACCTGAGAATACATTTTCTGGGCTTGATGATGAATTTATGTCACATTTGCACTGTAGAGCCCCTACTGCACCCAGACTGTCATGGCTTTGCATTATTAAAGAACAAACAAATACTGAGACCCTTATTCAGCTAGTCTTTAGGCTTTAAAGAAAGTTATTGTGAAAAGTGAATGCAATACTTACAGGGCCTTGTATTTCCATCTCCGAGATCTCCAACAATTTTATTACAGTGTTTGTGCATAATGATAGTGTTCAATATTTCTCTCCAAGGCTGTGGGATGTGATGTCAATATTCTGATGTAGCATCATTTCTCTCCCAGTCTGTTTGACTGTAATATCACAGATGAGAGCTGTGCAGCTCTGTCCTCAGCTCTCAGCTCAAACTCCTCAAGTATAACAGAATTGAACCTGAGCAAGAATAAACTACTGCAGGATTCTGGAGTGGAGCTGCTCTCTGCTGGACTGAAGAATCCACACTGTAAACTGGAAATACTAAAGTCAGTTAATTACCTGTGGAAGTTTACATGCACATACACACAACAGCTTTTCACACAGAAAAGACACTAACACTATGTACAGTATTTCTATTGACTGTGGCCTAATTTCTGCTCATCAGTCAGAGTTGCATAGAAGAGAAAAGCACAAATCTGACTGTCCTTTATGATGTATGAACTACCATGCATTGTATTCAAGAAATTGTCATACACTGACAAAACAAAAAGAAAGTCCGCTCAATTTAGTATAAAGATGTGTTCACAGTATTGGCATTATCAATTGTATTTCTATATTTTTGTTGAGAAAATATGCCAATGTGTTTGTTATTTACTTTGACCTCAAATTAGAGTCAAGGGTACCCACATTCAGAGACCACAGACACAAAAGATAACTTCAGTCAAATCGCTTATTTACTGACTAAATTTCAAATGACAAGATTGATAATATTTTAAATGATAAAACAGATTAAAAAGAGTCATACACGACTCATATTCAGTAATTAAACAAAGAAATACTAGTAACCAATGGGAAACTTGAGGTGATTAGCTTTATGGGGAGCAAGGATTGGAAACCCTCAAATAGGGGGATAACCTAAAGTGAGCCTGAAAAGGGGGTCTAAACCTAATAGATTCAGCAACATTAACCTCTCAGCATGTAAAAGGAACTGCTTCCCTTACTTCGGTTGAGGATGTAAGCTAGAAAACCTTAGTTGCTGGCGTATTGTGGAATACAACACTCCTGGATGGATTCTGAGTTCTCCTGTGGCTCCATAGAGGCAGTTTGTGTCATTCAAAACAGCTTGTCTATTGTCCTGGTTGTCCAAAAACTTGTCCATTCTTGGCGGTGGCTGCAGTGGTAACCCTAGGGGGAGATTCAAAGCCTACTCGGTTTTGAATATGCTTTGATTTTGAGGCTGCATGATTTGTTTCTAAACTGATTTACTTGGCTAGCTACAGTATGAGCAAAAAGCAATCTATCATTGGCATTGGAAGTTCCTTCTCCTGTTCTGACTTCTGTCCACCTCCAACGAAAGGAAAACCACAGTGTGCCCTGGTTTTGGCTAGTTTTACGCCAGCCGCTTCAGAGGCAGAACCAGGGAGCAAATAGATCCTTTGTATAGGTATGATTGATGATTGTGCATAGGTATGATTAACTATTCACTGTCCTCAACTCTGATTGGTGACCTTAAGTTTGTAAGCAAAGCATGGCTTGTGACCCACTCCCCATAAAGAAGTGCTCTATTTCTTTACTTCAATCAAATGCGCTTTGCTGAACTGAATAAATGAAGGATATCATGTATTAGAATAGTAGTAATACCCTGATTGAAAAGCAGGTCATGATGGCCAAGAAAACTTTCAATAGTGATTATTTATTTATTTAAGTTCACTTAGAGAAATGTACCCAGGTTGGACACTTAACAATTTTCGACCTGTAGACTGGAAGGCACTATTGGTCTATTTGAGTTTTTATTGCAATTCCTGCTAGTTTATGGTTGAGTTATCTCAGTAGAAAAGGAGCTTTTGCAGTGAGGGTTGCAAACAGGCCCTCGTGGCTATGTGTGTTACCTTTATTTCACTTGATGGTCCTTATCCCGAGCCTCCCAAAAGCAATCAACTCTGAAGGTGTTTGCAGGTTTTTACAAACAAACCATTCCCTGGAAAATAAATCCAGATTTGCTATTTTATATTTTACTTGAAACGCCAACAATATTAATGTTTTTGTAATTTATCCAAAATTCATGCATTCTTCAGGCTGTTAGAATATTATGACATTCTGCTACTGGTCACACAGGGCAGAGGTTCATTGTGGAGAGGTGCATGCCCAGAAAAGATGATTCATTGTTTGTGTTGCTCATTTGTTGGGTATGGTATTTATATGCTATAGATGTCTTATTGTGTCAGGCAGAGAGTTTAGTTTGGGTTGTTTTGTGCCTGAGGGTGGTCACCATCAGGGTGAAGCCTTTGGCTGAGGTGACCTCCTCCATGGGTTCTTGTGTATGGTGTATCCCTGTTCTGACAATGTAAAAATAAAAAGAGCACTTTTCTGGGATTCTTTCTGTGGATGAAGCCACATTGATGCTCAGAAGTGGGATCATTTTGCTAAGATACAAGTGCTCAAGTGAAAGATCTGAGAACTCTGGGAAGCTGAGGAAGAAGCAGTCAAGGTGAAGGAAGAGATGCCAACAGTGCAGTGGCCCTCAACTATCTCTCTGCTGTGGCCGGGCATGTTTCCTCACATTGCAAGAGTTACAGCAGACAGCTGGGAGGCTACCACCATCCAGATTGACTCTGTTACTAGCAGCCGTGTCAAAGGAGAAGGGAGGAAGCAGCTTCCATCCATGCTAGGAGGTCTAAATTCTGGCTCGCACCCATATGGGAAGCCTGTATAATTGGCTTAGACTTCCTGGCAGTGATGGGAGCCATGACCAAAGTCGCAAGGATTACTCTGGAGTCTGGTTAGGAGTCAAAGAGATCACTGTGTGGAATTGCATGGAAACTGCTGGCTGTTGTGGTGGGGCTGCACTAGTTTCAGCTCTACCTGTGTGGTATTTCCTTCCTGCTGCACACTGATCATGCCTCATTAACCTGGCTCATGCAGTTTAAGGAGCCCAAGGGCCAGATGGTCAAGGAAATCATGGCACTACAGGAGTACAATTTCTCCATTCAGCACTGTGCTGGGTGCCTACACAGTAAAGCCAATAACCTGTCACTCTGTCCATGTGCTGCTGAGGAGTGCCGGTACTGCCTGCGCCTTGAGGATAAAGCCGAAGCAGCAGAAAAGGAGCGCAATAGTTGTGGCCACTATTCCTAGCTATAGTGGACTTACTGCTGTAAGCTCTGAGGAATTTTATAATACCCAGGAGAAACATGCTCTGCAGAGTGCACAGTTGGTATCAGGCATGGTGGGCATCAGAATGGACAGACATAACACCACAGGGGCCCACCACTAAAGTGCTCCAAGCAGACAGCCTCCTGTTATGTGAATGGCTGTTGTACAGTGTGTGGGAGGAGCCAGTGTCTGATAAGTACATCTGGCAGTTGCTGGTGCCACATGATAATATTGTGTTGCATAATACCTAAATAAACCAGAAAACAGTAAAGTCTCAGAGTCACAATTAATGCTCCAAAGTAATATGTTTATTAAAGCTCATGGCCAGGGAGAAGCTCCTGGAAAACCCCAGAGATTTCTGAAGACAGACTAGAGTTACAAAGGTTATATATCCCCCAAATAGGGTGTTGTGTCTTGTCATTGGTTAACAGAGAACAAAGAAGATACAATCCATTGATTATAAGTAATTGTGATATGCATAAACATGACAGTGTTAACATATTAGCATAATGAATAAGAAGGAAAAAAGCTGTAATATGGTCAGAAAGACTTCACCCCTCTTCTAGAAACTTTCATCTCTGCACCCTCAAGGCCACTAAACAATGAATCACAGTAGCCCTTTGTCAGTTCATTATAGATAACAGAAGCCTGGAGCCTGGGAAGTTTATCTAACTCTTGCATTTAAAGAACAGTGAGAGTCCACCTAATGTTTAAAGTAACATAAGTTTTTTGTACAGCTAAAAACACTACAAAATGCATTCCTATGTATCTCTTGTAAGCATACATAAATCATGGTCATATAGGTAAAGCAACAGGCCACATTAAAATCCGCTTAAATGGGTTACACACACTCATATCTCTCAAAGGTGAAATGTTGGTTACCAAAACCAAAACCACAATATATATGAGAAAGTATGCTAATGTTAGACAAGTTTGAATATTTGGGTCTCATAAGATGTCATTGTCCTGATATCATAATTTCTCTTTCAGGTTGTGTTACTGTGATCTCAGAGAGAAAAGCTGTAAAGCTCTGTCCTCAGTTCTCAGCTCAAACTCCTCAAATCTGAGAGAACTGTATCTGAGTTACAATGAACTGCTCCAGGATTCAGGAGTGAAGCTGCTCTCTGTTGGACTGGAAAATCCACACTGTAAACTGGAGATACTGGAGTAAGATCATCACTTTATTACTGTGTATGTCTTTATGTGTATTGATTTGTAAGTGTGAGGATTTTTTCTTCTTTCTGCAGGCTGTGTTACTGCAGTATTACAGGTGAAGGCTTTGCTGCTCTGGCTTCAGCTCTGAAATCAAACCCCTCCTCTCACCTGACAGAGCTGAACCTGAGCCACAATAAACCAGAACAATCAGGAGCGAAGCTGCTCTCTCATCTACTGAAAGACCCACATTGTAAACTGGAGAAACTACAGTGAGTTACTGACTTACTGTCCAATTATAGACACAAACACAAACAGCACATATACTCACACAAGAATAGTTAAGAACATCTGGAATTAGGTTTAATGCTCACATGCACACTATCAAATCTCTTACATACTCATCTGTGTATATATAACGCTTTGAATTTTTCAGCATCAAAGATTAAAGCTTTATTTACTGTTTATCTGATAGAGACAGTTTTGTGGTGTACCTGGTCTTGCATTTCTGTTTTGAAAATTCTTCTTTGATGTTACATTTCATTATTAAAGTAGATTTTTTTACACACACACACACACACATATATATATATATATATATATATATATATATATATATATATATTGCATGCCAATGATCCAATATTATCTTGCTATGATTATACCAATAGCATAGTTCAATTAACATGGTCATGGTCTCATCAGGATTTTAGTTAATCTGAGCTTGATTATGTGGTTGGACCATTTGAGACAGATTTAGACATGTAAACACTTAGATTACTTTAATGACATGTACTTGGAGCTTTTGCAAAATTCTGTCTTTTTCTTCCATTCCAAATGCATGTCTTATTTCAAATATTTTATCAGAAAGGAACATTAGTAGATATTTAAATAGAGTATATTTTACATTATTATTATTATTGATTGTGTGTGTGTGTGTGTGTGATGTCGGTGTTCTGATATATCATCATATCTCTCTCAGACTGTGTAACTGTAATCTCACAGAGGAAAGCTGTGAAGCTCTTTCCTCAGTTCTTGGCTCAAGCTCCTCAAGTCTGAGAGAACTGGACCTCAGTTACAATAAACTTCAGGATTCAGGAGTGGAGCTGCTCTCTGCTGGACTGGGGGATCCACACTGTAAACTGGAGAAACTGGAGTAAGATCATCACTTTTTCACTGTGTGTGTGTATGTTGAGCTGTAAGCGTGAAGAGTTTTTCTTCTTTTCTGCAGGCTATCTAACTGCAGTATTACAGAGGAAGGATGTGCTGCTCTGGCTTCAGCTCTAAAATCAAATCCCTCTCATCTGAGAGAGCTGGACCTGAACTCCAATATACTTGGAAAGTCAGGAGCGAAGCTACTCTCTGATCTACTGAAGGATCCACTCTGTAAACTGGAAACACTACAGTGAGTTACTGACGTACTGTCTTTTTTAGACACAGTAAGTTTGCTGATAGTTTAACACACAAAACTGGGCCTATTTATATACTCCTGTTTCCAAAAAACTTGAGATGCTGTGCAAAATGTAGATAGAACAAATTGAGTGCTGTAAAATGAAATAATTTAAACACTATATTTAATTGAAAATAGAACAAAGACAAAATATAAAATAATGAAACTGAGAAATTTTATTTTAAAGAAGTTTTTTGAAAACTTATATATGCCTATTTTGAATGTGATGCCAGTAACATGTCCCAAAAAAGGTGGGACAGGGGCATGTATACCACTGTGTTGCATCACCTTGTCTTTTAAGAACATTCTGTAAGTATCTGGGAACTAAGGAGACCACATCCCAAACTGTAGTTTTGAAATTGAGATATTTTCCCATTTTTGCTTGATATAGGATTTCAGCTGCCAAACAGTTTGGGGTCTTCTTTATCATATTCTTCATTTCATAATGCAGCAAATGTTTTCAATGGTGACAGGTTGGGACTGCCAGTCTGGATGCCAGTTAAGCACCCTAACTCTTTTACTACAGCCTCATGCTGTTGTAATATATGCAGAATGTGGCATGGCATTCTGAAACATGGTGCCTTCAACAGATGTACAAGTCACCCATGCCATGTGCACTAATGCACCCTCATACCATCGCAGATGCTGGCTTTTCAACTGCTTGCTGATAACAAGCTGGATGGTCCCTCTCCTCTTTAGCCTGGAGGAAACAGTAAAATATTTTTCAAAAGATTATAAAATTCTATTAGTTTCACCATGTAATATATTGTCTTTGTATTATTTATTTGTTATATTCTGTTTTTATTTGCATTTTGCACAGCATACTTTTCTGGAAATTATAAGACAAACACAATTATATGATCAGCATGAGGTCCTGTCTGATCATTCTCTTCTGTTCTCTTTCTTACAGCACCTTAACACCATACACCTGATCTGCTCTCACACATAGTGAGAGGTCTGGTGGTCTACCACATCTTGCATTGTTGTTAGGAATTCTGTTGTCCATGCAACTTTATAATTTTTGTCTGCTCTTTTATGTAAATTATAATACAACTTATCTCCTCAGAAATATCTCTGACTGGAACTGTCTCTGATCTAGCAGCAGTATGCTCTACCCAGATGCTGGTTTTAATAGGGAAAACTGCACTGTTCTCAAGTCAGTAGTTGTAGGTTATTTCCACCAGTTGTGAATATTGTGTACTTGTATCAGTCTGGCTGCATGCATTAACAAAATCTTGTCCAGGACTGGGAGAGAGGCAGTATAACTGCACAATAAAAATAAACATGCTTTATTTGCTCCAGTGGTTGCCTTGGTCTTGGAGATATATGTTCCTGCAGAGTCTAGTTCCAACTATAATCTGACACACCTGCTCCATCTAATTAATTTCTTCAGAAGCCCTTGATTGGCTGGGTCTGATGCATTATTGTAAGGTAAAGATGAGGAGCATTTAATGCCTTGTTCAGACAGGCAGCTCAAATCCAATTTAAGCAGGATAGATTTTCTTAAATCTGGACAGCAAAAAGCCACATAAAATCTGACTTTGTTTAAAGAGCAATATTAGTAATTTAACCTATTTTATTCACATTAAACACATCTTGGTTTGATCCCATATTTAACTAAGAAAAAAGGGGGGGGGGTGTACCATAGGATCAGGGATCATTCAGCCAGACAATGATGATTCACATGCAGACCATATTGTTTGCAAGTAACTAGATTATTTATTAATTGGTATAAATAAACAGGGTAAATAGAGCTTATGGTCTAATCAGCAGGCTGGCATATATGGATTTAATGATAAATGGGTCTCTGATAAGAATTGAGGCAGACTGTTGAATGGTGCAAATATGCTGATATTACATTACCTTCAGAGGAAGGACAGCAGGGCGATCAATTTTTGTTCACAGAACGCCGAGCGCAATTGGCTGCCGCTTCTTGGTGGGTGTGTGTTTGTTTTGACTGTTCTGTTGTCATTGGATTACACACCACTGAAGCTTTCATGCTGGTCTGTTTTCTGGACTGGACTTTCTTCATATTGATTTTAGTCATATTGCACTGCTAATGGGCTGTCTGACATTTTGGATTGTTGTATGCCCTCTGGATTGCTGGACTTTTGCCAACAGTCTGATCCTGCCATGCCTCAAAGCCTTCTCCCCCATTGTCCTTTCCAGCACACTGTGCTAATCAGCTTGGTTGGTAAGTATGTATCCCCTCCCTTAACAAATGTTCACAGATAGCTCTGTGGTGTTGCAGACATAGAGCCAGTGGGGTTAACAATATGGCCAGGTGGCTGATATTTTGTTTTGGTATACACACTATGAATCTCTGAATCACGGTACTTGAATATTCACCAACAGACTTACATAGCTGGAACTGTTATTTACACCTTGATCCAGAGATTTATAAATTCTGTAAGTTGCTTGGAATAGCTAGGCACCCTCACTACATACATCCAGTCCTGGAGGTAGGATCAGCTGGACAATCTACTGAACCACTTCCTCAGCGTTGATGTGGTCATCTACAACACACACCCCATAGACGGCATGGTAGGGATTGTATATTTTGTGCTTGTTGTACAAAGTCACACGCAATGGGAATGAATCGCGAGGTCAAAAGTAACATGGTCTTACTAAACTGCCACTCATTATCAAGCAAATCACTACTTCTTTGGAAAAAAATGCTTGAGAATAATCTTGACGCATTGTTTCTCACTGAAACAAGGCATAAAAATCAAATGTCTTCTTGAACCTCAACTCGCTTGCTTCTCCCAGGTTTAACTACTTAAACTACCTTATATGTTCGATGGTAAATACAAATCTAAATCAGAAGTAATGAGGTGTGTGAAGTTTATGTGTTTGATGATAAATGTCTGTAAATCTAAATCAGAAGTAATGAGGTGTGAGAGGTTTCTGTGTTTGATGGTAATGCACTCAGCTAACTAAAGCAAACTGTGGCTGCCCAGACAAAGCTCTTGGACATAAACTCTCATTGGGGAAAAAGAGGGTTATATATATATATATATATATATATATATATATATATATATATATATATATATATATATATATATTTTCTCCTGGTTTGCTTTAGTTAGGATGATAGGTTAGCAATTGTATTTAATTTTCTTTTTGTTTGTTAGGTAAGTTTTTTTTTTTCTAAACTTAAGTTAGCTGTGTTTTTGTTTGTTATTTTACCCTTACCTCCCCTTTCATTTTATAAATGTCTAAAGCCTTGAACTCTTGAAAATAAAGCCAAATTGTTATTGTCGCAAAAAATTGGTTGTATGTGTGATCTGGGGAACCGGGAGGGCACAGAGGTCTCTTTATTTTTATGTTGCAGCCCGACCTAGACCGGGTCGTAACATAAATTGGGGGCTTGTCCTGCTCGTCCTTTCATTTTGGCTGCTCCTGTTGTGGTTCCTGTTGGCGGTTTCCTTTTGTGTGTGGGGGTATGTTGTGGTGATGGCTTTTGAGCTTGAAAAGTTTGTTTTGGCTCCTTCTATGCATGCTTTTGACCAGTGTTGTAAGGATGACTTACTGCAATTGGCTGGATTTTATAATGTTACTGTACCACGTTCGGCCAATAAAGGTGTGATAAGGGAAGCGGTGTATCAGAAGCTGTTGATGAGGGGGTTCTGCCTGCGTTACTGGAGTCAGTTGAACCAGGTGTTGCCTTTGGAGAGGAGGATATGAAAGTTTTTTTATTATAACATTAATTTGCCATGTAAAAGTTGTAAAGTTGTAAGAAACGTTTTCTAAGCTATTATATAAAGGTATACATTATGGTATGGAAGTTTGTCTCAAGAAAGTAGGGAAAAATAAATGGTAACACTTTCTATGAATGTCACCTTTGTAAGCATCTATAAACACATTCATAACATGTTATAATGCATTCATAAGACATTATAAACATAGCTATAAATATTTATAAAAATGCATTATACATTATAGCCATGTTTATTAGGCATTATGAATATTAACATAATACATTATAAGTACTGATCATAACAAATTATAAGAGCTCATAGGTTGTATTTGTCCACTCTAAGTAAAGTAAAGTGTACTGTATTAAAGCCTCCTCCAGTGTTAAGAGTGAGGCTTCAAGTTGAAGGATTTACTGAAACACTAAAACATTCACAGTAAAGCACATTACAGGCTTCAAATGTCAGATTTTAAACTAGTGCTGCCATCAGTGTTTTACCCAATGTGGGAAAGTCAATGTACACCACCGTTAGCTTGGTATTTGTCTTTACTTTATGCTCTCCAAGCTGGGACTGACTTCTTTGGCACTGACATTATAATGTGTTATTAACACTGTTTATAATGCATTATATTAACAATTCGTGATGTATAATAAACATGGCTATAAAGTGTAATCCAGTGTAATTCTTTTTTATCAGTATTTATAACCATGTTTATAATGCCTTATGAATACATTATAACATGTTATAAATGTGTTTATAGATGCTTACAAAAGTGTTACCAAATAAACGAACAGATTTTTAAAATACATTGTTTAAAAGTAACAACTAAACGTTAAACACTATCAAATTCTTAAAACTTCTTTCATAGAGATAAAATACTGATTGGAGCCGAATAGTGGAACTTTATAGATGTAAATAAAAGACATTAATAATGCTTCATGTTTAATGAACTAACATACTAATACTGTTTCACCCAGTATAATGTTAATAACTTCAGTGCATGTTTCTCTCTTTACTACTAATATCATAGCATGCATTTTGAGACACAGCCACATGAGGGTACTGTAGAATTTCATCAACTCCACTAAGCCCTGGTTTGCTTCTTGTGGAGTACTTAAGTCATTCATCTTATTGTAAATGTCACTTTGCTTGGACAAAAAGGTCTTTTATTGTGTGTAATGTGATTGGTCAGCACTGCTTTCTACCTAAAATTCAGTCAGATCCTCTTTCCTGTTCATATGGGGTCATGACCTGCTCACTCTGTCCAGTACAGTGTGTTTATGGGCCTGTTTCACCCTCACACTGACAATATATTAGTACATTATTTACACTTCCCTTCAGTATGATTAAACACTGCACACTCTATGATAACAGTGCTTTAATAAGTTTACTACATGTACCATCATACTACAGGACCCTTTCTAAGATAGTGAGTCTTTTGGGCTTCAGCTCCAGTGCTGCACAGGCTCTTTGGGAAATGTTTACTGTGCTGTTGTGCTCAACAGAAGAAATATTTAAGGAGTTTTTAAAGACACATGATGATCTGCTTGATGTTATTGCTGCCTCCAGTTTAAAAACCTCCAGTTTAAACATTCAAATTTAAAATGTCCTACAAATGGTAAAGCAGAACTAAATGGGCAGAGCAAGACATTAATATCTCCAGTATCTTTAAAAAGAGGTTAAATTGTTTTGTGGGTGAGTGAATGATAGATTTTTTTTATGATCAAACAAAATGACACATGAGCTACAAATACCATGTGAAAGCAATTTTAGGCAATTTTACAGAACAAAGAAGACAGAGCAGCAAAGCTTAGTCATGAAGGAGTGGAGATTACAGGAGAAATAATAGCTGGGAAAAGACTGGATAAACAAATATGGCAGAATAAAATATACTCGCTCCCACTTTATATTAAATCTCTAATAACTGTGTAGTTACACATGAACAACACATGAAACAACAATATAATTACTAGTGATGATATCATTTTCAGTTTTGTCTAATATAATTACACAAGTGTATCTTGACAGTTGTAACAGCATATTGTCCCTCATGTAATTACTAATGAGTAATAACATGAATATAATTTTATTTGTAAATAGACTAGAACAGTAGTTTTTCAGCAGTAAAGGAAGTGTGTAATAACTTACATTAAGACCTACTTACACTGGATCTGCACTGGAAATGCCAGCATTCCTAACATTTAGCTCACATTTACTTAGCTAGTGCTGTAATATTGTAACCAAGGTTTTAGAACCATTCTGTAATGTGACATTACTTACACAGCAACAACAGATCTCCACTTATCTTAAAATCTAACCTTTATGTAATCAATGAAATGTGTTGATCGTATTTCCCTAAAGCATGGTCTATATTAACACTCTGTAATTACACAGTACCTACATGACTACTACATAGGAACTGTACACTTATTTTAAAGAGTAACTTTTACATAGTTACTGTGAATAATTAATGATTAAGGACAGATTTTAAAGCAGCTACTACTTTTCTAGAACATATGTCCTATGACACAGAATTGCATAACATACTGGTAGTTATTCTTTACTATATACATTTTAATATAGCAGTGAAATGGGAAGTTATAAAACTTTCAATACAATCATCACTTAATCTGTAAAATAAATGTATTTAGAAAAAAATAATTTAAAAAAATGAGGACATAGTAATAGATGGTATGGTAGTAGTAATAGATAGTAAAGATGTGCCTTGTGATGTTTAATTATTATTTTTTTCTATTTAGGGCAACATAAAATCAGTGCAAGAATTTGGAGTAGTGTTCCTGTGAAATTTGATTACAAAACGAGTATTCTGTCCAACACTGGTGTCCATCCATAGTTTGAGGTAGTCTCTGCAAAAGCACACTGATAAGATGATCAGTGAACAGGCTGTAAAACATTCTTACCTGTGACCTGCTGTGGGTGGGACTAGTCTCCTAACTGAGTAAGGAACTGTATCTGATCTGGGAACAACACATTCTACACAGATGCTGGCTTTAAGAGGAAAAGCTGCACTGTTCTCAGGTCAGTAGTTGTAGGTTATATCTGTGCTTCATTTACTCTAACAGGCTCAGAGCTGTACTAGATTCAGCTGGAAGAGTTCATTCAGCACTGCTGTGAGTAACAATACGTGGCTAAACTGGATTTTGGAGTCTCCTCCTCCAGCAGAATGATGAGATAAACTGAACAGGACAAACTGGTTCAGAACAGAGTGAGAGAGACTCTGAGCAGGTCATCATTTTATGGAGTGAGAAGAATAAATCTAATTAAGAGGAAACACAGTAAGTATCTAACTCTGTACTAGAGTTTCTGAATCAGCACTATAGATGCTGTTAATACAGAAAGACATCAGCAGTTAACAGACTTGCAAGAGCTTTTAACAAAAGTGTTAGTATTAATAAATTAAGAATGTCATCAGTCTGTCTGTCTGTGATGAGACCAAACTGAAATATTAGTCAGCGGAGACAGACGGCAGAATAACAGAGCTATAATATTGTTAACATCAACAAAACAATATAACTATAATAGATTTAGACTTTAGACCTGTTTTATTTCAAGGTGTGTCAGCAGTATACAGGCAGTCCAAAGTGTGGATTGTTTGTGACTGTGTTGCAATTTATCTGTCCAGAGTAAAAATGCCTGCAGGCTAGCGAGGAAGCAATATGGAAACCAACTCTAAATATTTTCTAAAATTTCTTATCTCTTTTATATTGTATATCTGCATCACATAATATTTGAATAGTTGATGTAATGTTTTAGGCTGAAACTGTGCTGGATAAGAGGTGTACTAAAAATGAGTTCCTCCAGCTTGGCTGTGTGGTCATTACAGAATTTGAATATGAATCTAATGCAGAGAGTTTGGACTTTAAACAGCTAAAATGCTGACGCAGAGGTCTGACCTCCATAATGTCTGAACTACAGCTTATATGTTAATGATAACAAGCTCCTGCTGTTACACAACCAAAATTATTAACTAATTTTGTTCTTTAGCCAAAAATCACTATGTGAATTCCAAACCAGTAATTAACAAGCGAGAATGACAATGTATCTGTAAAATATGAATGACTTCATTTTAACACACAATGAATGACTAACTGCCTCCCTAACCCCCATATCACCTTTGGGGGCAAAGACTACCCAAACCACCTCAAATCTCAGCAATCAAAGCTACAACGCAAAACTAAACATGGCATGGAAATACACTGAAATTACCGAATAACTACACTTTGTTCCTGTCTCAACACAAAAGTTCAGTTTTAATATCCCTGACATGACAGACATATACATTTACCCTCAGCTGTCAGCGTGTCAGTCTTCCCAGAGAAATAGGTGTGATCATTTGGTCACATCACAAAATTTTCAGGGATGGAGCAACATGACTACAGTCTCGTATGAGTAGAACATTTTTATATTTAGAGAAGAGAGGAAGTTCAGGAGAGAAAGACAGCGAGTCCGTAAATCCGAGCTGTAGTTTATGAATGATATGAATCTACACTAGATAAAAATCAGTTCAGTAGGTTTGTACTGAAGTCTTAACTTACAGACTCAAAGGCTGTTTTCCAAGGGAATAACTTGATAACATAGGGCTAGATTGAGACTATGTCATGACCTGTGGCCTATTTGGTAATTAGACAGCATTATTTCATCTGTGTGTGTTTTCATAGTGGCTTCTGAAGCAGAAGACATGAGCTCAAAAACGAGTCTCCCTTGGATAAAACATGAAGACGAAGAAAAGAGGTGAGAGAATAGTGTGACACTGTGAACACAGATGTGCTGATGAAGTGTTATCAGTCATCTGTTAATGAACAGGTTTAGTAGGTGAGTTTGAGCAGGACTGTGATGGACACTGAACCTGCAGGACTAGAACTGAAGAGCCCTGGTTTAAAGAATCTCTTATTTTTCTAACATTATAAAATATCAAATACAGTTTTGGCTGTGTTTTAGTCTGAGTCTGACAGAGACACCAGACTCACCTGACCCCAGCTGTGTGTCCATGAAGAGTGACAGGTCAATGGAACATCCAATGAACTTGAGGAAGGGAGACAGTTGTCCTGTTGTGAGGTAAGGACAGTGTGATGGTTTAAGACAGTGTTCCTCACTCCCAGTCCCACCTGATCAAACTTATTCAGCTCATTATGAAGCCCTTCATGATGATGATTACTGATATACACAGACATTGTGCCTTTAAACAAGACACTGAAGCCCAAACTGTTCCAGTGTTGCTGCCTCTGTAGATGGATAATCTCATTCACTTTTGACAGAAACATCAGCGAAATGTAAATGAAGACCTTCATCAGACTCTTTTACTGATCTGAACTAAGTAGATTTTAGAGCAGGGGTCTTCAGTTCTGCTCATGAGGGGCTGATGTCCAGTACAGTTTGGTGATTTCCCTGCTCAGACACACCTGATCACCTCATCTGTTAATGAACAGGTTTAATAGGTGAGTTTGAGCAGGAAATTGTGAAAAAAACTGTGATGGACACTGAACCTGCAGGACTAGAACTGAAGACCCCTGCTTTAAAAATATCCTATTTCTCTAATGTTATAAAATATACCTATCAAATACAGTTTTGGCTGTGTTTTAGTCTGAGTCAGACAGAGACACCAGACTCACCTGAGCCCAGCTGTGTGTCCATGAAGAGTGACGAGTCAATGGAACATCCAGTAAACTTGAGGAAGGGAGACAGTTGCCCTGTTGTGAGGTAAGGACAGTGTGATGGTTTAGGACAGTGTTCCTCACTCCCAGTCCCACCTGATCAAACTTATTCAGCTCATTATGAAGCCCTTCATGATGATGATTACTGATATACACAGACATTGTGCCTTTAAACAAGACACTGAAGCCCAAACTGTTCCAGTGTTGCTGCCTCTGTAGATGGATAATCTCATTCACTTTTGACAGAAACATCAGCGAAATGTAAATGAAGACCTTCATCAGACTCTTTTACTGATCTGAACTAAGTAGATTTTAGAGCAGGTGTCTTCAGTTCTGCTCATGAGGGGCTGATGTCCAGTACAGTTTGGTGATTTCCCTGCTCAGACACCTGATCAAACTCACTCAGCTCATTATGAAGAACTTCATGAGCTACATCAGGTGTGTTGGAGCAAGTAATCATTAAACTGTACAGAGCTGCAGACTGGCAGTGAGGATCACTGGATTAGGATTAAATATTACACTCAATTCTTACAGTTTTTACAGAAATATCTGTTTTGTGTTGCAAGGTTCCCAAATAACAATGTATTTAAAGATGTGTTTTTGGTGTGAGTTATGATGATTCTGTCTTTTCCCCAATTCACAGTGTCCAACAGGAGAAATCAAAAATAACCAGCATTAATCATTTGGACGGAATATTCAAGGTATTTCTATGTGTGTAACTCTTATTGTCACTTTGTATTATGCTTCAATTTGATTCTTATTTGGACTAAAATAATTTACCATTTTATCCATTTCTCAGTTTGTATCAGGATTTTAGTTAATCATGTTTGTAGTTTCAGCTGAGATTATGCACAGTGACTGTGGACTCTCCATCATATGAGAAAAGCATAAAATCATCTCTCTTTGTAAGATGTGTTTTTTATGATTCTTGTTTTACTGTTTGTTGCTGTTTATCAGGATCTGGAGCACAAACTAATTTCTCTCGTGAAGAAAGAGCTGAAGAGGTTCAAGAAGCTGCTGAGTGCAGATTACCCAGCATGCTCTGAGAGGGTGGAGGATGACGAAGATCAGAGCAGTTCCAGAGAGGTGCTGAAGATCACATTGAACATGCTGAGGAACATGAAGCAGAAAGACCTCGCTAACACACTACAGAGCAGTAAGAGCTGGTCATAAATGACCAGAGTTATTGTTTTATGGAGAGAGAAAAATAAATCTTATTTTGCTTTAGGGGCAGTTTTTACCTTTAACATCCTAATGAGTGCAGTTATGGACAGGACAGAACTGATATTAGTGAGTGTCATTCCAAAATCACGCAAAAGTAAAATTCTCACTTTGTGTTTTTTTAATGGAACTGAAAGCTCTATATACTGACCATAAAAATGAATGATCACTTTAATGGAAAAGGTTTTGTAAGGAGCTGAAGTGAGTATTTAATTTCCATGTCTGTTTGTCAACAAAGTTGCATGTGCATGTTGAAATTAAAGCCTCTCTTAGCAAAGCATGGCACAGCCCATCAGAATAAAAGCCCTGCGCAGGAGAGCATTCTAATTCTGCTGTTACTTCACAGCAAATAACAATTTCAGACTTCTGCATTTTTATCAGAGTTTTTGAAGGTTGAAAAATACCTTTTTGAAATTTCAAGGTAATAAAGGGATAATTAAAACATTTACAGGTTAGTTAGACTTCATAGCCCTGAAATAAATTGGAAGAATTTGGGTGAATGTGAAATACTTGCTCATGGTGCATTATTAAAAAAAATCTTATTTACCAAAGTTTTACTAAAGTATATATATGATTAGGAATGAACTCTCCAATAATGAAATCGAACTGTCTGAGATGTATAGATGTGAAATCGAAGGAGGAAAAATTAGCACCAAAACAGCATAAGTACTCACTATTGGCTGATACTCTGAGCTCAGGTATCACAACTGGTATCGGAAGATAAGTAAGATTTCATCCCTAACTACTTTCACACAGAATATTGAATCTGATATTGTGGTTAGTAGTAAAGAGTGCAATTGTCATCATCACAATGTTCTCATTTCTCATGATATTCCAATTGTTCTTGTGTGTTTGTTAGAGCTCATCGCTGCATATCAGAAAAAACTTAAATCCAAACTTATGGAGAAATGTAAAAGGATTAATGAAGGAATCTCTCAGCATGGAAGATCAACCCTTCTGAGTGAGATCTACACAGAGCTCTACATCACAGAAGGACTGAGTGGGAGAGGTCAATAAAGAACATGAAGTCAGACAGATTGAGACAGCATCCAGGAGACCAGCAACAGAGGAGAAACCCATCAAATGCAATGATCTCTTTAAAGACAGACCCATCAGAACTGTGCTGACTAAAGGAGTTGCTGGAATTGGAAAAACAGTCTCTGTGCAGAAGTTCATTCTGGACTGGGCTGAAGGAAAAGCAAATCAGGACGTCCTCTTCATATTTCCACTTCCTTTTAGGGAACTGAATATGATGAAGGAGAAAAACTTCAGTCTGATGGAGCTTCTTCATTACTTTTTCCCAGAAATAAAAGAGTTAAGATCAATAGAATGTGATGCCCACAGAGTCATGTTCATCTTTGATGGTCTGGATGAGTGTCGACTTCCTCTAGATTTCCAGAACAATGAGAGCTTGTGGGATGTAACAGATTCGGTCTCAGTGGATGTGCTGCTGACAAACCTCATCAAGAGAAATCTGCTTCCCTCTGCTCTCCTCTGGATAACCTCTCGACCAGCAGCAGCCAATCAGATCCTTCCTGAGTCTGTTGACCTGGTAACAGAGATACGAGGGTTCAGTGACTCTCAGAAAGAGGAATACTTCAGGAAGAGACTCAGTGACCAGAGCCTGGCCAATAAAATCATCTCACACATGAAGTCCTCAAGAAGCCTCTACATCATGTGCCACATCCCAGTCTTCTGTTGGATTGCAGCCACTGTTCTAGAGAGGATGTTGGGTGAAGCAGAGAGTGGAGAGATCCCCAAGAGTCTGACTCAAATGTTCACCCACTTCCTGATCTTTCAGATCAAACACAAGGACCAAAAGTACCATGGGAAATGTGACACTGATCCTCAGCAGACTAGAAAGATGATTCTGGCACTGGGAAAACTGGCTTTCCAACAGCTGGAAAAAGGCAATCTGATCTTCTATGAGGAAGACCTGAGAGAGTGTGGTATTGATGTCAGAGAAGTGTCAGTGTACTCAGGAGTTTGTACCCAGATCTTCAGAGAGGAGTTTGGGCTGCACCTGGGGAAGGTGTTCTGCTTTGTGCACCTGAGTGTTCAGGAGTTTCTGGCTGCTTTATACTCATTTCTCTCCTTCATCAGCAGAGATGGAACCAAACAGCTGACCACTGATCTGTCCGACATTTTCATGGAGTCCAAAATGTCAGACTTCCTCAAATCTGCAGTGGACAAGGCCTTACAGAGTGAGAATGGACATCTGGACCTTTTCCTCCGCTTCCTTCTGGGCCTCTCACTGGAGTCCAATCAGACTCTCTTACGAGGTCTACTGACACAGACAGGAAGCAGCTCTCACAGCAAAGAGGAAACAGTCCAGTACATCAAGGAGAAGATCAGGGAGAATCCGACTCCAGAGAAATCCATCAATCTGTTCCACTGTCTAAATGAACTGAATGATCATTCTCTAGTGCAGGAAGTACAAACATACCTGAGCAGTGATTATTTTTGTCTAAGTGGAGTGAATCTCTCTCCTGCCCAGTGGTCAGCCCTGGTGTTTGTGTTGCTGAACTCAGAAGAGGAGCTGGATGAGTTTGACCTGAATAAATATGATCCATCAGATGAATGTGTTCTAAATCTGCTGCCAGTGATTAAAGCATCCAGAAGAGCTCTGTGAGTATTTCAGTTATAAATGTGTTACCGCACTGTTTATCATTGATTATTTACTTTAGCTGATTAGTTAGTTTATTCAGCTTCAAAAACACCTCTGATAGTTTCATAGCTTTGTGAATGTGTTTAGACAGACGGAAAAAGAGACAGAGAGAGAGAGTAAGAAAAAGAGAGGGAGAGAGAGAGAATTTGAAACCTTTCCAAAAGAAAAAAACAGAAACTGAACTGACCAACAAGCTGCAATAGAATATCTCCAAGCAGTATGACAATTTAAGAAATTAATTCACACTAGAAAAGGCAATACATGAAGAACAAGTTAAGTAAAATGGAAAAAAACATAACTGAAAATTCTGAGAGCCATGGAACAAAATGCAGCACAACTAACTCAATTAAAAAGGCAAAACCTAGAAAATATACTTTGAAAAGCTTTATAAAGATATATAATGCCACAATTGTCAAATCGGGCTATGATTTCTGAAGAACTTACCAAATTTGCAGTACAAGATAATCAGTGCCCTCTTGACTACCCTATTACAGTAAAAGAAGTGCAAGAAAATCTCTTTAAATGTTCTTTAAGCAGGGTGGTGTACAGAATTGACAATATCAAAAATTAAATGTTAAAAGACTGCAGTCCCAAATTACAATTGGCCATCCTAAAACCATATAATCTAGTGCTAGAAAGTGGAATTTTCCCTGTGATCTGGAATAGAGGTCTTGATACCCCAATATATAAAAATGGTGATAAATTTGACCCAAATAACTACACAGGTATCTGCATGAATATCAATATATGTAAAGCCTTCTGTAGTATACTAGACACTAGGTAATTAACATATTTAATAGAACACAATGCAGTACCGAAAGGTCAAATTAGCTTTTAACTAAACACAGGACAACAGTTTTTTTTTGTTTGTTTGTTTGTTTTTTTGTCTCTTCAGTATATACATTAACAACCTGGCCACAACCCTGAAACGTAGCAGAGATTAATACTCCTCACTCCATTCAGGACTTCTAAGTACCAAGAATCCTCTGGGGAGTCACATGACCATGAATCCACACTCTGCCTCACCTGATTTTTGATTGTTAACACCTGTTCATGGACTATTTATACATGTTTGTGCCAGTTGCTTCTTTGTGAGTTATTGTTCAGCCTCCCTGTTCACTACTGAGCCTTTTTACTGGGTTTGACTTAGTGTTTTTCACTGGTTGTTTCATTTACGACCTTTGCCTGACCCATTTGAACTCTGTTTCATCTTCTGAGTTACTGACCTTTTGCCATTGTTCTCCTGTTTATGACTTAGTCTAGCCCCTGTTGTATCTTTTGCCCGTGTATCAACCTTTGCCTGTACTGCACCACAGAGGTGTGGTCTTCCTCGCCCTCGTGCAGTTCTGGATGGGAGGCATCACTGTCACGAGCAGGTGGAGGTGTCTTGTAATTGGTGATGGCCTGGATGCCCTGTCACATGCAGTGTTTGCCAGCAGTGTCTTGAAAATGTTCATGGATCTTCTTTGCATAGGTGCGCCTTGCCTCTCTGACGGTCTGGGAAAGCTTGGCTCTTGCTGATCTGAGTCCTGCTGCATCCCCTGACTTGAAGGCCTTATCATGGGTTCTCAGCAGCATGTGCACCTCTGCAGTCATCCATGGCTTCTGGTTTGGGTGTGTTGTGGTGAGGTTGGAGACGGTAACATCATCAATACACTTGCTGATGTAGCCAGTCCCTGATTCTGTATACCCCTATGCTGGAATGAGCATCACAAAGATGTGGTCTGAGTTACCGTAGTGGGGGTGGGGCTCGGCCCTGTACACGCCTGTGATTTTTGTGTAAACAAGATCCAGCACGTTAGCCCCCCAGGTTGCAAAGTTAACCTACTGGTGGAATTTACGGAGCACTGACTTCAGATTAGCATGGTTGAAATCTCCAGAGACAATAAACAGTCCATCTGAGTGTGTGTTTTGAAGATTGCTGATAGCGCTGTACAGCTCGTTCAGTGCGGTGTTAGCACTAGAACTGGGAGCTATGTACACTGCTGCTATGTACACTGTAGTCAGCTCTCTTGGCAAATAAAAAGGCCTGGCTCAGACAATTGCAAACTCCACCAGTTTATTTTCCAAGGAACAGACGTTTGAAAGAAGAAGCAATGGCACCGCTGGTCATCTGTAGTTAGCCATTAGCCTAGTGCGCACCCCAGCTCGCTCGCTTCGCTTCTGCCTTTTCGCACATCGCTTTCGGCCAGCAGGCTCACGCAGCGCCGTGGATTGTAGTATGCCTAACTCGCACAGCTCTTCCCACAGTCCGTCTGAAAGCAAAGATTGTGGCTGATTTCTCAGCTGTAGTAGGCTCTGGTGATAGTAGACGTTGGTGCTGGTTGTTGCAGTCATGATTTTTGAGGTTTGGTTGGGTAGTAAAACAAAAGTGCAAAAATCACCGCTTTATTGTTTATATTGATGATATTTAATATCATCCTATTTTTAAGCCAAATGATTTCCATTAGATATCTAAAATGTCTTTGCTGTCCAAAGAAAAACAAACATTTCCAAAAATGGTAACTTTACCGGAGAGGGCAAAACGTTCTTAACTTTCAATGCAAATTAACATAAAGAGATTTTATCCAGTGCAATTTTGGAGCATTTCTATTGATCCCATGATCATTAAATTTTCACACAATGTAAAGGACAGTTGCTAAGCTCAAATTATACAGAAAAAAAAAAATCGCAAAAAAATAGAGAGACTTTTTTTTGGGACAGTGACCATATGGACCATTAGATTAAATTAGTTAAAACTGCATCCCACAAAAAAGAAATGTAAAAAACAATGAACTGTTCAGATCTTAGATATTTACAAGAATCTGATCTATTTAAACCCAAGGTATTAATAGAGATGGTAATAATCTAGAAGTTTAAAAAAAATCATCATTTATAGGGTACTTTCTAGTGGGAGGTGTATGACCCAAACTCTAACACGTAAATTTACACTTGATACAATAATTCTTTCTATATTTTTGCCATGTTTAATGTTGTTTTAATAATATATTATTTCTATAAACGTGAAACTGAAAGATCTACATTTATCATAAATTTAATTTTTAAATAAAAAATGCTACCCAGCATTTTCCCATAACTTCTGCAATACAAAGAGTTTTAGTCTGTAGGTTGAGGTTTATTTTAGCCACACCCCAGCATTTAAGATCAGGAAGTGAGGCTGCATCTCTATCCCTCATGGCCACATGGTGAGCAGTTGGATCCCATTGTTTTGAAATAAATGTGTCCCAAAGTCTGAAAGTCAGTGTGGAACATAAAGATTTGTCACTACAGAAAAACATTTTTTGCCATTAAGTAAACTTTTTTGTGCTTTAATGAAAAACTACAATATTACAAATCAAATTTCCAAGTTGGGACAGTGTGTGGAATGCTGATACAAACAGAACTCAGTATGGAATATTTTGCCAGTCTTCTGTTGTACAACTTCTCAGCCATGCAACTGTACAGGGCCTTCACTGGTGTGCTTTGAGCTTAATAAGACATGTTTTCAGTGGGATACAGTCCTGGATTGCAGGCAGGTCAGTCTAACACCTGCACTCTCAGATGCTGCTGTAACACTAAAAGTAGCAATTACAAGTTAGAGGTGGTTTTGACAGTGCTTCATTGGACCTATTTTTCAATCCAGAAAATAGCCATATTCATCAGATTTACATGGTTTCATCATATATTAATAATAAAACTTCTAAATATATTATTTCCTATTAACAAGGTTTGCGTTACAAAAGAAAAGCATAAGTTGAACTAAGGCAAGATTTGAGCTCTAGAGAGTCTCTTATTACTTATTTTGCCAGTGCCTCCAGATAAAATTGCTGATAACCTGCAAGTACAGATGGAATTTGTGGTAGGACACTAAAATACTGTGCTGACAAGCTTGGGGTTGTATTTAAGCAACTGAGCCAAAAAATCTTTGGTCAGTGGTGTTGTACCTCAGATGTGGATTTACCTGTAGTACCAGTGCCTAAAAATCCTTTATTAAGGCTCTAAATTATTTACAACCTATAACTCTCTTGTGTCTATGTGTAATGAAATGCTTTGAGAAAATAGTTTAATCTCGCAGTTGCTCAAAATCAGTTAGATCCTCTTCAGTTTGAGCCCTGGGAGGGGAATGAATGATGCAAAAATATTTTTGATGAATTCAGTTTATAAACACCCTGATTGAATTAACACCAGGACCATAATTTTATTTGTGTATTTCTCACCTGCTCTCAAGACATTGCAGCCCTGTTTATTGGCCTATACATTTTTTAAAAATTCACATTATATTACCAATTAATTTGTTGGATATTGCATTTTCTGACCCCAAGATCTCAAAGGGTATATGTTAATGAAAGTTCTTCAAATCTGTCTTTTATATCTAAAGGTTTGCCACAAGGGCGTGTGTTGTCTCTCTCGCTATTTATTCTGTATACAGATGATTGCAGGAGTGCTCATGAAAATCACCCTAAAATTTGCAGATGACACAGTTTTGATGTCTGCTCTCTGGTGCACATCAAGAAACTGGTACAATCTTTCAGGAATTTACAGAGTGGTGTGAAAATGCATACCAAAGAGTATGACTGTAGATTTTAGTTGCAACTCTTAAAAATTAACACATATCAATGGATAAGCTGTAGAGGAACTGAATACTTACAGCTACTTTAGTATGTTTGGTATACTTCGGTAAATGTTTCTACTTTGGACTATGGGGAGGTTATAGTGGGTTTGCTATCTACCATGTACAGGAAATGTGTGGCTAAAAGTGACCTGTCTGCTTTCTGGCTGTATCAGCCAGCACTGGCAGTGGTTCTCCTTTGCTGCCTGTTCAGTAAAAGAGAATTCATTTAAAAAATGCTGTTTTCTGGCATCTTTTTCTTCATCAACTCTACCACATACTTTATGCTTAAAAATCATATCTTTTCACGTCTTAATCAGAACTAAATATAGAATGTTTCTGTAATGAGAACAACTACTGTACCATTGTTTCACTGTTTGTTTTTATGCTTGTGTGAGGTGTGTGCATATATGTCTGTGTATGCGAGGGTATGTGTATATAATTGTGTGTCATTGTTTGTGTGTATGCGTTTATGAATGTATGTGTGTTCATTTATGATTGTGTTTGCATTCATGATTGTGTTTGTGTGTCTGTGAGTGTGCATGAATGTGTGTGTGTGTGTGTGTGTGTGTGATGTAATTGTTCTGATGTATAATTTTTTTCTCCCAGGCTGTATAACTGTAATCTCACAGAGAAAAGCTGTGCAGCTCTGGCCTCAGTTCTCAGCTCAAACTCCTCCAGTCTGAGAGAACTGTACCTGAGTTACAATCACCTGCAGAATTCAGGTGTGGAGCTGCTCTCTGCTGGACTGAAGAATCCACACTGTAAACTGGAGAAAATGGAGTAAGATCATCAATTTATCACTGTGTGAATGGATCAAACACACACTTTCATAGTTCTGATGGTTTAGAAACTCAGCAAAACCTATAAACAGGGAGAGAAAGAGGAGAAAGATGGAGAGAGAGAGAGAAAGTGAGAGAGAGAGAGAGAGAAAGAGAGAGAGAGAGAGAGAAACACTAACAGCAAAAGAGCCAGAGAAAGAGATGGGGGAGAGAGAAAAGAGACACAGAGAGACAAAGATAGATGGAAGGAGACAGAAAGAGAAAAAAGACAAAAAGAGAAAAAAAACAGAGAGAGAAAAAGACAAAAAGAATGTCAGAGTTCTGATGAATCATCAATTCTCTTCCAGGCTGTGTTACTGTAATCTCACAGAGAAAAGCTGTGCAGCGCTGTCTTCAGCTCTCAGCTCAAACTCCTCCAGTCTCAGAGAACTGAACCTCCGTGGCAATAACCTGCAGGATTCAGGAGTGGAGCTGCTCTCTGCTGGACTGGAGAATTCACACTGTAAACTGGAGATATTGAGGTGAGATAATCACTTTATCACTGTGTATTTTCATATCTCTGTATGGCTTAATTACTCTGTAGCACCTTTTCACACATATAAAACAGACACACCAAAACAATCAATAAGACTCTACATTTCTATATACAGTGCTGTCACTGCTGTGCAGTAAAGCATCTGTGAAGAATTCAGTTTGGTGAAAACACAACTCTCACTGCTTGTACTTTGTTTTCCTTGACTGATAAAACATAATTAACAAAAGTGAGGTCAATTTACTATTTGTTGTCACTTTTTTAGCCTAAGTAAAGTGTTCTCTTGCAAGTATGTTAATATATTCTTGATGTTTTTACACATTTTTCACATATTCTTTCAAAGCAGTTATCACAGATCTCACAGAAAAAACACAGAACTCAATTGGGTAACTGTGTAAAAGAAGAGGGAAACATTTGGAAACAGCTGAAAGAAAATACTCTCATAGTCATATTTACTTTCTGCACTGGTTTGAACTATATGTTGTACACCCAGCACACCCAGCAAACAGATGTCATCATGGCTAATAAGTTTTAGCCACGTGCCTTTTGTTTATGTTTTTCCATGTTCTTTTGTGTTATTCTGGTTTGGTCTCCTCCCTGGTCATGCCCCCTTGCAATTGTATTATACTGAATTATACTGGAAATATTATTTCAGAATGGTATGTGTGCCAACACCGCTAGCTTAAGTCCCTCTGCCACTGTCTATCCCTCTACTGACAAACACTCAGACCTCTAGTTTGGCTTTGAATACTGCAACTACAGACATACAGCATTAATGAAGCCTGAAGATGTTCAAACCTGTAGTGTTTATAGATGCCTGAGCAATGAAACAAGTGCAGCACATGCTCACCCATGTTTTATTCAAACTAGAGGTTGGCTTAGTGTGACTTTTTAGTCCTCCTCCAAGTGAAATAACTGTAAGAGCATGAGTTTTCAAAATTATATTTTTCCTGTGATTTTACCAACCTCCAATAAAAAAACTGTCACTTTAGAAGTGAAATTTTGCAGCATTATTTAAGAAAGAACAAGTCATACTGCAATATATAGAAGATTAATTTTGTGTCATTTTGACTCATTATGTTGAAAGAATGTCTGATTTGAAACAGGACATTTCCACTATGTTAAAAACAATATATGTAGATAGATAAGAAAAAAATGCTCCCCTCCACTTTCTTTCAAAATCAAGTACCCATGTGAGAGAGACAGAGAGAGAGAGAGGGAAAGTGTGTGTGTGTGTGTGTGTGTGTGTGTGTATGTGTGTGTGTATGTGTGTGTGTATGTGTGTCAGGTGTTTCTGTTTGTGTGTGTGTTGATCTGTAAGGAGTTTTTCTTCTTCTCTCTGCAGGCTGTCTAACTGCTGTATTACAAGTGAAGGGTGTGCTGCTGTGGCTTTAGCTCTAAAATCAAACCCTTCATCTCACCTGAGAGAGCTGAACATAAATGACAATAAACCAGGAGAGTCAGGAGTGAAGGAGCTCTCTGATCTACTGGAGGATCCACACTGTAAACTGGAGAAACTATAGTGAGTTGCTGATTTACTGTCTTTACAAACACACACAAGCAGAAAATGTGTGTTGAATGTGAATAATCTGGAGGTGTGTATGAGTGAATAAATATGTTTATAAATCTGTTTAAATATTTCAGTCATTCTCAATAATTATGATGGGGTTCAGAACCTGTTGGTATGTCAGCATGTTGTGGACTTTATTCAATTACAAATGCATTGAATTTGAAAATGCAAATTTCGATTTCTATTCCAATGTGAGTGTAGATTATAATAGACGAATAATAATATAAAATTCAAATGTATATGTATATGTGCATTTCTGTGCATAATGGCTGTTAAAATTTATATATAGTTTATATTGAAAACTAAACTGCTTTTACCATTTCATTTCGATTGTCTTAATGGTCTGACTCTGACATATTAAAAAAGGAAAAACAGCTGCTCATTTGCAACTATGCTTCCACATAATTGTGCTTCAACTCTGTCCAAATGAAAATGCATTTGCAATTTTCACTGTCAATGATGCACCTCTGGCAATCACATGCTGTGGGCAGGACATTGGAAGAGGCTTCTTAGTGCTGGGCATGTTTTAGAGGGAGTAACGAATCTACACTTTGATGGTACTGGTGCATTAACAATTGTAGTCTTTGCTTGATTTTTTCATGTAAGTCCATGACATGAACAGACATATTCTAGGTGTGTTGATTTTGAATGACCCATCAGTGCGAGTTCATGTCTGATGATTCTCTCCTATTTTCTGTCTCACAGCATGAGACCACCATCCAGCTGATCTGCTCTCACACACAAAGGGTTATGAGGAGAGGATGAAGTCTTAGTACAAACACACACACACACTTAGTATATGGTTCTACATGGTTCCATGTGTGTGTTTGAGTTCTTATTGGTCAGTCTGTGAATACGGCTGCAGCAGAGGACTATGTGATCTCCTCATGACATCACTTCCTGTACCCCAGTGACTGCACATTCAGTGACCAATCCATCAAACTCCTCATGCTGGTGGATGCCCCCACATTAGTGAAGAGGTGTGTACAGGAGGGAAGAGCACCAGGAGCCATGGCAACAACTTGAGCTCAACATTTCTCAGTATTTTTCAGCTTAAAATCAACAAACATCTGATAGAGTTTTATAAACATTAACAACATGAGCTCAATGCTCTAAACCAGTGGAAACGCTGATAGAGTTTATAAACACTAACGACATGAGCTCAACGCTCTAAACCAGTGGAAACGCCGATAGAGTTTATAAATATTAACAACATGAGTTCAACGCTCTAAACCAGCAGAAACGCTGATAGAGTTTATAAACACTAACAACATGAGCTCAACACTCTAAACCAGCGGAAACGCCGATAGAGTTTATAAACACTACCAACATGAGCTCAACACTCTAAACCAGCGAAAACACTGATAGAGTTTATAAACACTAACGACATGAGCTCAACACGCTAAACCAGCGGAAACGCCGATAGAGTTTATAAACACTAACATGAGCTCAACACTCTAAACCAGCGGAAACACTGATAGAGTTTATAAACACTAACGACATGAGCTCAACACGCTAAACCAGCGGAAACGCCGATAGAGTTTATAAACACTAACATGAGCTCAACACTCTAAACCAGCGAAAACACTGATAGAGTTTATAAACACTAACGACATGAGCTCAACACGCTAAACCAGCGGAAACGCCGATAGAGTTTATAAACACTAACATGAGCTCAACGCTCTAAATCAGAACATTCATCAGCACAGAAAGCCTCTTGAAAAACATCTGAATGATTTGAAACTCTGCTGCATTTCTGTTCTCGAGTAGCCAACATTATAAAGTTGTCTGGGGTTTTACTTTTAGAATGTTTCATTCAGTGCACACCATGGCTGGACATCATCAGCAGTCCGCCACCACTGTGACCATCTATAAGTGTGAAAACACCAACTGAGCTTGTTACAGTAAACCTATGTACCATGTCCATTATTACATTAAATGGACCTGATTTGGATAAGTGAGGACAACAAAATTTAATTCTTAAACAGAAGTAATGAGGTGTGAGAGGTTCATGTGTTTGATGGTGAATGTCTGTAAATCTAAATTAGAAGTAATGAGGTGTGTGAGGTTATTTGATGGTAAATGTGAATCAGGTTCCACTGGTGACTGCTGTGTTCTAGTAACAGGTCCATTCATGAATGGTGCTGCAGTATTAGGTGTGGAGTGGACAGAGTAAGTTCTGTCATTTCTGTGCTTTAGAGTCCACAGCCCTGTTCCTCAAGTCCACTTCTGGAGGACACACCACTTCAGTGTAGTGTTGTTCTGCTCCAACACACCTCATTCATCTCATAAAGGGCTTGATACATGTACAAATTAAAGTTAACATGGTACATTTGATCAATAACCCAATGATTTGCTGACATCCAAGTGTCTTTATCAGATTCATTGAAGTATGTCTCTAATCATTCTCACTGAAACATCCTTCAATTTAAGGAAAGTTGAAGGATGCTTTACAAAATAATGAAACCTGCTGTTATCTTTCCATTGATCTACAGTAAATATGTTTTAGGCTGTAGTACACTAGCATAACTTCTACTGAGTGCTGATTGGTTGATGAGACTTATTGGTAGAAAAAAGCAGCTCTCACTCATTATCATAGTGTGTTTATGAAGATATGTTGACATGCTGATATATATATATATATATATATATATGTATATATGTATATATATATATTTGTTTGTTCTATTAAATAAAGCTTTCATCAATCATCTTTATTAATTTTTTTTTGTTTGTTTGTTTTGCTCTTGTAACACTGGAGATACATACCACCCATTTTCTCTATTAATCCTACTGATTAGTTTTATTTAGTGCTAAAATGTTGGAGATACTTGTCATTAAATGTTTCTGATCCTCATCCTCTGTTCTGTTCTGTTTGGGTTCATCAGCATTCAGTGGTCAGTTATGCTGAAAAAGTTCCTTATAGCAGAAAGCAGATGAGAGGGAAAAGTGCTTTAGTCTTGATTAGCTGCAGTTTGTCTAGTTTATTACACAGATATTAGCCAGGATTATTAATCAACAATCCAACAGTGTCCTCGTGTGGCTGCGTCTGGAACTACATGACATGATTTTAGTAGTGAAGAGAAAGAGACTCATTCAGTGAGGTTATAAATGTGTTATAATGGTGGGCAGTCTAGTTATGGTTTTAATTTAACTGTCTTTTATATTTAAAATGATGGTAATTAATAGGTTATTATTTAAATGTTTTGAAGCTGAAAAAAGTATAAGCTGTTATTTAAAAGAATACATTTTCATTGGAAGGCTGTTTTTATAAAATATTAAAAAACAGATGAAGTCTTTTTAAAAATAAATTAAAGATTAACATCAAATACTTTCCTTCATAAAGTTAATACACTGTCTGTAGATGAACAGTGGAATTTAGTGGCTGTACCTAAAAGAAATTATTAATGCTTAATGCTGAGTAAAACAACATAATGACATTGACATCCGTAATAACATGTTAATAATGTCAGTAAATGTGTCTGTTTTCCTTTACAACTTAAATCATGATTCAAGATGCAGCCACATGAGGACACTGTTGAGTTTCAGAAACTACACTGAGCTCCTGATCTGCTTCTTCATTGTTCTTCTGATCTGCTTCTAACATTTGTGTCAGAAATGCAGTACAGTGTGTTTTATGGGGGCTGTTTCACCCTCACACTGACAACACCCTCCATTCATCTGTGGTTGAACCTGATTGTAGAGTCTCCACCTCCAGCAGAATTACATGATAAACTGAACAGGACAAACTGGTTCAGAACAGAGCGAGAGAGACTCTGAGCAGGTCATCATTTTATGGAGAGAGAGAGGAATAAATCTAATTCAGAGGAAACACAGTGAGTATCTGACTCTGTACTGGAGTTTCTGAATCAGCACTATAGATGCTGTTAACACAGATATTTACAGTTAACACTAAATAGATTAGACTTGTAACTGATCTGTTTTCATTCAGTGTGTGGCAGCAATGTGCAGGCAGGTCAAAATGTAGGCACTTTGTGAATGTGTCATTAAAATTCAGGCAAGTTCATTCCTGAATAAAGTACCTGCAGAGTTAGGCTAGTGGTGAAACACGGGAGAAAGCAAGCGCGATAATTTCCTAACATTTGATCTTGTATATCTACATTGCATTATATTTAATGTCAGAACTGTGCTGGATAAGAGATGTACTGAAAAAGAACTCATCCAGTTTGGCTGTGTGATCATCACAGAACCTGAATAGAAATCTAATGCAGAGAGTTTGGACTTTAAACAGCTAATTAAAAGGCTTATTTCTACAAGGACTTTTATTGAGAAAGCTTCTTTCACTGTTTATGCTCAGTTATGAAGAGTCTATCGCTGGAAGCTGAGCAAGTTAAATAATGTCACAAAAACCCAAACCCTGGTTTGGACTTAAGCAAACAGACTAGCTGTGAAAACATCTCAAAATATTGAATCTTCTCCACACTGATTTCAGCATGTAGCCTCACTAAGGGTGTGTGTGACTGTAAGGGACCCACCCCCCTCCCCAACACACAGACACACACACACACACACACACACACACACACACACACACACACACACATTTAAACTCCTGGTGTTCACAAGAGCCATAGGTAGAGCACCCCCTTCACACAATGGACACATTGAATATACACACTCAAAACACACACAATGAACAAGTTACATATACACACACTTTAAACACTCATGTACACACATTGCATAAACAAATAACATCAAACACTATCCTGTATGTAACAAGTAGTCTAAAATCACAAACACTAAACACACCCATTACACATATACACACATATTACACTACAAACTCTACACACTAATTTCATATATACACACACTTTGAACACACAGATTGTATACAAACTACATGCACACACACATTAAACACACACATTACATATGCACAAATACAAAACACATACATTACACACACATATTACATACACACATAAACATACACACACTGAACACTAAAACTTTTACAAACATTACACAATATATACACACATATACTCACACTACACACATACTAAATGCACAAATTAAACACCCAAATTACATATGCACATACACTATACACATTACACATATATGCACCCACACACACACACACACACACAAATATTACACACTTATACACACACATAGCCAATCTCTCTCAACTCTCTCCCTTTCTTTTTTATCTCTTTCTCCCTTTTTCTCTTCTCCCTCTCTATCTTATCTTTCCCTTTCTCTCTCACACAGTGAAACTCAGCAGCTCTGATGGTGAGTTTTGGGGAGTGCTGGCTGATGACGAGAGGATTAAAAACAGTTACCGTATTTAAAAGAAGTCACTGAAGTACCACAGTATACTTCCTTACCTGGTGACCAGAGACTTTTCAGATGGAAACGTCCACTTCAGCTAACATTGATCCTGTTCAGACCAACATGACAGCTCAGACAGGAGGAGCCATCTGTGCTCCTGTTCTCCATGGGATTAATATTCAAGGCCCAGTGAATGTAACCATTAATCAGGGAGGTAAGTGATGTGGTGTAAGAAACTGTGTACAAATTAATGGATCTGTCTGTCAGAGCCAAAAAGGGAGAAAGCCAAAAACAGGGTCACAAAAATACAAGCCAGGATCATACAGATTATACAGAGTGAACTAACAAAATCTCTTCCCTTAGCTTGCTCAGAAGAATCTGTAGCAGTACTTTGCAAGGAGGAAATGGGAACAAACAGTCTTTATAGAGTGGCGTTAAAGAAGTTCTGGTGTGACTAGTGGGAAGATAACCTTGAGAATGATTGGTGATTGGAAGTTGACAGGGGGAGGGGGTGATTGTTGGTGGTGTACAGAAATACATTTCATTGATTGCTACACTATATGGACAAAACTATTAGGACACACCTCTTAATCATTGAATTCAAGTGTTTCATTCAGTCCCGTCGCCACACGTATAAAATCAAGCACCTAGTCATGCAGGCTGCCTTTGCACACATTTGTGAAAGAATGGGTCATTCTAAAGAACACAATAAATTCGAGTATGGTGCTGTAATAGGATGCCACTGTTGCAAGTCAGTTCACAAAATGTGTTCTTTCCTAGACATTTGCTTCCCTCCTTGATATTCCATGATCAAATGTGTGTGGTATTATTGAAAAGTGAAAGCTTTTAAAAACCACAGTAAGTCACAAAGTATCTGTCCATGGAAAGTTACAGAGCGGGTCGCCAAGTGCTGAGGAGCATAGTGCATAAAAGTTGGCAAAGCTCTGCTGACTCAATAACTGAGTTAGAAACCTCTGGCATTAACAACAGCACAAAAACTATGTGTTGGGAGCTTCATGGCAGAGTTTCAATGGCCAAGCAACTGCGTGCAAGCCTTACATCACCAAACACAATGCCAAGCGTTGGATGGAGTGGTGTAAAGCGCTGCGACTGGACTCTAGAGCAGTGGAAATGCATTCTATGGAGTGACGAATCACGCTTTTCTATCTGGCAGTCTGGTGGAGGAGGGATAATGCTATGGGGTTGTTATTCACAGGTTGGCCTAAGCCCCTTAATTTCAGAGAAGGGAAATGCTAATGCTTCAGCAGACCAAGACATTTTGGACAACTGTATTTGTACAACTTTGTGGGAACAGTTTGAGGAAGTATGACTGAGCCCCAGTGCACAAAGCTCCATAAAGTCATGACTGGGTGAGTTTGGTGTGAAGGAACTTCACTGGCCCACACAGAGCCCTGACCTCAACCCCATCAACACCTTTGGGATGAACTAGAATGGAGAGACACTTATAGCTGCAAAGAGTATCAACTCCATATTAATGCCTATGGATTTAGAATTTCATAAAATCTCCTGTAGGTGTAATGTGTGGGTGTTCCAATGCTTTTGTCCATATAATGTATTAGTTTTAAGTAGCTTTAACAAAGTTTTGATATTTATCACTCCTCCAGGTCAGGAAGTCCCCAGTTCCAACACCAGTGCAGTTCAGGCTGGAGGCTCTCCTGGTGCCCCTGCTCTCACTGAAAGTAATGTACATATCACTGGTTATTTACTACTTATTCATTTCAAAGTTCTGTAAATGGGCACATTTATTGCATTAAATCTAAACAACAACAACCAGGAATACATGTGATTGAGAAGCCTACAATACATTTTAAAAATAGGATGTGTCAAAATGTTTTATACAGTGGTGATTATTAAAAATTCATTATTGTTTCTGGTTTCAAAGCTGAAACATTTTTTCTCTCAACATCAAAGTCTAAGGTTCATTAGAAGAACCACACATGCTTAAATTTTTGTTTACCTTATATTATCATAATCCAGTAACCTAAGTACTTCCAAACAATCTTAAATACTTCCAAATACTAAAATATTTGTTGGTGGTGTGGTCTGTGTTAACCTTCTGAAATGATTGTATTTAAGTAAAAAACTTAATCCTAGACTTATGGACAAATGAAAGAGAAAAAATAAGGAAAGAAGAAGTCCACCTTTTTGAATGAAATTTACATTAAACAACAGCAAACATTAAAGAATTTATTTTCTGTGTTGAACTCCCAGAGTTGATCACTGTATACAAACAAAGACTGGAAACAAAATTTTGTAGAATTAATGAAAGAATTTCAGAGCATGGAACATCAACTCTGCTGAAAGACATCTACACAGAGCTCTACATCACAGAGGGAGGGAGTGGAGGGGTGAATGATGAACATGAGGTCAGACAGATTGAGGCAGCATCCAGGAGACCAGCAACACAGGAGAAACCCATCAAATGCAATGATCTCTTTAAAGAAAGACCCATCAGAACTGTTCTGACTAAAGGAGTTGCTGGAATTGGAAAAACAGTCTCTGTACAGAAGTTCATTTTGGACTGGGCTGAAGGAAAAGCAAACCAAGACATCCACTTCATATTTACCCTTCCTTTTAGGGAACTGAATTTGATAAAGAAAAAGCTCACTCTGGTTGAGCTTCATCAACTATTTTCCCCATACATAAAAGAACTAAGATCAATAAACTGTGATTCTTACAAAGTCATGTTCATCTTTGATGGTCTGGATGAGTGTCGACTTCCTCTAGATTTCCAGAACAATGAGAGCTTGTGGGATGTAACAGATTCAGCCTCAGTGGATGTGCTGCTGACAAACCTCATCAAGGGGAATCTGCTTCCCTCTGCTCTGCTCTGGATAACCTCTCGACCAGCAGCAGCCAATCAGATCCCTCCTGAGTGTGTTGACCTGGTAACAGAGATACGAGGGTTCAGTGACCCTCAGAAAGAGGAGTACTTCAGGAAGAGAATCAGTGACCAGAGCCTGGCCAACAAAATCATCTCACACATCAAGTCCTCAAGAAGCCTCTACATCATGTGCCACATCCCAGTCTTCTGTTGGATTGCAGCCACTGTTCTAGAGAGAGTGTTGGGTGGAGCAGAGAGTGGAGAGATCCCCAAGACTCTGACTCAAATGTTCTCATACTTCCTGATCTTTCATATCAAACACAAGAATAAAAAGTACCATGGGAAATGTGACATTGATCTTCAGCAGACTAGAAAGGTGATTCTGGCACTGGGAAAACTGGCTTTCCAACAGCTGGAGAAAGACAATCTGATCTTCGATGAGGAAGACCTGAGAGAGTGTGGCATTGATGTCAGAGAAGTGTCAGTGTACTCAGGAGTTTGTACCCAGATCTTCAGAGAGGAGTTTGCACTGCACCTGGGGAAGGTGTTCAGCTTTGTGCACCTGAGTGTTCAGGAGTTTCTGGCAGCCTTATATGCATTTCTCTCCTTCATTGGCAGAGATGGAACCAAACAGCTGACCACTGATCTCTCTAGTATTTTCATACAGTACAAGATGTCAGACTTCCTCAAGGCTGCGGTGGGCAAAGCCTTACAGAGTGAGAAAGGACACCTGGATCTTTTCCTCCGCTTCCTTCTGGGTCTCTCACTGGAGTCCAATCAGACTCTCTTACGAGGCCTAATGACACAGACAGGAAGCAGCTCTCACAACAAAGAGGAAACAGTTCAGTTCATTAAGAAGAAGATCAGGGACAATCCCTCTGCAGAGAAATCCATCAATCTGTTCCACTGTCTGAATGAGCTGAATGATCAGTCTCTAGTGCAGGAAGTTCAAACATACATGAACAGAAGACATTACAGTGTTCTCAGTAAAGTCAGACTCTCTCCTGCCCAGTGGTCAGCTCTGGTGTTTGTGTTGCTGAACTCAGAAGAGGAGATGGATTTGTTTGACCTGCGTAAATATGACAAATCAGATGAATGTCTTCTGAAGCTGCTCCCAGTGATCAAAGCATCCAGAAGAGCTGTGTGAGTATTTTAGTTATGTGTTACTGCAGTGTTTATTACTTCAATGTAAAACTGGATGATATTGCACTGATTAGAATAATGCTTTTCATTAGTTACTCCAATTAGCTTCAAACAAAGCCCATGGGCAGATGGTCAAAATCTGCTTATGAACGTTATCTATGATCTGAAGCTCAAGTCATCTTTGGTGCACGAAAGCCATGAGTGCTTTGTAATCTGCTAACTTATTTAATGAAGGTTGTATAACTCAATAGCTATGTTACCTCAACTAGCATCCATTAGCCTCACACATACCAACTAGACTAACTGTCTTTGCCACTCGTTGCAGAGCAGCTCCTCCTGGTGGCTGGAGGTTTGCCTGGTATGATCGTTTTAGGGGTCTTTCTGCTGCTCTTTCTGCTTTAGGCTTTTCATGTAGGCACATGAAAGGCCAGGGAGATCCTAGAACAGAGGCATACTGCCTAAAAGTACTTACTGTAAATGGAAAAAAAATCTTTGACAAACTAGTCCTGCCTGAAACTGAGCATAGTTTTAGTTCAGGCAGGCCACAAATTCAAGCTCAGGCCACAATCACCTGCTGTTGTCAGCTGATCTCAAAGAGCTGACAGCTCAGCTGATTGCCGGCTATGCTTATAATTGGCTAAATTCTTCAGGGTGCTTATTTAAGCTGCTTTAGCCTGCCATTCTTGGCACTTTTTCTGCAGTCACTTTGCAACCCACCTCCACACAATCTCCTCCTAGCTTTATCTGTATTTTTCCACAACCAGCATAAACTAGCATACTAATTACTAATGTAACTGTGATTATGTGAGTAGTGGATAACTGCCAGTATTTACTGAGTGACTATTTATATGCACAGGCAGCTTCAGACTGACAGGAAGTATACCAAATGAGTCACCATGTGACCCCTGATGTTACTGAGGCTATATAACCCCATAATCACAAATTTGCACAGTTATATTCATAACTAGCATAGTTATTTATGTCCTGACCACCAGTGAAATGGACCACAATGCTCAGCATCAGGTCCAATGATGCTGCCATGTTGACATTATATAATTGAGAGAAAAGTGGCCCAGGATGTGGACAATCTCTTGATGAAGAGACTAGTAGCAGATGCAGGCAATTGATGGTTCACAGCTGTGTATTCCTTAGTGTGAAAAGAAGTAAAAAATGTAATCACTGTGCAATATTAGTCTTGGTTCTTGTGTTTGGTTATTCGTGTACCTTAATGTAACAATATCTCTGAATAAAATCAAACCCAGACTATGTATCATTTGAAAAGCAGAAATTTCAAAGGTGATTTAGAACACAGCAGTATTTAACAGATTTAGATTATATGGACCAAACAGTGAAAAAATTAAGTTTTTATAAATTATTGCATAGTTTAGAATGGTTTTTCATTATGCAAAAGATCTGAGGTTTTCTGCTACTTGTGTGTGGGGCTGTGTGAATTGTGGGTAATGTTTGGAAAAAATGAGCCATGCTTTTAAAACCGTGCTTAAACAATTGTAGAATGTTAATTAAATAATGTTGATGTTGATGAATAATGAAGAGACAGAGTTAAATGTGTGGCAGTTTATTAGGAGAGGCCAGTGAAAATCTTGGTAAATGGAAACTGAAACTGGGGATCAGTAATGTTCTGTTAAGCCAGGCATGCACAGTATGATTTTCGAAATGTTGTCCTTTGGTGACAACCCACACTGCATGTTTGAATCACTTATCAGACAAAGCTGGTCTGTATCCTCACACTGTATGGAAGTGCTCAGTCTAACATACTAAGATGTGAGGGTTTACTCTGTAAAACACATCCCCTATGGACAAATCTATGCACAGTTACCAATAAAGCCATTTAATTCATAACAAATTTGCTCAACTATTGAGCAAAAATGTAGAGAAGGCTACAGTTGCTTTGCTAACTAGTGCAACACTGTGCCCTGAAACAGAAAGCATGAAGATAAGATGATATACTTGGGGAGTTGAGGACAATACAGCCTATCTAGAGTCTACTTTGCAATGAGAATTAAAAAACAAAAAAACTGTGTTTATTCTCATACCATCTCATTTCATTTGTCCCCCCCATGAAATGTTGACTTTGCTGCCTATATTTAGTTACTTGTGTTCACCTAGTAGAGCAAGTGGCTTGTCAGTGTGTGTCTGTATGTTTTTTTGTTTTGTTTTGTTTTTGTGAAAATGCAGTTTGTGAGATGCTCAAACTGAATGACATGGAACCAAAATGTCAGAAATCCATTCAATAATCTGACCCGTCAATCAGAGCTTGTTTGGACATTTAATCAGGCATTTTTTGCCCTCTCACAATTTATGTCAAATGGCAGCCAATGAAGCTGAAGTTTGGCTGTCTATTTAATTATAATTTACATACTTTTTTACAATAATTTTGAATACATGTTTGCTTTCCAGCTGTGTGTAAATGTTTGGTTTCTTAGTGACAGACATAACAACTGAATTTCATCCTCAATAGAGTAGTTCCTAATTAAGTGTTGGAAGATAAAAGTCCTAAATTAAGAAAACATTAACATCTATAAATATAATTTGTGCTAAAAATTCTTATCTTGTCCTTGTCAGACTTTTAAACTAAAAACTGGATGTTTTTGTAACATGACCCACTGATATATCATTATTTCTTTAACTGTGTGTTCGTGTTTAGTTGTATGTGTGTGTGTTGGTACGAGATTGTGTGTGTGTGTGTCTGTGAGATTATGTGTGTATGTATGTTTGTGAGATTATGAATGTGTTTGTGTGTGTGATGTCAATGTTCTGATATATCATCATTTCTCTCCCAGACTGTATAACTGTAATCTCACAGAGAAAAGCTGTGAAGCTCTGTCTTCAGCTCTCAGCTCAAACCCTTCAAGTCTGAGAGAACTGAATCTGAGTAAAAATGAACTGCAGGATTCAGGAGTGAAGCTGCTCTCTGCTGGACTGAAGAATCCACACTCTAAACTGGAGAAACTGGAGTAAGATCACTTTATCACTGAGGATATACAACACACACCCTCACACTTTCATAGGTCTACATGGTTTTATAACTTTGTAACAACTTCTCACACAGATAAGGCACATCATAACAAACCATAACAAACAGTCAGAAAAATAATAATCAGACTCCACTTTTACAGTGCTGCCATTGCTGTGCAGTAAAGTATCTGTGAGGAATCCAGTTCAGAGGAAAACACAAATTTCACTCCTTACAGTTCTTATTGATTGATAAAACATATTTAATGAAACTGTGTTTGATTTAATCTTCATTGTCACTTTCTTAGCATATCTCTTGGAGATATGTTAATACAGTCTTATTTCTTTCACCCATTTTTCACATATTCTCTCAAATCAGTTATCACATCTCACAGGAAAACACAACTCAATTGAATAGCTGTCTAAAACAGAAGGAAAACATTTAATAAATGCACAAAGGGAATGTTCTCCTAATCATATTTTCAGCACCTGTTTGATCTACATAGTGCACAAGTGTACACATTCATAATGTAATTTTCACATTATGGTGAATGGCACAGCATGGTGTCTGGTGAGAAAAGCAGCCCAGTGGCCGGTGGCATCCCGCTGGGGTGACGCTTTCTGTTACATTTAAAAGACTTCATGAGAGATGCACATGGCCAGTACAATTGCTGTTTATTGTTGTTGATGCTGTTACTCATCACTTAAAGGAATGTGTACATGTTTGTTCCTGTTGTTCTGAGTCTGGGATGGGGGTTGAAGGGATGATTTGTATGCAGTGACAAGATGGGTGTTCACCAGTGGCATGAAACCTGTGGTTAATGGTGACCTTCCCCCACCAGCGTAGTGCTTTATGTTCCTATTTTCATTTTGCATTGAATAATAGAGCAGTTATTGAGTAGAAATTATGGCTTCAGCTGACTCTTCTTCCGAGCATCACCACAATACATTTTAGTGTAATGTACTGCATATGTCCCAAAAGCAAACAAAAACAAATCACCCAAAATATTCAGAAACAATTTTTTTGTTTGAAACACAGGTGAGAGGAGTAGAGGGCAACATTGCCAAAAATCCCTAGTCCTGAGTATTGATCAGTAGAGGGAGAGACTGTGCCAGGGCTCAAACTGAATGTCTTAGCAATCATGCCACACTGAACTAAAATTTCCAGTAAAATTTAGGCAAGTCAATCATAGATGTCATCAATCTTGGCTTGTCTGAGATTGAAGAAAGATGATAGATCTAACCCAAAGGTCTACACTACAGTATCCTACACAAACAAAAAAAAATCTATAGGTAAGCCTTTGCACAAGAATAAATTTACCTGTTACACATATTTCTACTGATACATATGGTCGATCTCTGGTTTTACACCATTTGGGACAATGCTGCTCTCTACTATTCTCACCTTTTTCAACGAGTATAGCAAAAAGCAGAAACAACATTTCTGAATATCTCAGTGTAGGGGTTTGTGCAGGAAATTGACTATAGTGTCTGCTAGCATCAATTGGCTGATTGTTTTATATTCTCAATAGTTAAGTCTGTCATTATGTAAATCAATTTTATATAATGACAGTCTCACCTGTTATCTGATCCTCATCTAATAAATATTGTCTACAGTCTCATTTATCCACGCTGACAGTAGAAAACTGTCTACTGATTGCTGAGTTAACAATTGTGCACTATGAATTTCACACAGGTGCTTAATGTCGATGTAACTATGAGAGTATTTTCTGTAAGCTGTCACTACATGCTTTTCTTTTGTTTTAAAGTTATCCAATGAACTTTTCTTGTTTACTGTGTTAACTGCTTTGAACATTTACATGAAACATGAGTGAAATCAATAAGAAAGTGTTAGAACACATGCAGAAGGACACTTCAACTTCTCCAAGAGACTGTGAATGAACATTAAGGTTATTACAGTTTCATTAAATGTATTTTAGCAATTTAAAAAACTGTAAACATGAAGAAGGCCTGCAATGATGTCCGTAGAGGAATATGTGATAGGTATGTGTGTTATTGCATAAAGACAGTTTATACAATGGCAGTCTTACCTGTTGAGATTTTGAAAAAATACAATGGAAGCTACAGTGTGCCAACATAGATTTGGGTTTGAAAATAAAAAAAGCAGGTTTTATTGAGCAGCAGCCCATTTGCCTTCTTTGTCTTCTTCTTGTTTTTCTTCTTCTTATTATTATTATTTTATTTTTGCTGTTCTGGCTGCATGAATATGTGAAGGCCATAATTGCTAATGATAGACCATATTACATCACTATATCATGCAAAAAAAAATATTTTTACTTTTTGATAGGCATGCCTCTGTGGGATAAAATGGGGCAGGCCAAAGCTGTAAAAAAAATTATGCAAAGGGATGCCCTATTCCACCTGTCATGTGACACTGTAGCATCCAAACTTATTGTTTACATTGTGTGAGGCCTCTTAGTGAGTCATTTGAAGGAACTGATCAACAACTAATTGTGTAACTAATGGGATTCCCTATGAATAAATATACGAATATAATATGTTTCACATTTACATCACGTTGTCTTATATTATGCTATCAGATGAACTGATCTTTGCTAGCTAGCTAGCTGCCTGACATATAGGCAGCTATTTGAAAGAAGCTGACATTAGCTTATGTCATATCACAAGCTAACATAGATGTTAGCTTCGAAGACAACATCTATGTTAGCACCTGATATGAAATAAGCTAACTTTTGGCATTAGCTTCCTTCTAGCTTGTGACATGAGCTGCTAGCTATGTTCTTGAATGTGTTTCTTCTTGATAACTTGATAAACATTTTAAAAATATGACTTCTGAACTGCAAAGATATATTCAATCAATCAGGATAAACTGTACATCATTTTGTTTTTCAACATAGATATATGTATAGGTTTTGTTTGGAGCTCTGTGTGAGTAAGAGGTGTTTTTCTCCTTTTTTCAGGCTGATGAATTGTAGTATTACAGACAAAGGCTTTGCTGCTCTGGCTTCAGCTCTAAAATTAAACCCTTCCTCTGAACTGACAGAGTTGAACCTGAACTCCAATAAACCAGGAGAGTCAGGAGTGAAGCTGCTCTCTGATCTTCTGGAGGATCCACAATGTAAACTGGAGATACTTCAGTGAGTTACCTACACTGTCTCTACACACACACACACACACACGAAGGCAATGCAAATCATGTTCCTTGTTTTACTTCTATTGAGAACTCTGGCAGCTGCATTTTGAAACAACTGAAGCTGTTTGATTGTCTTTTTTGGGAGCCCAGTTAGGAGACCATTACAGAAATCAGTCCTACTATAAAGAAAGGCATGGATGTGATCTGTTTTAGTCAGGAAATCTCTAATGTAGTTGATGTTCTTAAGGTGATAAAATGTTGAATTAGCAATTGCTTTGACATGACTGCTAAAACCAAGATCAGAATTTATTAGTACACTAATGTTATGTGGTAGTTCTTTAGATTTTAGGGCTCCCAAATGCGGATAGATAACTAGTCTCTGCTTCTCATGGCTATTCCCAAATAAAATAATCTCTGTTTTATCTTTACTTAACTGCAGAAAGTTTTGTCTTATCCACTTAGTGATGTGCTCAAGGCACTTACAAAGTGAGTGAAGGGGGCCATAGCTGTTTCGGAAGTGGGCTGAGTAAATCTGAGTATCATCTGCATAGCTGTGGCAAGATATCCCATAGTCTTGTAGTATTTGGCCAAGAGGTAGCATGTACAAATTAAATAAGACCCAAGAATTGAATCCTGGGGAACACCACAGGTCACAAGCACTCTCTCAGAAGTCATTCTTTCCTTGCAGGTATGAACTGAACCATTTTAGAACAGAACTTGAGGTTCCAACCCAGTTTTCAAGTCTATCTATGAGAATTTTATGATCAGTTAGGCAGCGCTGAGTGTAAGGGCTGGCTCCAGGGTGGCGCTCCTGGCCAGCAGAGGGAGATGACACACTCCTCCCAAGTCCAATCAAGCCCAATATACTACACCTGGGCAGAGGGCTTCATAAGCTCAGAGAAGGAGACACACATTGCTGTGTCTTTGTCTCATCTCGAGTCAGCAGAAACAGCTGGTAATTTGGGTTAGAGGGTTGAGTGTTTTGCACTCTCCCTTACTTTTTGAGTTTCTCCAGCCTCCTCTTGAGGTTTCCTTCTCTGCTCTCTGTCTATTTCAAAAGAACAAAAAAAGGAACATTTCTCCCTTGTATTCAGTTTTGGTTCTGTTTCTGTTGGGAAAATCATTCATATTTTTTAATTATACATTTTTCTCTTGACTTCTAAGAAAGCCAGTTTTCCCCTGGCGTCCTTTGTTCTTGTTTCCTGCCTGACAGAAATGGGTGGGTTTATAAATTCGGACAGCTTTTCCCACCAGATTTCAGGCAATCCCAAATAAGGGTGCTCCTTACAGCAGCCTTCATCACCACTTCGCTGGTCAAGCAGTAGAGTGCTCATGCAGCATCCATAGGGCCCGGGTTTAATCTCCAGACTCACCACGTGTTCAAGTGCTTTAGTTTAACTCCTCCTTCTGTTGTACATAAGCTTGGCGCTTGGGTTCTGTGTCCCCAAAACCTGTGGTGGCTCACCTGGTAGGCCCTGGGCTATGACTCAGACAGCCTGGGTTCACATCCTCTGTCTGGTAAGCCATCCCATGTTACAGCTGAGAAGAAGCCAAAAAAGAAAACAAAATCCACTTTTGGCTTTGTAGTGCTCTTGAATTGTCTATATATAACATGCTCAGACACTGTTGCTAGAAAAAAAGAAGAAAAAAACAGAAAATAAAAAAACTAAAGAGCTGAGCTAAGATTCTGTGTTCAATGAAAACAGATTTAATTTCAAATATGAAGTGAACAATTCAATTCATTTCAAAACAATTCATTTCAAAATATTGAACAATTTGCTATAAAATGAATATACTCCAATAAATTACTAATAGCTGTTATTTAAATTAATAATAAAATATTATTAGTTGTGTGTGTGTTGATCTTTAAGTGTGATGAGTTTTTCTCTTCTCGGCAGCCTGTCTGAATGCAGTATTACATGTGAAGGCTTTGCTGCTTTGGCTTCAGCTCTAAAATCAAACCCTTCATCTTACCTGAGAGAGCTGGACCTGAACTACAATAAACCAGGAGATTCAGGAGTTAAACTGCTCTCTGGTCTACTGGAGGATCGACACTGTAAACTGGAAATACTACAGTGAGTTACTGACTTACTGACAGAGAGAGAGAGAGAGAGAGAGAGAGAATGTGTTGAATAGGTAGAGTCTAAAAGTGTGTATCAGTGAACGAATATACGTAATTTTAGGTTGTTCAATAAAAAAACAATATATAATTTCACAGATGAAATACTGAACAATCTTACATAAAAACAATAATAAATTAAACCATCATATAAATAATCAAATGTTATTAGTGTTTGTGTGTATGTTTGTGCATTGTGCATTTGTGTGTGTGTGTATGAGTGTGTGTGTTAGTGAGTGTGTGTGAGTGTGTGTATCTGTAAATGTAAGGAGATTTTCTTCTCTCTGTAGACTGCATGACAACAGTATTACAGATGAAGGCTTTGCTGCTCTGGCTTTAGCTCTAAAATCAAACCCCTACACTCGCCTGAGAAAGCTTAACTTGAGCTACAGTAAACCAGGAGGATCAGGAGTGAAGGAGCTCTCTGATCTACTGGAGGATCCACTCTGTAAACTGGAGACACTACAGTGAGTTACTGACTTACTGTTTCTACACACACACACACACAAAGTACTGACATACTGAAATAAAGTACTGATCAGTCTCACATAAAAATGAACATACTGCAATAAATGAACCTGTTACATAAATAAACTTACAGGAAACATTATTTTTTGTGCTGTATTTATACCCATTCAATATTTCAGCTCAGTTCAGTCATTCTGTAAGAAAATAAACTCAGTATTTAAGATGGAATTTAGAGTATGAGCAAGCAAATGTTCATTTTGCATGCTTTCATGAATTAAATTTGTTTTTCCTTGATTTTTTCATGGAGGTCCATAACATGGCTGGACAGGCCCTAGGTCTTTTGGTGTTGACCCATAAGTGTTAGTCCATGTCTGACAGTTCTCTTTTATTCTCTGTCTTACAGCATCTGAACACCATTTAGCTGATCTGCTCTCACACACAGAGGGTTGTGAGGACAGGATGAAGTCTTACTACAAACACACAAACTCAGTATATGGCTCTACATGGTGCTCAGTCCATTGATCTGAGAACTCCAGCAGCTTCTTTGTTTGATGTGTTCATCTCCTTTTCCCAGTGAGGTTCTTCTTGACAGCTACACATCCCACAGCGCTGAGTAGTCTTCTGACAGTGGAAGGATGGACAGACACACCTGTGGATGTTTTCAGATCTGAAGCAGCTTGATTTTCTCCTCTCTCTCAAAGATGAAAGCTTTAAGTGCTGTTTATCTGATGGGGGCAGTTTTGGGGTCGACCAGCTCTTCCAGGTGGTTGTTAGGAGACACATTTCCTCTGTAGCTTTTAATCAGTTTTTGAACTTGTTTCTTTTCCTTTTATTTTCCTTTGACTTTTTCCTTCACTTTGCAAGAAGATTATCTTGTATCTAATCTCCTCACAAATTTCTCCTTAAAAATATTTAACTTGTACTCTGGCCTCTTTTGCATAGTACTGTTTACTACACTTGTAATTTCATCAAACCATAACGCATTATTACAGCTCATAAACCTACATTTTCACAGTAAGGATGTTTTGGGTTTAAAACTCTAAATAAAACATTAATGTAGTTTGTCATTTTAAAACATTTTGTTGCATGTGGTTACTTTCAATTCTTTGGTAAAAGAACAACAATAATAATGTATAAAACACCTGATTTCTTACTTCAGAATTTGGTAATCATGAATTAATCAGCTATATAAAGTTAATCATAAATTAATATATTCACTTTATAACAGACATAAAAGATATTACTTCACAATGAACTAATGAGCATATATTTCATAATTAACCAATTATGTGTTAACCACGAATTTGATCATTATTAGTTTAGAAAATAACAGTTTAATAACCACTTTTTCTATTAGGTTTTAATTAATTAATAATAAACAAATCAGAAATCAAAATGTTATTCAATATGTGACTATGTGAGTATATGCAAAAAAATTAAAGAAATAGTAATAATGATTGGGTCATTATTAGCAAGCAACAGTGATTTTCATGGTCATGTTTTACAAATTATGTCCAGCATCTAATCTAAAGTGGAGAAAAATGTTTATTTAAATATCTATAAATTTCCCCAAGTCATTTACAAACTTCCTAATTCTAGAATAGGATACATTAGCCCATAGACAACCTCAATATACACCAGGAGATGTTAATCCATTATCAACCTCAACTAACACTCCTATAGACTAGAATAAGAGACAATAATCCACATTACTTCACATTTCACTGACAGTTTGTCATTTAAGTTATCATGTGTTTTACTTAATTATGTTGTTCCTGATGATCTTTAACTCATAATGAAGGACAGCAACACCAACTAACACATAGTAATTACATAATTACTAGGCAATGCTTAGAACCATGTGAATTTGAAGGTAGAACATGTGCACAGCCATATTTCTGTGAGCCATCTCTTCAGTTGACCCAGCCCTCAAAAGGACTTTAAAGAAAAAATGATGACAAATTCCCAGCTAAAAGTGAACTCAAGAAGAAAACAATGATCCTGACTACACAAACAGGCTGACATCATCCAGTGCAAATCATCAGAATAAGGTTAGTGTGAATTTTCAGCTGTTTGCCCTGTAATGCTGAATATCAATATAGGCCACTAAATTGCATTTAAAAAAAGGTTTCAAAGCTTTTAAAAGGATGAGGTAGCCTTTTTTTTAGGTAGATTATGATGAACTGTCCACTTGAAAAAGTAGATCTTAAAGTATGGGCACCCCTGGTTTACAGCTTCATAAAAAGATTTGAATTTAAAGCCTGTCTCTGAATTACTGGTACAGCCTGTAGCTTGTTAGCACTCTGGTGAACAAGTTTGGCATATGCATCACATTGTGTTCATGCTGTAGTTAATGAAAAGTCAAACACTGTTGTGAAATATAGTATGATCCTTTTATTAGCTAATTATCATTGTCAGGTACACTGACAGTTTTGCCTCTACTTGGTCAATGTATGCATGTGTGTCTGTCATTACTAAAGCAACCACTTGGATATGTGAGCAAATGGGACTAAAGTCTGACCTTCAGATATAGTCACTGCTAACTTAAAATCTGAACAGTCAGGGTTAGGGTTAGAGTTAGATTTAGTAGAATCTATTACATTTAACTTCACATTTAAATGCATTAAATAGATATTTAGTGTGTATTTTAGCAAAAACATACACCCCATGTCTGGCTCTGTGACAGGCCATTAGTCACTGAAGAAGGGGACAATTTATTCTGCTACTCTATTGCAGTGTTGTCTCATCTGCAACACTATTGCAAAGTGTTGTCCCACCCAGTGTGCAAAATACCCCCTGATAGTCAGGGAGTCCCATGTTGGCTGGCTTCTCTACCATTGACAGACTGCTAACTCATTCACCATAGTAGAAATGAGGAACAATTCACTCTTTCCACAAAACTCTTGGAAAACTGGGCAAAAAAATGAGTAAAAAATGAGTAAACTTTTTTTATGAGCAAAGTTTTTCAGAGGTATCCTAGGCATAGATACAGTTGCTAGTCTATTAAGGACCAACTGGGTGACCCAATCTGTAATAGCCTGAGACCAGTGCTGCATATCTCGTTAGTTCAGAACCTCAAAGACAGAAGCTCACTCTCTTGTCGGAGAAGCAACTAAGCAATAACCTTTCCCTCAATTTGTATTTAGGCTAATGTTCCCTAATAAATATCATAACTTTATAATAAGTAATAAAAATTTTAATTTTGACACATTCAGCGAGGTCCAAGAGGATAATTAGGGGGTCCTGGAGCCCCATGGTCCTCCTGTGTGTCAACTTTTGGTCTCACCTGTGATTGGTAGAGCAGCATATCATTCCATCTTCTTCAACCTGAAAAAATGTTCCAGCACTTACTCCAGTGACAAATTAACCCAGTTCATACAAGTTTAAAGTGAAACAGCAGTGACCTTTTTGTGAACAGAGGTAATTGCTGAAAAACCCTAATTTCTGACTTGACAACCGAAGGCTTCTCAGGTAAAAGATGGAAACTTCCACTCCAGCTCACACCATTCCTATCCAGGCAAACATAACAGCTCAGAGAGGAGGAAACATCAGTGCTCCTGTTCTGCATGGAAATAATATTCAAGGGTCAGTGAATATAACCTTTATACAGGGAGGTAAGTGATGTAGTTTTTATACATCTACTCATAGAATTGTATTTTTTACTTTTTAGAATAAAAATAAAGACATTTACGCTATGCAATAACTCATATGTAATTATAAAGTGACCAAAAGGTCAAACAAGTCAACAATATACTATTTTGGATTTTATTAGAAATCAGCCCTCCTTTACTGTGATGCAGCTTTACATACTCTTGGCTTTTAGTCAAGCAGCTTCATAAAGAGGCTCTTTGAATGCTTTTCCAACATGACCGAAGAACTTAGACATGCTGAATGAATAATAATCATTATTAATGTACTATCCTAAAAATGGATTCTCAATACATCTATTACATCACAACTCTAAGTATCTATATGCATTTAGATGAAAACGTTTTTAAGATTCTGAAAAATGCATATTTTATGTTCCAAACTTTTGACTGGTAGAGTTTTTATCAGCTTTATCAAGGTTTGTTTTTAGCACATGCAGTTCTAGGAAGTTTTGTTCTGATTTTCCTTGCTATCCTTCATTCAGATAAGGAAGGTTCCAGCACAGTTCAGACTGGAGGTGCTACTCTTCTCACTGAAGGTAACATCTGTATATAGATATCTATGGTAATTAGCTGTTTATTCACTGCAGGGCACAATTTTTGGGCATATTGGGCATACAAATTGCATAAAAACCTTGAATTATTTTTTTTTTTGTTTAGGCATAAGTATATTTCTTCCTGATATTATGTTTTCATCACAATTTGGACATAAATGAAACCTAATGTGAGCTGTAGTACAGTCATGTATTGGCTAATATGAAATAAAAAACTGGGATTTTTACTGCCTCACAAACTGAGCTTGCTAGGGACCTACTAAAAATAATAAAAAATCTTACGCCAATTTTCACTCATTTTTGTTAACCCGGGAAGTTATAGTCTAATGATTTTCTTGTTCGTTTTGTAGTGTTCAAGTTTGATGGGAATAAAACCTAACTTTAGCATTTCTATCTGCTTATCAGAATTGATCAGTGCATGCAAACAAAGCTACAAATCTAAACTGGCAGAAAAATATAAAAGTATCAATGAGGGGATTTCACAGCATGGAAGATCAATCTTTCTGAATGAGATCTACACAGAGCTCTACATCACAGAGGGAGGGAGTGGAGAGGTCAATAATGAACATGAGGTCAGACAGATTGAGGCAGCATCCAGGAGACCAGAAACACAGGAGAGACCCATCAAATGCAAAGATCTATTTAAAGACAGACCCATCAGAACTGTGCTGACTAAAGGAGTTGCTGGAATTGGAAAAACAGTCTCTGTGCAGAAGTTCATTCTGGACTGGGCTGAAGGAAAAGCAAATCAGGACATCTTCTTCATATTTCCACTTCCTTTTAGAGAGCTGAATTTGACAATGAAGAAAAACCTTAGCCTGATTAAGCTTCTCCATTGCTTTTTCCCCAGAAATAAAAGAAATACAATTTGTAGACAGTAATGCCCACAAAGTCATGTTCATCTTTGATGGTCTGGATGAGTGACGACTTCCTCTAGATTTTCAATACAATAAGAGATTGTGGGATGTAACAGATTCAGCATCAGTGGATGTGCTGCTGACAAACCTCATCAAGGGGAATCTGCTTCCCTCTGCTCTCCTCTGGATAACCTCTCGACCAGCAGCAGCCAATCAGATCCCTCCTGAGTGTGTTAACCTGGTAACAGAGATATGAGGGTTCAGCGATCCTCAGAAAGAGGAGTACTTCAGGGAGAGAATCAGTGACCAGGGCTTGACCAATAAAATCATCTCACACATGAAGTCCTCAAGAAGCCTCTACATCATGTGCCACATCCCAGTCTTCTGTTGGATTGCAGCCACTGTTCTAGAGAGAGTTTTGGGTGGAGCAGAGAGTGGAGAGATCCCCAAGACTCTGACTCAGATGTTGAGCCACTTCCTGATCTTTCAGATCAAACACAAGGACCAAAAGTATCATGGGAAATGTGACACTGATCCTCAGCAGACTAGAGAGAGGATTCTGGCACTGGGAAAACTGGCTTTCCAACAGCTGGAGAAAGGCAATCTGATCTTCTATGAGGAAGACCTGAGAGAGTGTGGTATTGATGTCAGAGAAG